CGGCGACTGCATCTTGCGGTGAAAGGCGCTGCTGCTTTGTGACATGATGAGATGCAGCTAGGACGGAGGTGATGTCCGTTCAAGCTCAGTGCAATGCCCTTCGTACCACTCGTGCAACCGGATGATGTGTGGATGGTCCACCCTCGGCTGTCACTCGTGGCATCCCGTGTGCGTGCGGCGGCAAAGCGCGCAGCATGTCTTTTTTCGCTGTCGATGCATGGTTTGTGTGAATTCAGTGACACGCAGCTGTCACGCAGCGATTTGCTGATGGCAAGGGACCTGCACTGAAACATACTGATACGCCAAAGGCCTGGAGCAACCGGATGCGCACTGACTAGAAGCTTGGGACTTCGCCGTGTCAATCTTTTGACGGTTCGCCGTTTATCCGCACCGTTCGCTTCCAGCTGCACAAGACAAATGGCCCACTATTTCCTGCAAGCCGCGCAGCGCAGCCTCAGCCAGACCTCAGCTCAAACGGTGCCACATCCTGGTGGACTAAGGCTGACTAAGGGGGCTCCCCATACGCCAAGGGTCCCCTCTATTTGTTTCAGCGACCCCTGTTTATCAACTGGCGGTTAACCTTGGGTTTGCAGCACATGGCGCAGGCAGCAGGAAGGCCCACCAGAAGAAAGGGCATTGCGGCGCAAGCGATGCTAAGACCATCCTAAACATGCCATCACCTCACAGAAGGGATACGCTTTGCGACTTAAGTGGTGACGTGCGTGTTCACCGCTTGAGGCCGCGGCTTGAAAAGCAGAATGGCCACCTGGCCCAGGTAGAAGTAGATGAAGTGCTTCGTCTCGTGCGTGACGTACGACCCAAAGTTTCGGCCCACCACGCAGTGCCAGGTGGGGTTGTACTTCCTCGGGGGCAGATGCCGACGTGGGAGTCTCTCAGAATACTGTGGACGGACGAAATCCAGTTCGCATCACTTTGAAACCATGAGACACCATTTTTTGTTCGTAATTATTGACAATCATCATTCCAGGGTCGCTCAGGAGGTGCAGGATTTCGTCCATCCACAGTAGGGCACCCCGTTTGGCATGGTCTGCAAAGAGAAACCGAGAGGAAGCCTCCTGGAGAAATTGGCTGGGGTCAGCAAGTGAACTCATGCGCTCCAAGAATCTTGTCAAACTCCTTCTTGATGAAAGCGGCGATGTCTTTCTCAATGTTGTACCTTTGGGTGAACTTTCTACACGAACCGGCTGCTTGTTGCCAAGCCCGTCAACTCCGAGGACCCCGTCTCATGTTTCATTGGTCTTGTGGATCTGAATTGGAGCTGGCCGTTTCAGGCGACCACATGGCTGGGATCTTTAAATTCCCTGTTTTGGGTGGTTTCGACACGTGAGGTGACGTCTGAAGGGGACCTACGTGGGGCACCTCAACTCAGTTTCCTTTTGGCCTCTGAACTCCTTCCAACAACCAAAAAGGGTTCCAAACTGAACCACTGTGGAAGTAAGGGCCATGATCATGGCTCCCTCACAAGGAACCCTCACAATGGCTCTCTGAATGCCCTGTAAAGGGGTCTGACCGCGCCTGCTGACCCTAAGCAAGCAGGTCTCCTGACCATGGCACAAGGAACTGGACGAGGCGCTTTTCCAAAGCCTGCGTTGCGCAGTCGATGGCATCCTGCTGCATGTCCTCGGCCATGTCCGCGTTCTTGATCACTGCCTGCCGCGGGGGGGGGGGGGGATGGACTCTTAATACTCTTAAGGTCTATTTTGCAGCCTGGAACCCCAAAAAACCAAATACCCTAAATGAAGGAGGTTGCAAAATCATACGGGATCGCCAGGGGAACCAAAGGGGAATGGCACATGGGTGTCATTCTCTCTTTCCCTGAGGGCCAGCAAGAAAAGAGCGGTTTGGGTGTTGGATTTTGGGCGTTGGAAGCATGGCATCGGCTTGCAGTATAGGGAGCTCGGTGTATCTCCCTTCGGAATGGATGTGCGGGCTGGGGTTCTTGGAGGGGTCGATTCCATGGTGCAAAATGGGAAGCGGAACTTGGGCGGTTAACAGGCAAGCCCCATTCAGTTGTTCACCACGAGCGGAAAAACTCTCCAAAGCTACGCTTGTGTCTTGTGGGAATTGTGCCCAGGATGTGTGACACTGGCCCATGCACAAGAAGAAGAAGAAGAAGAAGAAGAAGAGAACCCCCCCCCCGGGCCTTGCGATCCGCCATGGTGCTCGATGTTCTTCACTTCAGGGTGCTTTTTCTCCAGCTTGCAGCTTGAGCCCAACAAATCCCGACGCAGGCGTCGCATGAGTGACCTTCCGAGCTTGCAAGGTGCTAGGCCTGCTGGGCAGTGGGCTTTTGCTTCCGGACATGCGCATTGCGCTGCTTGGCTGCTTGGGGCGCAGGCTGCCTCAATACCATGATCTCTTTCTCGATGTCCTCCACCGGTAGCTTCGCCTGCGTCACGACGGGTCGAAGTGATTCGACTCGAGCTCGACTCGAGCTCGACTCAATCGCCTGGGACTTCATGACCACTTTGACGACCCGCTCCTGGCGGCTCCGGAACGCGCACATAGGCGTCCAGGCCCAACAAAAACGTGCAGTGCCCGGAGGACCCAGGAGGACCCGGGAGGACGGGCTGGCCTCTTTGGTCCTCTTGTGCTTGCCGAGGTGCGCCGAGCCTCCGGAAGACCCAAGCTGTCTCCAGATTCCAAAAACAAATCGGGCGCACCGAAGGAGCCCTCTCCCAGGGTCTTGACCTGAGGCTGGGCATGCGATGATCCGATGGCAACTCCTTACGCTCCTTTAGCCTATGGAAGCTCCCAGGCCCATCCGGTAGATGAAACCATCCAAAGGGCCCTGGGGGCTTCCATGGCTTCCATGTTAGCCTGGGGAGGGTAGGTGAGACGAAGAAACCGAGCATCGACCCTCCACACTCTGAAGACTCCTTGTGAAGACATTGCTTTCTCTTGGCGCGGGGCGCGTTGGTAGACATCCCAGACCTCGGCTTGACACTCCCCCTCTCAGTCGAGCCGAAGGTGCCCCATTTTCCCGCGCCTTGCCGGGCTCTTGTGTCACGAAGACCTCCCGGCCCAGCAGTACAGACCTGTGGCAGTGAGAACCCCACCCGTGGAATGTCTGAGGGGATCCTGTTTGGCGAGGACCCACTTCTCGCACCATTCCATGAACAGGTTCCTCGCCCATGTGAAACGTCGAACTCAGTGTCGACAGCCGCGGGTCAACTTTCGCCTGCTCGACTTGGAAGATTACAATAACGTTTCTAAGACACGGCGTGCAACTAAACTAGGGTGCCCAAAACGGAACCTTCAAGTGAAGACACTTGCGCACCGAGTGATTCGTGTCAATCAAGTTTTCTTGCACCCCACTTGCTTTCAGCAAAAACAAACGCTGCATAGTCAATGTCTTCGAGCAATGCCGCGGCCAAGAGTTCACAATAGAGCTTCCCTTCCGAGACTTTTGCCGGCGCAAAAAGGAACCTCTGAAAATCTGAGCGCCGAGCCGGTCAAACGCAACGCGACGCAACGAGGTGACCTTACCAAGGCAAAACGGAAGACTTCGCCGCAATCACCCTGAATCCCTGAATCTGGCTGGAAACCCTAGCATACTCAGAACTGCACGAAGAGCTCGAAGAACTCGTCAAAGCTGAGGTCCCCGTCACCATTGAAATCAAATCCTTGACCCCAAGGCTTCCGCTGGGCTCTCCTCACTGCTGGGGTTGCGGCGCTTGAAGAGCTGCTCTGCCTCAGCTGGCAGCTTCCGCCGGAGGGAGGCTTAGGCCTGCGGCGTTTGAGGCTGTGGCCACGGGGGTGGCCGGCAACGGCAGGCCAAGGTGCTTGTTCAGCGCCTGGCAGGGCACTTGGCACGTGGGGCCCCGGCCTCCCACTCCCCCCCCCCCCCCCCCGCACTCCCCATTCGCAGGCCTTGAGCACGGTGCGAAGATCTCGAAAGCCTAGGCGGCCCTTCCCAGACACCTCCTGGTAGTACCTAAGGCCACGCGCAAGCGCCCCGGCTTGCAAGTTCTTGCAAGTTGTCAGGCTGCATGGCCTCATGCCTGATGCAAACGTCCGGTTCAGGTGACTTGAATTTGCAAGGCTCGACCTGAAAGGCAAGAGCGGCAAGAGCTCACTTCGCTGCGATGCTGCGGATGCTTGGGTTTGACAGCACCTCGCAAGCTTCTGATTGGCCGAATCATTGTTGCCGCCCACGTTAAGCAAAGCAAACAAACATGGGCAATGTCACTGAAGACAACAGAACACCCACCACCCATACATAGCACGCGTAAGCAAAAACCCAGACATGGGTAATGTCACTGAAGGCAACAAAACACCACTCAAGACAGGAGCGTGCTTCTAGGAGCGCACTGCTCCCTAAAGGCCAAAGTGGGCTTGCAGCCTACTGGTCCGTGCCTCCAGCAACTCTCGGCGCATTTTCCGGTTGACGTCAACCTCTGCAACTCACCAACTGCTCAAGCGAATCTATGCTCTGGGCAATCGCTGATGTGTTTTGTTTGCGCTCCCTCAGGCCTGAGCTCAGAGACCATCAGGGGAAAATATTTAAGTATGTATGAATCAAGTAATCTACGAACTCTTGGGAAGGCCAAATCAAACCATTTGCGGGCCGACCAGAAGGCGAAAGACTCTGAGACTTGATTTCGCTCCCGCCTCGGACTCGGGAATCGCCTTCTCCGCCGGCCGCTCGGGTCTCGCGGGTCTCGGCTCCTTCTCCTTGGCGTCCCTCACGCTCTTCTCGCTCTTCTCCTTGCCCAGCAGCCGGGGGAGCTGCGACCTGATGGCTCTCGAATCGCTCTCTCCCAAAGACACCTGGCCATGGGTCAAAGCCCCGGTTATCCCCCAGTGAACTTCCCAATCCCCACTATAGGTTCTAAAATGGTGAATTCACCTACCAAAATGGGATCCCAAAACGGTTTTGACCCACGGCCTCCGAAACCTCAGGCCCCAGCGCTTGTGAACTCCTTGGAGCGAAACGCTTTTCAACACGCGCCGCATTTTCTTCACCGAACTGTCCTCACCGAGGGCGCAGAAGCAGACTTCTGGAGCTTCAAGTCAGGCCTGTCGGCGCGAGCTCTCAAAACACGGTCGCCACGTGCGTTTGAAACGCATTTGTCTGAGCGCGGGGCAAAGAAGTGCTCCCCTCGCCGCGCTCAATCAAACGAGACCCGGGTCACCGTGCCCTGCCTCCCTTTGGGAATGGCCCATGGGTTTTGCCGGCGCCATGGCAGCAAATTTGCAATGAGATCAGCAAGCAGGGTTGATCTTGCGCAAGGTGCACTTTTTGTGATGGTTTACTTCACAGGTTTTGACATGGGCGAGCAGCGCGGCACCTGGAACTCTTAGCAAGGCCACCACTGCCAGTCTTTGGGCCGTGGCGGGCTCTTGAGGGCGCCAGGCAGGCAGTTAGCACGCCAAGTGCGCAGAACGATCTTTTCATCTTCCTGCATGGTGCAGCCCCCTTGCTTTTTGACACCGTCTGACGTGCGCTATGCTGGCAAGTCTGATCTGCAGTGTCCGTGGCGCCATCTTGGACGGCCGAATCGCAGCTAATTGTTCTGACCCTGTGCCAAATGCCTATAGTGCACGGCCATGGGCCGCTGGGAATGCCGCCGGTGACAGTCACTCCTCACCTCGAACTGGCAGTGTAAGAACAAAACCCCCGGGCAGCACTCAGGGCCCAGCTGTCCAGCTCGGTCACAAGCTCCTGACTCAAATGATCACGGCCCTGGAGCAGCCGAAAGCCCTGGCCTTGTGGAGAAAAGGATGCTGCAAGGCCATGGTAGCTGTCAGGCGTCGCCTGGGGTCGATGTCCATCAGGCCTGGAGATCGGGGTTGGGAGGCTCTGTACGCCCTGTGGTGTCAGACCTGCCTTGCAGAAATGCGAGGAAGTGATGATGCCTCTCCAGCACAAACCTCGGCACCAGTGGCCCTGAATCCTTTTTGATCCTTCATGCATCTTGCGCCCGGCTCTGTGACAGTGGGCATATCCTCTACATGCTGTACCTCAGGGCACGTGAACACTGTCACCCGTTCCACCCCTTCCACCCCGTCCACCCCTTCCACTTCACGTGGCTCCCGTCCTGTTGGTCGTTGTCGGCGCAGTCAGGCCACAGTAAGCGGCCCGCCGGGTCCTGAGCAGCACCCACCCCCCGGAAGCGCGAGCCGCTCCGGCTGAGCGCCCGTCGAAAGCCACGCCTTTCTCCAGGATTCCTCAAGGCACTCTCTCGCGGCTTCCTCTCCGCGCTCTCCAAGCACAGAAGCAGTTGGATGCTTGCCTGACATGTTAACCGCTTAACCCCTCCTATTGCCACTGCTTTCTTTGCACTTTGCAAGATTTGCCCAGCCCTGCCACCCTGGCCAATCAAAAGATGCCAAAGGGATGTTCACATGCGCAAAGCAGCATGTAAATTCAAACATGTTCCACTCACATGCACCTTTCAAATTCGAATTGCAAAATCAACCGTCGCCTAGCGAAAATTGCCATGGCGATCTGTTTGGCCGGGAAGGGCGGAGCCCGGTCCGACCCAAGCTGAGGCAATGGTTCTCCAGGCTCGGTTTCTTGGGGCTGTCCGTTAGCACTCTCACGCTAAAGTGGGAGTCCTTCCGGGGACAAAACAAAAAAATAAAAAAGAAAGAAACATCACTAAGGCAGTTCTGGGCAAAGCGGCGTTCTGCAACTTGGCTGGCCATGTAGGTCGGGATGCGCTGCTGGGTGACGTGCCTGAGATCGAGTTGGGAACGGCCCTCCACTGACACAAGGCAAGGAGGCAAGGAGGCAAGGAGCTCTACCGCCCCCAGGTGCTCCATCTCATCATGGACCTGAGGCGAAAAAACGACGTCGGCTGCGGTGTCAGGCGTGGCGGTTTCGTTGTCCCGAGGTGCCGGAAAAAGGCGCTCCCCCGTGTAGACCGTCGCCAGCAAGCAACCGAGGCTCCAAAGGTCGGCAGCACAACCTCTCTCGCGGCAAAAGCCGGAGCTTCAGGGGAAAAGTTGGACGCCCAAGTCGCTGAAGATGTGGCTTTTGCATGTGGGGGTTGATCAGCAGGTCGATGGCCATTGGGGAAAACCACTACAAAGATGATGTTTCCCACTAAATGGGAAAGGTTACCCATGGTCATTTGGGGCTGCAGGGAATATTGATCAACCTTCATGTCGCTTTGTTGGTGAGAGAGCACAACTTCAGCCTTCTGCTGCCCGAGTCGCCCCAGTCCAGGCCCAGGATCACCTCCGGCGCTCGGATGTGTCGCGCGCCCACCCGCAGGCGGCTCTTTGGGCCTCGCGCGGGATGCGACTCCTCCGGCAACCCCGCCAAGGATTTTGCTGGGACCGTCTGGGGTCTGCTTGGGGGTTCTATAACAAGAACCTGCTCCTAGGGAATGGTTGTGGGGGGGGTTGCAAAATGAATCCTTCGGACAGGACCAGGGAAGTTCTCTGATGATGCCCCGCCTTCGCGTGTGAACAGGAAAGCCTCCGGACCTGGTGCAACGGGAACCACAATGGCTTGCGCCCCACTCCACTGCAAGAAGCTGGGTGCAGGACTGGTTTCCGGCTCTGTGACGTTGGCTAAGCCAAAGTCAATGACCACCACCTCACATCAGAGGCCGGCGCAAAAGAGCTGCGAGACGGCCCCAAAGAGCAGGGCCAGTAACAAACAATCGCCACTGATTGAATCGGAAGCCAAGGTGCCGACAAAAGCGGTTCTTCTTTTGGCTACCCGTTGAGACCACAGTGAAAAGGATACCCCCCCAACAAAAAAAGAAAAGAAACAAGCCCAAACCAACCCAGCAAGGGCGTCGTGCCTCAAAGGGCCACCGCGGTCTGGCCGCCATGGCGTCGGGATCCGACAGCCTCGGGTGCGGGCGCAGCTCGAAGTCTGGCTTCCGCAGCATGACGTTGGTGCACCTGCGGCTAGACGGCGCATGTCCAGTCACTGTCTGAGCTGTCCTCAGATCACTATTAGTGGGCTAAATGGAAAACCCCACTAAACACTAAAGGCTAAAAAGCTAAGGGGATGGCTGGGAGACACCAAGACATGTTGTGCCTGGCTCACAGGCCGCCTCAATCATGAAACAAGCACTGCAACAAGGAGCTGTAGGCTGCCAGGAGGAATCCACCATGCGCGATCGTTCCTTTGGAACAATTTTACCGTGGGGTATGTCTCCAGCGTTCCGGGGACCCTTGGTTTCCCACCGGTTCCTCCCTTAACAAATTCACCGTTACCCTCGAAAACGGCGCGCAAACACAGAGCCATCCAGGCACTTCAGGTCACCATGCGCCAGGCCCATGCTGCTGAAGAAAGCCAGGCATTGCACCAACTGCAACGCCATGAGTCGGATGTCGGCCTGGGACTCAGGCGACAACCTAAGGCCTTGACGTCTAATCAGTCTAATCTTTGTCTTTTAGGTAACCCACGGATTTTGGCTTCCCCTCACCACCAAAAAAGTTTGTCTTTTAATCCACAGATGTTGGCTTCCCCTCACCACCACAAAAAAAGGGGGGGGGGCCAGCTCTGGGACAAGGACAGACTGTCTCGTGAAGCGGTGCTTGAGCCCGTGGCCATGTAGAGCCCTCCCTCGCCCTCTTGCAGAAGGGCGCGCAGGTTCATGGCCAACGGCTCCATGACGATGCAAAAGAAGCTCAGCTCCTGGGCCAACCGGATCCGAGGCAATTCTTCACTTTTGTTGCTTGTTTTTTGTTTGTGTTTTGTGCTCTTCCTTTTTTTTTCTCTTAGGACTGGGCAAACATAGGCGTCCCTTTTTTCTTTGTTGGCTTGGGACTGGGCGAAGATAGGCGTCCCTTTTTTCTTTGTTGGCTTGGGACTGGGCGAAGATAGGCGTCCCTTTTTTCTTTGGGACTTGGCGTTGGGACTGGGCGAAGATAGGCGTCCCTTTTTTCTTTGTTGGCTTGGGACTGGGCGAAGATAGGCGTCCCTTTTTTCTTTGTTGGCTTGGGACTGGGCGAAGATAGGCGTCCCTTTTTTCTTTGTTGGCTTTGGCTTTTGGTCGACTGGGAACTGGCGAAGATAGGACAGGCTGGAATTTCTCTTTTTTTGCTTGGGTCTTGGCGAAGAAAGCGGTGTCCCTATTTTCCTGTGTTGGCTTGGGACTTGGGGCGACATATAGCGCCCTTTTTTCTTTGTTGCTGTTGTGGGACGGGGCGAAGATAGGCGTCCCTTTTTCTTTGTTGCTTTTGGCGAAGATAGCGCCCTTTTTTCTTTGTTGGCTTGGGACTGGGCGAGATAGGCGTCCCTTTTTTCTTTGTTGGCTTGGGATGGGCGAAGTGGCTTGGGAAATGGGCGAAATAGGCGTCCCTTTTTTCTTTGTTGGCTTGGGTCTGGGCGAAGATGGCGTCCCTTTTTTCTTTGTTGGCTTTGGGGATGGGCGAAGATAGGCCTTTTTTTTTTTAAGCGTACCCTTTTTTCTGTTGGCGTGGCTTGGACTGGGCTTAAGCCTTGCAGGCGACCCTTTTTTCTTTGTTGGCTTGGGAACTTGCGAAATGGGCTGAAGATAGGCGTCCCTTTTTTTCTTTGTTGGCTTGGGACTGGGAAGAGAAGATAGCGTCCCTTTTTCGTTTGTTGGGCTTGGGACTGGGCGAAGATAGGCGTCCCTTTTTTCTTTGTTGGCTTGGGACTGGGGCGCCTCTAGGCGTCCCTTTGTTTCTTTGTTGGCTTGGGACTGGGCGAAGATTAGGCGTCCCTTTTTCTTTGTTGGCTTGGGACTTGGGCGAAGATTAGGCGTCCCTTTTTTCTTTTGTTGGCTTGGGGACTGGGGCGAAGATAGGCGTCCCCTTTTTTCTTTGTTGGCTTGGACGGGGCGGAAGATAGGCGTCCCTTTTTTTTCTTGTTGGCTTGTTTTTTTTTTTTTTTTTTTTTTTTTTTTTTTTTTTTTTTTGGACTAGCGTCCTCCCCCTTTTTTTCTTTGTTGGCTTGGGACGGCGAAGATAGGCTTTGTTGCTTGGGACTGGGGCGAAGATAGGCGTCCCTTTTTTCTTTTTTCTTTGTTGGCTTGACTTAGGGTCTCTTCTTTTTCTGTGGCCTTGGGAGGTGTCGAAGGCGTCCCTTTTTACTTTGATGGCTTGGGACTGGGCGAGATGGCGTCCCTTTTTTTCTTTGTTGCTTGGGACTGGGCCGAAGGATAGGCCTTTTTTCTTTGTTGGCTTGGGGACTGGCGAAGAGGCGTCCCTTTTTTCATTGTTGGCTTGACAACGGGCGAAGAATAGGCGTCCCTTTTTTCTTTGTTGGCTGGGAATAGCGTCCCTTTTTTTGTTGGCTTGGGCGAAGATAGGCGTCCCTTTTTTCTTTGTTGGCTTGGGACTGGGCGAAGATAGGCGTCCCTTTTTTCCTTTTTTCATTGTTGGCTTGGGACTGGGCGAAGATAGGCGTCCCTTTTTTCGTTTGTTGGCTTGGGACTGGCGAAGATAGGCCGTCCCTTTTTCTTTGTTGCTGGGACTGGCGAAGATAGGCTCCCATTTTTCTTTGTTGGCTTGGGACTGGGCGAAGATAGGCGTCCTTTTTTCTTTGTTGGTTGGATCTGGGCCGTCAAGTCCCTTTTTTTTTGGCATGGGTGGGCGAAGATAGGCGTCCCTTGGGACTGGGCGAAGATAGGCGTCCCTTTTTTCTTTGGCTTGGGCAGGGGGATACTGGGCGAAGATAGGCGTTCCCTTTTTTTTTTGTTGGCTTGGACTGGGCGAAGATAGGCGTCCCTTTTTTCTTTGTTGGTTTGGACTGGGCGAAGATAGGCGTCCCTTTTTTTCTTTGATTGGCTTGGACTTGGCGAAGATAGGCGTCCCTTTTTTTCCTTGTTTCTTTGTTGGCTTGGGATCTGGGCGAAGATAGGGTCCCTTTTTTCTTTTTGGGGGGGTTGGCTTGGACTAGGGCGAAGATAGGCGTCCCTTTTTTTTCTTTGGAGTTGGCTTGGGGCGGAGGCGTCCTTTTTTTTTGTTGGCTTGGACTGGCGAAAATAGGCGTCCCTTTTTTCTTTGTTGGCTTGGGACTGGGCGAAAATGAATCCAAGATAGGAGGGCGTCCCTTTTTTCTTTGTTGGCTTGGGAAATGGGCGAAGATAAGGCGTCCTTTTTTCTTTGTTGGCTTGGGGACTGGGCGAAGATAGGCGTCCCCTTTTTTCTTTGTTGGCTTGGGGACTGGGCGAAGATAGGCGTCCCTTTTTTCTTTGTTGGCTGGGACTAGGGCGAAGATAGGCGTCCCATTTTTGGCTTCTTTGTCCCTTTTTTTTCTTTGTTGGCTGGAGGGCGAGATAGGCGTTCCCTCTTTTTTCTTGTTGGCCTTGGACTGGGCGAAGATAGGCGTCCCTTTTTTCTTTGTTGGCTTGGGACTGGGCGAAGATAGGCGCCCTTTTTTTCTTTGTTGGCTTGGGAACTGGGCGAAGATAGGCGTCCCTTTTTTCTTTGTTTGGCTTAAAATGGGCGAAGATAGGCGTCCCTTTTTTCTTTGTTGCTTGGGACTGGGCGAAGATAGGCGTCCCTTTTTTCTTTGTTGGCTTGGGACTGGGCGAAGATAGGCGTCCCTTTTTTCTTTGTTGGCTTGGGACTGGGCGAAGATAGGCGTCCCTTTTTTCTTTGTTGGCTTGGGACTGGGCGAAGATAGGCGTCCCTTTTTTCTTTGTTGGCTTGGGACTGGGCGAAGTTAGGCGTCCCTTTTTTCTTTGTTGGCTTGGGACTGGGCGAAGATAGGCGTCCCTTTTTTCTTTGTTGGCTTGGGACTGGGCGAAGATAGGCGTCCCTTTTTTCTTTGTTGGCTTGGGACTGGGCGAAGATAGGCGTCCCTTTTTTCTTTGTTGGCTTGGGACTGGGCGAAGATAGGCGTCCCTTTTTTCTTTGTTGGCTTGGGACTGGGCGAAGATAGGCGTCCCTTTTTTCTTTGTTGGCTTGGGACTGGGCGAAGATAGGCGTCCCTTTTTTCTTTGTTGGCTTGGGACTGGGCGAAGATAGGCGTCCCTTTTTTCTTTGTTGGCTTGGGACTGGGCGAAGATAGGCGTCCCTTTTTTCTTTGTTGGCTTGGGACTGGGCGAAGATAGGCGTCCCTTTTTTCTTTGTTGGCTTGGGACTGGGCGAAGATAGGCGTCCCTTTTTTCTTTGTTGGCTTGGGACTGGGCGAAGATAGGCGTCCCTTTTTTCTTTGTTGGCTTGGGACTGGGCGAAGATAGGCGTCCCTTTTTTCTTTGTTGGCTTGGGACTGGGCGAAGATAGGCGTTTCATGTTTCTTTTTCTTTTGCTTAGGCGTCCCAAGGTAAAACGGTCAGGCACTTGGGGGGTGAGGCCAACAGAGCCTGCCTGGAGCATCCCGATGAAAATGCGGACTGGAGCACACGTGCCCACAAATTGTGCACTGGGCTGCAAAGATAGGGTGCGACAGGAAGCCCGAGCAAAGAAACCAACACAACTCCCCACCCACCACTGCGCTTCATTCTGTCTCGTTCTCTGTGGCCTCGAGTTTGAGGAGACGCGCACGCCCCACTTGATTGCTCCCCACGCCGTCTGCAGCCAAGCCACATGCTCAAAGACGTCCAGAAGGCGCACCACGTGGCGCTGTGCCAGCTCGCGGTCGTGGCGCCTGAACCCAGATCGCCAATGCCCGGGAGCTGGCTTTAGGCATCTGGGGATCTTCTCTGGGCATGCGATTCTTTCACAGAATGAGTTCCAGTCAGCGCGAAGAGGCTAGCCGCGAGGTGCAGTTGAGCCGCTGCATCTTTTGCAGCATGGCCACTTCGGTTTCAGCGTGCCTGCAGGCATGGAGCGCGGCCTCACAACTCACAAAGGGCCAAAGAACAAGTTGAGCCTTCAAGCGACTCAGTCGATAGTCGCAGGGACCAAAACGCAGCACGAACTGGAACCAGCCTGTGAGGGTATCAGCAGGCCAACGCTTTGTCTCCAAGTAGTGTCTGTTCTTCGCTTCCCTGCAAAGCCACCTCCAAAAAAGAAGGAACCTCCAAACACTCCCCCCCCAAGTTTCTGTTTTGCGGCTTCCCTCTAAGCCATCCCAAACCCCCAACAACAACAAAAAACACCACCCCAAAACTCTTTGACAAACCAAATTCTTACCACTAAAAAGCGGGTGCTCCTCCCTGCACCCCGACCCCCGGTTCCCGCCGGTGGATCCGTCCTCCGCTGGCGTCTGGCAGGTCTGGCCACCTTCACGGCCACCATCTCCCCCGTCATCTTGTCGCAACAGCCTCGGGCCACGGGAGGGCCAAGGCAGCCACCCTGGTTTACTTGTGGAAGCCCAAAAACAAGGTGGACCACCGAATCTCTCAGTGGGGATGAGGGAGGTTGGGAATGAAATGTTGGGATTTGAAAGGAAAACGGTCAATCCCGGATCCCGGCTGAGAGCCAGCCAGAATCTAAGCCGGTTGCCACTGCCCCCAAACCAACCCACAAAATGCTGGATCGCATTATCAAAAGGGGGACTACTATTGGGTGCTTCATCGGGGGCGTATTCGCAATTTGCTCCTTGGACGGTGGCTTAGGGGAACTAAATAATCCATCCGGCCCTAGGGCTCCCCGACCCCTGCCATTCCAGGTGCGCCCTAAGGAACTTTGACTCCCCTTTTGAACCGAAGGCAAAAGCACACCAGCCATCCTAAAGGAAAGCAACATCAATCTTCAGCAACACATTACTCAGAGGTCCCTGTCGGATGATCGACATAGCATTTTGTTCGTGGGGGGTCTGGGGTCGACTTGGCCCTGACTCTGATTGGCCCAGGGCTCCCGGCCAAGCACGCGCCCAGAGGCGCCATCTCCGAAGACCTCCTCCACCACGTAGCGGCCTTACTCCCACCCTGGACCAACCCACCTCAACGCCCCACCCGGACCCAAGCCACCAGCCACCAAGCCACCAAGCCACCAAGCCACCAAGCCACCAAGCCACCAAGCCACCAGCCACCAAGCCACCAAGCCACCAAGCCACCAAGCCACCAAGCCACCAAGCCACCAAGCCACCAAGCCACCAGCCACCAAGCCACCAAGCCACCAAGCCACCAAGCCACCAAGCCACCAAGCCACCAAGCCACCAAGCCACCCACCTACCAACCCACTCACCCCCCCGCGCTTTGTTTTCCCCGGCGATTCCGCGCCTTCTTCGCCCAACGCCGTGCCCGGCTCCACCTCGATGTGCGGCGGCCCGCCATCGCGGTGCCGAGGCGACCTCTCGCCCGAGCGGGTGCGCCTCACCGCGCTGAGCGCTCGGAAACTCAAACATAGAATCTCCCAGAGTGTGACGGGCAGTGTGTGCAAGACTTATCTACAATTTCACCGTAACATCCCTATTTGCGATTACTAGCCATTCCAACTTCATGCAAGCGAGTTGCAGCCTACAATCCGAACTGAGATAATATTCATAGATTTGACTATTGTTTTTTTTTTTTTTTAAAGATTACATTGTTGCTTCTTTTGTCATATGGGGGGTGTTTTGGTTTGTGGGGAGGGAAGGGAAGGGCCCTGGATTTCCTTTAAAACCGGCACGAAAAAGAGGTACCCTCACTCCCACTAACCTGGCACCTGACAGAGGCTCCCTACAAGAGGAGAATGATCTTCCAGGTACCCTCCCACAGCTGCTATGTTAGTGGAAGGGAGGGTAGTTACCCTGACAGAGGGAGAAACTCACACACACACACACACACCACATTGCCTTCTTCAACCAACCTGCCCACCAACCATCGTGCCTGCCACTGGCTCGCCCCTGGCGCCTGCGCCGCTCCCGCTTTGAGCCTCCGGTTCTCGACATCCCCCAAGCTGCCGTTCCGAGGTCCCGTGCCGTCGCCTGCGCCCTGGACGCTTTGCGACCTCTGCAAGAAATCACGAACCCAGCCACTGCTGCAAGCCATGTCCGCCGATTTTTTGTTGCCTGACACCTCCCCAAGTTTCAATCGACTTCGGATGCCGACCTGTGGCTACCGCTGCTTGGGCGACCTGGCAGCCGAGAGCACTCCAGAAAGTGCCACACTGGCGTGAGATTGCTTTCGTCCCCCGTCCCCGCACGACCCCGGGAAAAAACAGACAACTGGCAAGCGTCTAGGCCTTTTGCCGGGACATCCCCTACGGATCCACCAGTTGCTTCCGTCTCAGCCCCACCTTGGCTTCTGCTGCGGTGCCGCTGGCGCTTGCGGTGCCGTGTGCCACGGCCTTCTGCCATCACCTCGGGGCCCTGCCCGAAGACATTGGAGTTCCATGGCTTTGCCCCAAACCCACCGAAAGCTCCCTTTCGCCATGCGGATGCCGGCGTGCTATGCATCGGTGAATGCAACAGTACGTGGAACGAGGCTGCAGTGGTTCGAAGGCTCTCTGCATGTGCAGAAGCGCATAGGAAAGTGAAGCCAGCGACCCGTCTTTCGGCTCTGCGACATGTTCTCCGTGCAGTCTCACTGCGCAATCTGTCTGGGCAACCACTGCCCCCTCGCAGCTTCTTTGCGCTCCCTGCGCAATCCTTCTGAATGGTCCCCCGGTGCAACGTAGTCGTGCAAGTTCTTTCAAGTTCTCTCGGGCAGTTTCTCCGTGGTTCTCTTGTACTTTCCGCTGGCGCAAGCTCTCTAGCTCTCGCGCATTAAAGACTCTCGCGCAAGTTATCTCGTGCATGTGCTCGTGTGCAAATTGTATCTCGCTGCAATGTATCTTGTGCAATTGCTCTTGTGCAAGTTCCCTGGTGCAATTTGTCTGGGGCCACTTCTCTTTTGCTTTTTTTCATGCAACTTATTTGGTGCGAATATATTAAGCAGATTCCCTGATGCAATTGTTGGTGGGCAACTTCTCTTGTTTAAGTTCTCTGGTACAATTACTGTCTTGCGCAAGTTCTCTTGCGCAGATTCTCGCTGCAAGTCCCCCTGTCACGATAATTGCTTGAAAAACCCTGTTCACTGCTTTCGGGAGATCCTTCCTCCCCACCTCCCAACCCCACCCCTCTTGCTGGAATTTGCATGGTCAGAAAGAGGCTAAACAACTGCATAATCGCAAGCAACTCACTGAGGTCGGGGCTGTCCCGCTACAGCACTGGCATTGAAAACGACATCAGCTGATGCTGTTTTATAGCTGCTAGCTGGATCCTTCCGCTTCTTTCTGATTTCCGGGAATCTCAAGGATGAAAAAGCGACCTCTTTTGCGAACGAATGAGTCGCGTGTTTGACTGCTACCAGCACTCTGGGCTCTGGTTCCTTCCTCTCCTGCGCACAGTCGCGCTGGGTGGGCCATGAAGGCAAAGCTGGCCGAGTAATTCGAGCAGTGCACATGCCAAATCACGCAGTTGCGGCCTTCTTGATTTCAGTGGCTTACTCCACGTTTTGGACTTGAAAACCGCACTGAAAGCTGGCAACGTTTGCCAGTGACGCTGCCCTTTTGAGTCTGCTCTAGACAAGTCCCCTTACGTATCAAGCGAAGCCTCGAGGCCAGCTTTCCGGACAGCTCCCCGCTTGAGTCCGTTCCGGTTGCTTTTTTGTCATCGCAAGCTTGCCACATGTTCTGCTAGGTGGCCCGGTATGGTGAAATCCCCGGGCAAGTCGACGCTTGGGAAAAGACCTTCTGGAACAGGAAGTTGCAGAAAGTGGGACAAGGCTGCCCAGCCGTCCGCCCAGTCGTACACCAGCAGCCGGTGGGCCGGAATTACTTCCTGCCCAAGTGAGCGACCTAATCGGAAGCTTCACACGAGGTCGGCTCACCCGACTTAGCACCTGCGAACACTCGAGCAAGCAATGCATTCCCGGCTTTTCCATGCTTTCCCTTTTTGGGGAATCGGCGTTCGGTCCTGCACACGCGCGATGTGGCGCTTGAAGTTGTCCATGCATGCCTTCTTGGAGGAAGCGGTGGGTGTGTGCCAGTTGCAGCCCCAAACACCCACGGCGTTGCACTTCTTCTGCCACGAAGGCCTCGGCGAAACGCGAAGCGCAACGCGAGGCGCAAAACGGCTCACACGCCAAGCAGCGCAAACTTCAGAGGGTCGCCGTTGGGGAACAATCCCCGCTCCATCGCCAGGTAGTTCTCGTACCAGGCCTCCGGATCTTTGACCTGCAGCACGAACTTGGCCTCTGGGAACGTCTCCATCACCTCCTTGGGCTATGCCCCACATGAAAAACCTCTTGGCGACTGTGCGATCGAAGGGGGGACGCAGCTGAGCGCAGAACCCGGGTGAGACATGGAGAAAGGAATCTCCGTCCGCCTCTTTCTTCCCCCTTTGGTTGCTGGTGCTTGACATGCAGCTGGATGCTTGAGCTCATGCCAACAGTCTCCAAAGTCAATAACACTGGAAGAAAGAGAGCTTCCATCCCAACGAGGTCGTCCACAACTCCTCTGAAAGGGGGGGGGGGGGGTTGAAACTGAGCACGCGAGTAGCTCCTCGTACAAGAGGTGGAAGGGCTCATCCATGGCCGCGTCATACTTGCTCAGTGTGGCCCACACATTTTCCAGTGTGCCATTGCCAAAGAGATACTTGCACCTAGCGCGAGGCAAAGGTATCACACAAAAAAAGGCCGGGCTGCGACCCTTTCCAGACAGGGCCGGACAAGTAGCACAACATGGGCCTCCCCCCCCTTCCGCCGCAGGCACGCCGTTTTCCGCTCCGATTGGTGGTAGCCGCTGTGCAGGGCCTCCATCCCCAAAATCTGCATGGCCGCGTGCATGGATTGCGTGCCGGTCCTTGGGGGGCCAACCTGGGCGCGACGGCCGATGCCCCGCAGAAACGGGGGGGGGGGAGTTGATGGGGCACTGGACGCCTTCAAAATCCGAAGGCTAGGAAAGGCATCCATCAGGCGATTCTTGAAGGCTAGAATTGTGGGCATCAAAACAGGTCCTTCATGCTTCCTTTTGCACTGGAAGCGAAGGTGGGTCTTTGAAATGGGAACACGCTAAGGCTCTGAACAGCAAGATGCTGCTGGGACCGACATCTCCCCACATGACATGGCATGACAACCACCAGGCGCTGTCAAAACTGCCCAACAGAAAACGAGCTATTTCAGCATGACAATCCTCACTTTAAGAACTGCCAAGACATGTCACTTCGGTGTAGCACGCAGGGGCATGAATTCGTCATGTGCATTTCAGTCCCCTCCCAAAACTATGCATGCGATGTCATGCGATACTGGGCAATTGACTCTGCCACAGCGATCCCTCCAATTCCCCACCCCAAAGCTCCGCTCAAGGCACATCGAGCACCTTGAGGGCATGAGCTGCGCTCAGCAGCCCGATCAAATAGAGCATGGGGTTCGGTCCACGCCCTGACACACCCAACGGGTGTCAGGGCGTGCAGCGTGCCTTCAGCATCTTGAGCCACCAACCACCGCGCATGGCATGTCACGCTGTGACCTGATTGAAGGTGCCCAAGCAGCACTATCGCGCCCGGCTCTCTTTTCTCCCAGACGGGCTCTGAAACGGGCAGCTCAATCTTGGACCTGATGTCACAAGCACAAACCCAAACGCCACGCAACTCCACATGCACAAATCTCTGCTGGCAAAGCCTTGGGCTGACCCTGAGAGAAGGCGTCAAGCCGCACATGTCCCAAGCTTGCTGCATAATGTATCCGACTACGACGGTTCTCAGGGTCCAGGACCTGCGAAAGTGCCAGCCCACGGTGCTTCTGGCATGACATGTGCTGCTTGCGGAACTCCGTGCCTTTGTCTCGGACACAATGTACCCACCGTGCCTCAGCACAAACTTGCCTGGACATGCTATGAGGTGGGGGGGGGGGGATGGGGCTCTCCCAAGCCCGGTGCTCAACCGGTTTGGTGATCAGCACGTGCCCAGGGCCTGGAAAAATGACTCGTACCACGGAACTGCGGCCACTGTTGGAGGCAAGGACCTGGTGGCGATGTGAAGGCTCCGCGTATCCGGAGACCTCTGGGTGCCAGGCAACCGATCTCATCAGCTGCCGCAATGAGAGCTTCTGCCACGTTGAACTCCTGGGGCTCAAGACAAAGCGACTCCATCCGATAGCTCCAGCGCGCCTCACGCTCAGAGGCCTTCTGCGCAGTGACATCGCCACAGCGACCTCGATGGCCACCCAGCCCGGAAGCCTGCATCTGGAACATCCACAGGTCCTCTTCTCCCTTCAGGGGAATCCATCTATCATAACTTCATGTCCAAACCTTAGAATCAGCACAGGGGTCCGGCAAACCTCACGAACAAAAGAGGCAGAGATCCTCAAAGCACGCAGGAAACAGCAGGTTTTTGGGGCTGCCGCCGCTGGTGAAAGCGATGACAGCGGGACCGGCTCCCGAGAGGCACCTCAAACGCTGACGCCCACGGCTGACCCGACTCGAATTCCAGGGATCCGTGTGCTGGTCTCTCCCAGTTCCGGCTCCAATTCTGGCGAGTCATTTCAATTCAGACCTGTAATATCCTGTAATTCAGAATCCAACCGAACCTAGAGTGAGTCTTGGATGGAAGTCGACAGCTCCCTTTGCAAAAGGACAGTCTTCCAGACCCCTGCCAGCTTCCATGACCCTCTCTCTCTCTCTCTCTCTTGTTTGTCGTTCTTTGTTGGATCCAAGCTCCCAGAAGCCTCTGAGGGCTGAGCGCGCCGTGGGCACCGGCGTCCAGGGCGGCTCGGATCAGCGGCTTGAGATGTGGATGGATCGGCCTCGAAGCTCGCCACTGGGCCCGTTTCCCGATGCCCCGCTAAAAGCTTACCCTTTAGTGGGTTAAATACGGAAACTAATCGCTAAACAGGCTGAAAAGCTGAGGAACCTAGGGAGCCGCCAAGACTTGGTCGCTCGAATGACCCTGAAACCCCTCCGATCTTTACCGAGGTTTACCCAGGTGTGGTTCAGTATGGTTGGCCTACCTCTACCTGAAAACTATTGAGAGCGATCGAGAAATTATCTTTCTTGGATTGGCGGGGTTCACAGGACGAGGGGGACAACCACTTTGGAGGTCGAGTTTGAGACATCCCCATGTTAGACTGAGATCTGTCGTGTATTCCCGGGGGGGCGTACCGTCTATGGCTGGTCTACCTCTGATTTGTTTATAAACCTTCCTCTGGTGATCACGCAGGTTCCTTGCAGAACAGCCTCCCATAGGCTTAATCTCATGCCTCCCCCATAGCAGCTGTGCCCAGTGCAAGCAAATTCTTGGGCCCTTTCTGGATTGTCCCTGGAGCCCCTGAGGGCAATGCGCGCGCTGTTCTTGGTGCAGCGCGTCCTCAGGCAAGCTGACCGCTGACGTGACCGGAGGATGATTGGCTCGGCGGTTCGCACTCCTCCGTGCCGTGCCGTAACCATTCCATGTTCCCGGTCGCAAAGGCTGCAACCTTGGGCTGCACCAGCACCAGCTCAGCCAACTTGCCCACTTGCTTTTCCGGGGCCCCACACCAAAACAGCCACACGGCCGCAGTTGAAAATCGCATCCTAGCGCCCAGAAATTTGGGTCAGCTTAGACCGAGCTTGCGGCGCTTGCTTCTGGATCGCTGGCCTGCATCGCGATCTGCTCCTTGAGCAGCAGCCGCGCCTCACTCGTTTCTGTCCTGCCAGGCCGCCAGGCCGCCAGGCCGCCAGGCGCCCGGTGGCCGCCGAGCAGATCAACAGGCGGACATTTTTCCATGGCGCCTCACCCTTCGCGCATGCCTTGGGCAGCTCCGTGGCGACTTTCCGTGAAACGCGGTGAGACATCTTCAATTCCCATCGCCGAGTGAAGTACATCCTCTAGTCATGCCCAGTCCAGTCACAGGAAGGAAACGCCAGATCGCACGGAAGGTTTCATTCGCTCTGACAAGCGCTTCACAAGGTCGTTGAGCCGTGCGGCCAGAGCCTTCTCGCGCACGGCACGGCCTGCCTGCGGCTGGGGTGGCCACTGCCGCTCTCGCATGGAGCCGTCCTCGCGGGGGCAGCAGGCCGGCATCCGGCTGCTGCGGCTGCGCACCATGGCCAAGCGCCCCACGGCCTCGCAGAACTCCGGGAACTGCAAGCTGCGGACGCCCGCTTGGAAGTTGGGCTGGGGCTGCCTGGCCAAGGCGTAGATGGAGGCCACGTGCTTGGAGGTGAAGGAGCGGTCGCAGAGCCGCACCAGCTGCGCCAAACGCTGGAAGGCCACCTCGCTGTACCCGAACCTCTCCCAGGCCTCCCGCAGCGTCTTGGCGTGCGAGGCCAAGGCGTCGCTGTAGTCCCCGGGCCGCAGCGCCAGGCCCCGCGGGAAGGGCCCCACCGGCACCTGCAGCACACGCCCCGCCACCACCTCGTCCGCGAAGCGCACGATGGCCAGCCCGGCCGCGTTCGCCGCGCTCGCCGCGTTGGCCTCGGCCTCCGTCTCGTGGGCGTGGGCCAATGAGGCGTAGGCGAGGGCCGCCCGAAGCATCACCTCGAAGAACTGGGGACGCGTCACCACACCCTCCGTCGCCCGCGTGTTGGAGGCATTGGCCAACGTTTGGGTCACCATGACGTGCACGTCCTGCATCTGGAGCCCGTTCCTGCGCCCGCTCCGGTCCACCACGCCAGCTTCATCAAAAACACTGTACATGTCCACGTACCGCACGAAGGGCCACTGCGAGCGACCAGCAAAGAGGGCATAACACTCATAGTAAGTGTGGTAGCGGCTGCGCAGGCCCTCTTTGACAGCCTCTTCGTCATCTATGTGACAAACATCGTTGAGGTAGATGTTCTGAATATCTTCCTCGTAGCAGTCCGCCAGTGCCTGCAACCGCGCTGGGCCCTGACTCCAATCGCCGATCTCCTCTTCAGTGACACCGGCCTCCGGTGGGCCCTCAGGAATTTGGAAGTCAGGGTTGCGCTGGGCCTCTGCAATCCAGCACCCTGGCGGCAGCTTCTTTGCAGGTTCTGGCGCGCCATCTTGCTGCTTGGTCGGCTTTGGGGGAGGTGTTACCACCTGCCAATCCTTGAAGCGCTCCAAATGAAGAGCTCGACTGATGATCAGCTCACTATGCTCCTCGCCTTGCGCCGGCTCGGGGATGACCTCCTGCCCGCAGTTCTCCGCCGCCCATCTATAGCAGGCGGCTTGGATCTTCATAGTATCCTCTCGGGTTGCAGGGGGCGAAGGAGAAAAACCGTCAGGCGATCAGTTTTTCAGACAGCCATCAACACCTCCTAGGCCAAACTCTCTCTCTCTCACACCCATCTGTCCTCCACAAGGCTGTCCTCGCAGCCCAAAAGGTGCAGGCAGGCCAGCGATACAGATCGGGCAAGGAGGTCGCAAAGCTCCGGTATGCACTCCGGATACATGAGGTTCTCAGCCAGGTCCAAGTGTGCAAGCCTTGCCTCAGCACAGAAGTTTGACGGAAGGAACTGACCTTTCAATCAACCAACCTAGCCAAACCCGCCGTATCCATGCAAAAAGCAATTGAAGAGAACACATCAGCCGCAAACCCTGTCCCCGCGGAGTTCGAAAAGGTCGAGGAGCATGAAGCTTCACTGCTTGGAAGAGCGTGTTGATGGCACCAGCGCTGCCATTCAGCTGGTTCCGCCGCAGGGAAAGCTCCAACAAGAGGCGGCTTCGCAGGATGCCCTCCAACGCCAAGTCTTCAAGGCTGCTGTCAGTCAAGCCGCACTCATTCAAACACAGGACCTCCAGCTGGGTTGCTGGCAGGCACTTTGCCAGAGCCGTGACGCAACTGGGTGAAAGCCACGTTTGGGAAAGGTTCAGGCTACGAAGGGAGCAGCGCGACAGCTGAACCAAGACTGGGAGCAGAATTGGGATGGGCTCGACCTTCTCCTCTTCCGCGTCTTCCTGCTCCTCCCGCGCAAATTTGGCCATGGCCTCCTCCCTCTCCTTAAGCCGCGCATCCAGCAAATGCGCGGACATAAGCCCGGCCACATCCCCCAGCTGTGCGAAGTCTGGGCGTTCCTTGCCCAAGGCCTGGCGGCTGCGGGTGTACGCCGCCATGGCGCGCTCCGGCAGCTCGTCCTCGTCGATGTCCGCGCCCAGGCCGCAGGCTGCGAGGCTCAGCGTCTGGAGCGATCGGCCCGTCTTCGAGCGGAGCCCCGTGAAGAGCGCGAGCGCGCTGCGGTAGCTCATCGCCAGACCCGACAGAGACATCACCTGCAGCTGCCCCGCAAAGGCCGCCTCCACCACGGCCGCGGTGCCCATGTCGGGCATCATGCAGTCCTCCACCTTCAAAGTCTTGGGCGCGGAGCAGCGCACAGCCGCCGCCAGGGCATAGCAATGCTTCGTCTCGTCCAAGCTGGCGCCTACCACCTCGACAGTTTCTCCGAAAATCGGGGGCGGGTCATACGGCACCAGCCCGAATTGTCGGCAGGCCTCGCGATAGACCTGCCCCGCCTGGAACATGCTCTGCTGGGCACTTGGCTTCCCCTTCCCGCTGGCCGGGCGCGCAATCGCTGGCTCCGAGAGATGCGAGGGCCGCTCCGCGGATTTGAGCAGCGCCGGCAGCAGATCCGCATAGACGCCGATGGCCTGGGAGTCCTCGATGCCGGCGATGGTGGGGCGCTTGGGGGATGCGCTCGGCTCTGATGGAGTCGAGGGTGCACGGGGCGGAACCTGCAGGTGCTCCGGCACGTAGTAGGCCGCGGAGAACTCCTCCACACTGGGCCAGCGCTTTACGAACTCCTTCGAGGCCTTGCGCTCCTTGATGCTCGTCTTGCTCATGGTTTTGCTCATCCTTTTGTTCATCGGCATCTCCTTCATCCCTTCCTTCAGCTCGTCCAGGTCCACCCAGTCCAAGTTGGCCCCCGTCCTGGCGATGGCCTCCGTGCACAGGTCCTCTGCGAGCCCCTGGCGCGCCTCCAAGGCCTGGGCGCGCACCATCACCGCGTCCGGGCCCACCGTCAGGGCCTCCGACAGCGGCGGCATCTTCTTGGCCGAGGACACCGCCGCGCTCACCTTCAGCACGTCCAGCTGGTCCAGCTGCTGCTCGATGTCACTCTCCTCTTTGGCCTTGGCTGGGAAGGAAAGGCTCCGCAGCACCTTCCGGCCTCTTTTGTGAGACGAGGTGTGGAGTGTCTTGAGATCTGCCTTCGGCAAAGACCGCAATGCCTTGTCCAATCGCGCGGCCTTGGACAGCAAGAAGTCCACAGTCTCCAGCTGCGCGGCTGTTCGGGACATGTCCTTCCACGAGGCTGAATCTAAGAATCTAAAGCTAGTTCTGAGCCGCAGCTGAGCAAAATGCAATGCTGTATCCTGCCCTGCTTGCCATGACCAGTGCTGAGTTGAATTTGCAGCCGGCGTTAGGCCCAGACGCGTGGTCAGGACAGAAGACCACGCACATCAGGCCATGCGGCATGGTGACGCGGTCTGTCCACCTTCGCTTCGCTTGCAGCGCTTGGCGCTTAGGGCCGTGCCAAACCAACCGGAAACCCCTCAGCCAACTTTTCAAGACGAGCCACCAGCGAGAACCATTGTGGATACCCAGCTGGAAGCCGCCGTAGATGCACGGCGCCACCTCCGAGACCCGGGTGACCCCCCCCGGAACTAGTACGAATCCCAAGGCATCGCTCTTGGCGCTTCGGCGACGGACAACACTTTGTTGAGTCACAGGCGTTGTCTGGGTGCCCTTCCAGGTTTGTGGCCTCAGAAAAGGTAATTGGGAAAACACGCGGAAGGGAAACACTCGGAACACTCGGAACACTCGGAACACTCGGAGCCCCGCAATCTGCAACAGCTCCTCCTCATTCTTCACCTGGCAAAGGAACCCTCCAGTAAGAACCGCGCAAGGAGCCAAAAAAACGCGCGCGCACTTCTCGCGCGCTTCGCTCCTGTCTGGATCCGCACGGCTCGGTGAAACTGAGCGGTCCGTGGCCGCCTAGCCCTTGGCGAAATCGCTGGCCCTCAAAGGCTCCGTCCGCAAAGAAACGGCCTGAGTGAGGCGCACAAAACCCGGAGGTACTCCCAGCGCTCGCAGCTTTGCAGCGGGGCCACATAAGCAATGATGCCCAGGATGGCAAGCACCCCGCAAAGTTGCAGCACCTCGCTTCACACGGTTCCTCACAATCTTGGACACAGAGAGAGAGAGAGGCAAAGATGCAAACTTTGAAGGGCACAACTGCCAGTTGAGAGGCAAAGGTGCAAAAGCGAGAGAGAGAGAGAGAGAGAAAGAGCCGCAAACATTTTGATCAGCCCTCAACAGCCACAACCAATGGATGGTGGTCGAAAAAACACCGTCTCTCAGGGCATTGGAACACTGGAGCTCATTGCCGAGGCACAGCTGCGTAGCCCAGCGATGGCGATGACAAACAGAAGCCAATAAACCTCGAGCAGCCGTGGCAAAGGTTTTCTGGTCCGGCGCAGCCGTGCTCACTTCTCACACAATTAAGCTTGAAAGCTATCAGCTACCGACGCTGCACTATGTTCTATCACTGTAAATAGTAAGGATTGTAAATGTACACTAAGAAATACTAAAACCTGAAAATAAATCCATGGTCTGGGATTGTTTTCTTAATACAAGCGTACTTCTGCTTGCAGCCTGCTGCAAATAGCGGGTCACCTCGCGACAAAAAAATCACCACAAGCCAAGTCGCAGGTTGCTCACTGCGCCCACCCCGGCTGAGAACGTGCTCGACAACGCCCCCTGGGTGACAAGAACAAGAACGCAAACAAGTCTGGCTGTCTGCCCTATGGGCAATGGGCGATTTGCAACTTATATAATGTGTGGGACATGGGTCATCAAGTATAGGTGTGTTTGTATGTCTGTCTGTCTGTCTGTCTGTATGTACGTATGTATAACAAATCTGATCAGCACCTGTCTGAACTCAGACACACGCGTGTCGGCATTGCACACTTTCAGCTCAGCAGCAATACGGGCGGAGTTTGCAGTGCCGCCCAGGTCAATGACTGTTGGCCCACTCCCTGCACAGTTCCGAACTTGAACACATCTGCAGGAGCCAACCAGAGCCCGACTCCCATTTCACTTTATATGCCAGCGCGTGATCTCGGGCCCTTCACTGTGCAAACGGCTTTCTTGGTTGTCACGCTTGCCGACAAACCTCATTGGCTCTGGACTGCTGGATTTGACTTATTCCAGGCCCAACGTATGGCGCCACAGGCTTTATATCCCGCCCTCCAACCCCCACAGGAGAAGAAAATCTGGGAGACACATCCGGAACTCGCAAGGTGGCCCAGATGATCTCCGCTGGGGTTGACCATCGTGTGCTCACGATCCCGGCCTGCGGACTTGGCAGCAAGGCAGGTGATCACAACCATCACCACGGACACGGCAACTTGAGCTGAGATGTTGTTGTAACACCTTGGCGTGCTTGGGCCGCTTCAATGGGACGGCCTAGGCCTGCATGGCACCACGCTGAATAATCAAAGGATCCAAGCAAGGATGTGGCAGTGACTTGGGAAAAGCTCAAAGAAACAACTGACGGTTGGACTGCCTGGTTGGGCGGGCGCGCCGTCCCCAATTGAATCTTGGGATATAAAACCAGTTCGAAGAAGTGATTATTCAAATAGGGTGGTGGTGATGCTGGTGATGCGGGAAAGCAGAGGATGCGAAAAGCCAAAGCCGCCAAAAGCCACATAAACCAGCGAAAAGCCGGATGCGAAAAGCCAACGCCAAAAAGCCACCAAAAGCTGCATAAACCCACAAAAAGCCGAAAAGCCCAGAAGCCGAGAAGCCAAAAAGCCAAAAAAAACATCCTAAAATAAATAGTTTCTTGGGCGTGTGCGACCCCTAGCATCATCAGTAACACCCTGAGCATCACCAGCAGGCGGCTTGGCAGTTGTAAAAAAAGTAAATGTGCTGCGTTCTTATTCCGCTGGTGCCCTTTTTGCGATCCCGGAAGGGGGGAGGGGGCGCTCTGACCGAACCCCTGCCCTGAATGTTTGGAGGGAAGTGGTAATTGTTCGAACAATAATTTGGGGAGGGGGGATTGTTATTGGGGGGAGGGGGTATAAATGTTCGAACAAGAAAGGGATTAGTTGTTGGGGATTGTTGTTGGAGGGCGGGATGCTCAAACAAAGGTCGCCTGTCCAACAAAGGTCGCCCTGCACACAGAACTCCAAGCTCCAATTTCCTTGAGAAGATCCCCCCCCTTCTCATTGAGTCATTGGGAACCAAAGGGTGCGGCACCCAGCCGATGTCCCCATTCGGCAAAGCTGCACGGCCAAGGCGATGCACCCAGCCGCTGACCCCAGGAGATTAAAAGCTTGGGCCGTCAGCCGGCACTGCCAAAGCCTCAAATCAAATGCGACAAAGACGGAGGGGGCAAATTCAGCAAAGGCTGCAGAGAGGGGAAAGGGTGCAAAAAGCTACAAGAGTCATGCAGCATTGGCCAAGCAGGTTGCTCTCTAGTTCCTTGCTGATCGCGAACAAAGACATGCCAGAAGCAAGCGGGCTGAGCACAAATTCTGAGGCGGCGTCGACACACGGCCAGAGCGATAGCCTCAGGCAAGGTTCATTCGTGCTTACCGTTTGCTGGATACTCCGAGCTGAAGGCATTGAATAAAGATCTGGCTCCAAGCAAAGCACGCCTAAGAATGAGGAGTGATTGCTGCATGTTCTCTTGACAGTCAAAATGTCGAATTTGCGCGCCAAATGCCGAGCTGCTGGTGCTGCAATCCAGTACGCCAGCATGCCAAGGGTGCCACTTTCTCCTGTTGACCTTGGCGCAGCTGTCACAGCCCGGGGCATATTTTCCGAGTGCTCACAGAACGCCTGCTCAGGAAGGTTGATTCGTGCCATGGACCCCTTGCCACGCGCCTCCCGAACAAGCGTTGTGTGCTTAGCTCCGCAGCGCTAGCTTCACTCGACGGCGGGGCACTTCCCATAAGGCAAGGGCTGGCCGAACTCGTCGTGAAAGAAAGATGGCATCCACGATAACCAGAAGTACCTTAACTCTGGCGCAAGTCGCGCGACTTTTGTTTTCCCGAACACTCGGGCGGAGATGCCATACGAAGGCATACGTCATCTCGCTCATCATCAGCCCCAGCACGGCCGGATGCCGGATTAACTGCGTGATGGCTAGAGGCTCGTCAGCCGAGGTGGCACCTGGAGCCGCTCGCCAGCGAAGGTGTGCGAGCGAAACTTTTGCTTCAAAGCACTGGCAGACTTGGCGTCTTCAAGCGGCCTTCCCTCAGTGACTCCCGGATGCTCAGCCTCTCCTCCTCGGAGACAAAGCCTGGGCTTTCGCACGTCATGCCTTTCGGCAATTTATTGGCCAGGGGGCGGTGTGTCTCTGCGCAGTCTGAGGCGAAGAGACCGAAGAAGGTGCACCACAGCAGCCCCAACCCTCCGAACACGTAGAACATGATGCGCCAATCCTTGTGACACTTGTGGTGACTCGTCTGAAGTCTGCACTGGGGCTCTCCGAGCTATGCAATGCCCGGCACTTCAATAAGTCAAGCGGCCTTCTCCTCAGGCACACAGCTGATTGGCACACGGCACATGCGCTCATGCCCGTTCTTCCGAGCAGCTGTCACCTCTCCAAAGGACATGGCAGTGGCAGCACCAACGCATTGACCAGCCTCAAAGTGCATTCCGCGTTCAGTGACCCGAGAACCTGCTGCGGTTTTCGTGACTCGCATGATTTCGACCCTTAACCACTGAAACTAAACCAGCCTTGAGCCAAACCTTTTCCTGCCCAAAGCCGCGCTTGACCAGCCCTAAAGAATCCATCCCACCAAAAAACAAAAAAAACTCAACCAACTCTAAACCGACCCCATCCCACCCTAAAAAAACTTAAACAAACCTTGAACAAAGCTTGCAGCCAACCGGTGATGCTGAGGGAGTTGAAAACGATGCGCTGACAGTGCTATTGCAAAACGAGAGCATGTTGTTAGAACATTGACCATGACATGCTTTACAAATACGGAATGTTAGCACCGGGAGAGAAAACAAATCCTGGAAAACAAATCGATTAAAACTTGATCCGTTAATTGTGCGACTGCCCTTCACAATGAAATGTTCAGTTCAAATTACAAGAGCTAATGCCGAGACTTCTGCCACTGCTATGTGTAACTCCCTTCATAGTCTTGTGGCTTGCTTTCGCAAAACTGAGCAGAAAAGACAAAGGGTCCCCCCGCCCTCAAAGCCAGTTCCCCCCCAATCCGCGCTCAAAGTGGAGAATCGAAAATCCATGAGACCAGCAAGCCGCAATCCCTAAAGCGCGTAGTCCAATCCGAAAACCGCATGCTCCGCAATCCGCGAATCATTGGAATTCGGTTTTGAACATGCCAGTTCAAAACCGCGGAAAAAAAGTGACCTCCCCCGAGGCTCAGGCTATACCGGCAGCGACCATCCGGCTGGACTGGAACCGCGGGAACCATTTGGACGCCAGCTGGAAGAGGCCTGGGCTGAGGAAAATGCGATAGCCCTACCATGCCTCGGTTGCTTTCTGCTCCCCTGCTAAAAGATTAACTTTTAGTGGTTTACTGGAAAACCCATTAACTGGTAAAAAGTGAAAGTCCTAACATCCAAGCAAAATGCACCAAAGATGCCCTACCAACGCCGAACCATCCAATAGCCAGCCTTTTCCCAAGCCATACATCTCCCACACCGCTACTCCAACCCAAAACCAGCCCTAAGCCGGCGCCAAACCGACGCAAAACCATCTCGTCAACGTACCAAAAAAAAAAAAAAACAGCCCCTCAACTCCCTAGGCCAATCGGCAGCCCTAAGCCGAACCTGAACCTACTTGAAACCCACTGGAAACTCAAAACAAATTCCGAAACCAGCCTCAAACTGACCCTACGCCGACCCGAACCAGTCCTTGCCAAAGCAGAAGGGCGCCCTTAACCGACCCTGAGCCACGCAACTCTCCCTCAACCACCGAGTTTCCAGTTTGGGATGTTCGGTCAAAGTTACACGCACCTCTATCACCTCTTCAGCTCATACCCCTCAGCCGGCTCCATACCTCCGAACTAATTTGAGCCTTGGCCTCTTCCCCCATTCTGCTTGGGGAAATTCAATTGCTGTCATTCATTTGCCCCAGCACCAAATGGAGCTGGGCCAACACCCGGTAGCTTGTGCCAGGCTGCATGGGGCTCCCCCAGCCTCAAAGAAGCCCAGCAAGACTCGGATCACGAGCAGCCACTCGATAGAGGTGTCCGCGCAGATCCTTGCACGAACCGACTCGGGCCACTCACACGCACAAGGCGCGCGTACCTTTTTTTGGAGACCCCACGTCATGGATGAAATGCACGCCCAGCAGCGGGGTCAGCACGGTCGACAAAGACCAAAAGAAGCAAGAGACCAAAGCCGCAGCAAAGGGCCCGCAGCAGTCAGGTGAAGCCATCTTGCCAAAGAAGGCCTGGCTCGCTGCAAGCCACTGCACGGCTTTATTTGACGAGCATGCCGACAGTTGTCGTGCAGTGACCAAAAACAAAAGTAATCACAAACACGCAAAAACAAAAAAACAAAGAAGAGGCCGGAGGCCTTTCCAGTCAAGAGGGTCCTGCATGGTGCCATTTACAGTACATAGCATACACATAGAAGAGAGTGACCGCGCACCAAAGGGGGTGGGGCTGGCACGCCCTGCAGGGCTTTAGGCCGAGCAACGTTACCCGGAAGAAGGCCAGCATAGACCGCAGACTGGATGAGCCCTTGCACCTTCTTGGAGTAGCCGTGCTCCTCGCTCATCTCAATGATTGCAACCTACAGACAAGCTGTTGCTTCTGATGTAAGCTCGGCAAAAAACTAAACATGCTCTGGGCTTCCAAGGTCTGCGAGTCTATTCTGGTCGCAAGCTGCAATTGCAAATGCAAGCCAAGTATCTGAGATGTTGTATCGATCTGCATAGCTCAGCCTCGCTTCAGAGAAAGCACAGCACAAAGCGTGAAGGTGCAGCCGAGATGCAGGAACATGCTCATCAACATGATGGACATGAACCTGGTGCCAACGGGGCTTAGCTGAACACGAGAAGCTCAGCATCCTCAGCGCTGAGTGCTCACAGCCGAGTCGCACCCGCCACCGCTGCGGAGCATTATCATCCCGCTGCACGTCCTTGCTTCCATCGTCCTGAACTAGCGGCATGTCATCTTGATGCCGCACTTGCCGCCACTTCAGTTCAGTTCTGCCAAGTCCTCCTGAAAGCGGAGGGCCAATCCATAACCTATGATGGACCCGGCAGCAAGCACCACGAGGCCTGGGTGCAAGGGTGCAAGGCCGGGGTGCAAAGCTCTCCAAACCCTCGCTCTCGCGAACTTGGCTCACGGGATCCGGCCTAAGGCGACCATGTTGCCCGTGGAGAACTTGGAAGTGGCCACCAGCTTCGGAGGCGGGGCGGCGTTGGCCAGGAAGTCGGGCACCTCCGAGTCATTCCTCAGCGTCGCAAGCTCAGACCGTTTCAGACGCAACTGGCGGGGGTGGCGTGGGGTGTGGTGTGGGGTGGGTGGGGTGAGGTGGGGTGGGGTGAGGTGGGGTGGGGTGAGGTGGGGTGGGGTGAGGTGGGGGGGTGGGGTGGGGTGGCGGGTGGGGGGGTGTGGGGGGTGGGGTGGGGTGGCGGGTGGGCTGGGGTGGAGGGGTTGGGTGTGGTGCATGTGCCGCGGCGCAAGGGCTGCCCAATCTCCGGCTCGATCCTGATGGAAAGCCTCCAGAAACATGCTCTTGGCGATGAAAGATGCCACAACTGCAAGCCTGGTCTGCAGGAACGACGTCTCCGGGCAAGTCGAGACATCTTCCCTGGCCCAACCTTGGCGGCTTGCTAGTCTCTTGCCCCGGTCCATTCGGGCTGAAAGCCACATCTGTGTTGAACTTCATACGTCGCTGGAAGCGCAGTACAATGGCCATACATCGAACAACTGCCAACGCCAAGCAGCATGTGCCTGCCAAGGCAATTACAGCCCATGCAGGCCGCAACATGCGAACGCCGCCGTCTAAAACTCTTGCCCGTCTGAAATGGCTCAGCTCTGATTCTTTTATGGACTGCTACGGTTCGATTGGCTGGAGCCAGAAGGTCGTGTGAAACGAAACCAAAGCGTGAAGGCTTCACCGAAACAAGCCCAAAGCACCTGACACTTGCTTAGTCCATCCTAGTCCCGATCACCTGCCTGCAAGTTGAACCCCGCCAGCGCTAGGCCAGCAAGAATACCCGACACGATGGCCTCAGGCGCCATGAGCAGCCAGGATTCCGGGATAGGCCACCAGGGGCTTGCAGGATCCGGTGGTTTTCGTTGACTCAGTCTGACATGTCCAAAAGATCCAGAAGCATGCAGCATGCAGCTTTTTTGCAGAAGGTGAGACGCGGTCAAAAGCTGCACTCAGTTCTGCGGAAGACCCACGTACTTGCGTGCTGCACGCCAAAGCTGCGCCGGGCGTTCACAATCACAGGACGGTAGCCCAAAGGCTGGTAGACTTTCGTGTGCGCCTGGGCAGTAAGACTGCAGAGCTTGATTGGCAGCCGCACAGCGAAGTCAGACACATCTTCAGCCCGAGCGGCAAACTCAAAACGACCGCGCCTCTGCAAAGTCCAAGCGCTGCTCTATGGTCAGGCCAGTTGGGAGGGTCTGGTTTGCCAGGCTCGTGCAGTGCTGGTCAGTGAGGCGCAAGTGCGCCTGGCCGCCTTGCATCTAGCCCATCCAAGGTGTCCACAATGGGACTAACAACGCCATGGCCATTTGGGTAGCATTTGAGGTCACGATGATGGAAGTGCAAAACGGCCCTTTCCAAGAGCAAAGTCGTCTTTCTGGGGTCTGTGCACTCCCATGTTAGCTGGTGGGAGGGTTAATATCAGAGTATTTGCCAGTCACCTGCCTGGCCGCAGCACATGCACAGCTGCCACGAAGAAGCCAGAGATCAGCTCTGATAGGTTCTGCGCGCCCGGCGCACCCCGACACTTGGTCCATTCAATTTCCTCAAAACTAGAAAGGTCCAAATTGTGGCCAGGGAAGCCCCCAAAAAACCATCTCAACAGTTCCTCCAGCTCGTTTTGTCCCAGCTTGCTTCGGTCCTTGTACACGTGCCGCATCGCCGTTGAATGGTCCGAGGCGGGCGGCGGAGCCGCGAGCGGGAAGTTGAAGACCACGCAGTCGAAGGAGGAGTTGCGGAAGCGGTGGCCTCAGCCCCGGGTGGGGTGAAGGGTCGGCAAAAAACTCCTCCATGTGCCCCTTGGCTTTGTTTTGGTTCTCGGATTCACCAACTGCCAACGCTCCAACTACAGAATCATAGCAGACAGATCTGGAAGACTCTCCTGGTGTTACTCTCCGTCGCCTGCGGAGATCAGGAGAGAAAGTTGAATTCACATACAGAGGAGTCACTCCCCCTTGGCACCCTCATAAAAAACTGCCTCCGTTGGCGGCGTGCTTTGCAACCCCAAATCCTGACCAAGCGTCGCACGTCCGCCACGCCCAGGGAATGAAAAACGCCACCCAGGCCAGGCTCCAGAGCGCCTGAGGCTTGGGCAATTGCGGCAACGGCGCTGTTGCAACGCCGAGCCGCTCAAGCGCCGCAGGGTCTTGGGGCCGAACCTGAAAATACGGTCTCAACATGTCCCCATGCGGTCTAGCAAGATAACTTTGAAAGCTCACACTCAGCAGGGGCCTCGACTGGATTTCCTCCCTGGACTCGTAGGAAGTGGCAATTATCCCGCTGCTGTCTTTGAAGCACCTGCACACCTGACAGGCGCAAAGAGGGCGGACGGAGTGAAAGTTGCATCCAGCTGCAGTTCGAGTGGCTGCAGCGGCAAAGCTGAAGTCCGCCTCTCCAACGAACAGGATGCGCGAGTCCTCGGAGTACCTTTTTGGGGCGCACCAGATCAGCCCCAGGGGCTGATGAGTGAGACAGGTCCGAGCTGCACGACCTCAGCCTCCAACTTCCGCAGGGGCAAGCGCGAGAGGTCCACGGCTCGGCAGGCGGCGGGCTGCTTGCGAGGCAGCCGCAGGGCTCGCCTCCATGACATCCATGGCGTATGGCGTATGGCGTATGGCGGCTGCCGTCGCGAGCCGACGGCTCGAGGCGCGCGCCTTCTGCAAATCGAGACAGGTGCACACTGCCTCAGCGCCGCGCTGCAGAGGAGGAACCCATGCCTTTGGCAAAGGGGATCCGGTTCCTGGGCCATGCGGAATCGAAGCAGAGAGCTTGTTACACAGACAAGCGGCAACGTGTAGTACCTCAGCGTTGGCACCTCGCACCAAGGCGACTCCCGGGCCAATCCCTGCAACGTGTGGCTTCGGGTTCACATCGGCCTCCTGCTCGATATACTTGTATGCTGCTTCCACGCCTTTCACCACCTCAATGCTTCAGTTCGGCTGGCCCATGGTCGCGAGAAAGCGATCTGAAGGCGCCGGCCAGGTTGGACTTGTCCCGAGGCAACTTCTGGGCACCTGTACGCCGAGCCCCCCGGTCTCGCTTCAAACACTTCCAATCTCACGAGGCCGGGACCTTCACCCTCAATCCTCAGATCTAAAGGGCTCTGCATAAACTCTGCCTCTTCCAACTGCGGGAAACACTGCCATCAGTCTAGCAACTACAATGCTTCAACTTGTTTACGTTCGTATCCTTTTGACTTTTTTGGGGGCACTTCCGCCCACCAGCCCATGCCAAGTGCAAGGCTCCATCGAGAAGCTCGAGGCTCGCTCCACCGTGAGCTGGCGGCTCTCTCTCTCTCTCTCTCTCTCTCTCTCTCTATCTCTCTCTATCTCTCTCTCTCTCGCTCTCTCTCTCTCTCTCTCTCTCTCTCTCTCTCTCTCTCTCTCTCTGCTCATGTCACGTTGTGAAACGGCCTCATTCCACACATCCAGCGCCTCAGAAATCACCCAACAGCGCATGCGACTGGTCGTGAAGCCAAGCCGAACTTGGGGCCGCGCCATGCCGGCGCAATCAAAGCCAGGGCCCATGTTGGCAGTGGTCGCAGGCACCCGGACGGTGACCCGCCTGACCGGGCCGCACAGCCCAGGGGCCCAGCGCCCGGGCCCCCAGGACTCTGGAGACTCCGCGCCTCCTGCTCTTGGTCACGAAGCTGTCAAACATCTTCTTGAGGTCGGCGCGGGCCCCCCTCACCAATTCACCACTCGCAAGACATGCGCCAACAACGCGCAGCCAGCAACTCCCAGAACTCCCAGGGCCAGGCTCACCGAGACGGTGCTTCTCTGCAAACTTGGTGACCTGCGGCTCGCACCGCGAAATAGCATCAGCCACGACGTCGGTGTGGCCACTGCTTCTAGCTGTCAGGGCACCAACAGGCACGCGCCTCCGCCTGACCCCACATTGCCTCGCAATGCGGCGTATGCAATACGCGTTCGCGATGTGCACATGACATAGCCTCAGGAGCTGAACCTGTGAGCCTATCTGAGCCTCCCGCGCGTGAGCTTGGCCGGGTGAGCCTTGGGAAGAACGGCTGAGGCCCAGCCTGACTGGTTCCAAGCCATATCGTTTAGTTCGTGTCCAGACCCACATGAGCACCTTAGGCTTGGAGGTTGCATTTCGAGCCCGTGGTCCTGTTAAGCAGATGATTGAACCTCCAGCAGCCAGGTGTGTTGCATGCGTTCCGAGCGCCCGGCCCAGGCCCACAGCCCGGCAACAGCCCAGCTGAGCCACTGCAGAGACCGCCACTGGCCAGTGGTCACCTTCTGAGGCCCTCTGGGGGAACAACCGAAAGGGAAAGATTTCATATCTGGGCTGCCCTCAGATCCCCCACTAAAAGTTCAACTTTTAGTGGGGTAAATGGAAACTACCACTAAACACTAAAAGGCTAAAATGCTAAGGGGATGGCTTGGAGCTACCAAGATATCACAACATATGACGGAAGTACCGACGCAAGAACGCAAACTGCCCGAACAGTGGGCTCACTGGTTCATTCAGCTTGCACCAGCTTTTTCTTGGGGGGGCAAGCTGCCTGTCCCAACATCCCGACACAATTTGCCTTTTCTGACCCGGTCCAAGCTGAAAACACACCGATTCTTTGCCCCTTGTCAGCCCAAACAGGATTCTCCATCAAACCTAACGCCCTTTCTTGCGACCCCATTTCAGCATTTCCTGTGCAGAAAGGAAAAGATCCCCTCGTATCGCTATCCCTGAGCAGCACCGCATGCCACACTTTCTCACCGGCGTGCGCCATCCAAAAAGTCTGCAGCGAAGGGCTTGGCCCGAAAACGCTGGCTCCGGCTAGCGGCTACCTAATTGTGGGACCAGGCTGGTGTCATTTCCACCGCGTCTCCACGCGTTGCCCCTCCCAGCCCCGTGTGGCCTTCAGAAGCGGACAGGCGGTCGAACCTGAACACGGTGAAACAGAATCCGCGGCAAGCGCTCGATCGCAGTGGCACGCTGCGACGCTACGAAGCTAGGACCCTACACGAACATTCACCTTTATTTTTTCCGCGGGCGGCAAGCGCGTCGTGTCGGAACGCAAATGAACGTGCAACCAACTCGTGGCCTCACGGAACAGCTGAACCGAACTGAACCATGGCCGGTTTGGCCAGGATTTGTGTGACACTTAAAAAGGGGCCCGAGATCACATCCGGGACCCCGGCTGTCGCGTGACGACTGGCCACGCCCGGCCCGGACCCCATCGTCTTGGACGGTGGGACCGGGGATGGACCTGGGATGCCGGCCTAAAAGACGCCTCCCTCGAGTTCTGAGAAAAGGGGCAAAAGCGATGCTTGCCGCAGGCGCGCATCAACTTCCAGGCAAAGCGAACGCGGCCAAGTGCCAAACCCCCAGGCACGCTTTACTCTATAACGCTCTCGGCAGCTTGGCCAGGCTCAGGAGTGCAGCTTGAGGATCGCTGGGCGGCAGTAGGTTTGATGTGCCGGAACCTAAGGAACTCCACAGCTTTAGGGGTCCACGCGCGCCGTCGGAGAAACTGCCAAAACAAAAGCGCATCAAAGGTCGTGCATCCCAAGAGGGTTGAGTTCCACTTCGGCACAGTAAACAGGTTTCCCTTTGTTGGAACATGCATGTTGGAACATGCACGTCTGGGTCAAATTGGGGCCTTGCCAAAGAGCACCCCCACATCAACTTTGAAACCGCTTACCCTCATGGGTCGGTCTTGGGTTGAGGGCTCCTCTTCTCCTGAGACAAAGCCGTATTACACGCCTAGGCCAGCAGGTGATGGCATTTGTGCGCCACGGCACTCAGAGTTTTCAAAGACTGCCTGCACATTCTTGTCGTTGTCGCCATGCAATTTGGCGAGCACCTCATTGAATAGCACCTGGCAGCTCGAACACATTCATTCACCATCCGCAGTCGGAAACGCAAAGGGAGGAGTCACGTGAACCCCCCCCCACAGCTGCTGAGATTTGCAATCCATGCATACCACCTTCAACATCAAATAAATGGCATGCCCCATCGGCCCCCCCACAGTCCGCCATATGCCCCAGCGACGCCAGGATTAAAACAAAATATGAGAACAGCCCAGGACATAGTGAAAGACCATTTCTCTCAGGAATCAGCTGAATTCTTGAGCCTGCGAATTGGGTTTCCTGGCATGGGGCGCCTTCTGTTTCGTGAGCAAGGGTATGTCCCTGCAAATGGGGAATCCCCTCCCAAAGGGCTCTTGGGCTGCGCCTCCAGTTTGGTCTCCAGGCGCCAAATGTCCAGGGCCTTAGCGCCTCCTTTCAGGCGACCGGCACCATCGATGAACTCCATCAGCCTCGAATGTCGAGTGTTAAAACCAGAGACCCGGAGAAAAACCGGTGGAAAAAAAGGGTCAGCGTCGCAGAGTCTTCTGGCTTGAGGCTATTCCACATGCCAATTTGTTTAGGCGGCCTTGCTTAATAACTATCCAACAATTCAACATAGAACCAAATCTGCCGATGCTAGTTGAGTGTGTAGATGGCAATCAGCAACTTGCTCCTCCTAAAGCCGAAGGCTTTCGGGGAGGATTTTTTTGGGCAAAATTTGCCGGGTGTCCAAAAACCCTGTACTTGTCCAGTAGGTTTGGCCTTCGAACGCCTAAAGCGCGGGTGTTGTTAGGTTTGCGCGGGGAGGGAGTTTGCCTACGGGTGGTAAGAATCTGCATTCCTAGCATTATCGGGGCTGAGTTGGCGGCATGGTGGTTGTCGTTGTTCCTGCTGATATCAATAGTGTTTCCTGTTTTGAGGGCAGCGACAATCTCAGGAACTGCTGAAATTGAAAATATGTGCGATTTCATTAGTGTAGGAGCGTTGCTGCGAATCATCCCCTGCAATATTGTGCTTATAGAAGTATTTCGGGTTTGCTGTCATCCTTTTTGATGGTTGATTTTGGGAAAAATCGGAAAAACACATGTTTGTTGCACGCTGCATCCCCAGCATTCCCTGCATTCCCAACATTCCCGCACCCCCGCTATCCCCAGCATTTTGCGTCCGAAGTGCATGACATCTTGGGTTTGGACATTTGCCGGCCTGGTACGCATGACTCCAAATTCTGCGCATATGGGAGGGATTGGCAGCTTTTGATGCAATAGTTTTGTTCTATGGAACTTGAGGGTTGGCATGGAGCCTTTATGGGACATGCGTTTGGGAAATGTCACGCTGAGTTTGCACGTGCGAAGTTTGCTGACAGCAGACGGAGTGAAATGCTTCTTACCTCCCCTGATCCCTCCCTGGGGTGACGAGTGATGACTTTCCTGCGGAGACGCGGGGGGAAAAAATGGTGAAAAGGGTGATTCTGAGGGGAGGCCAGTTGGTTACCTGTTATGTTTTTACATTCGTCTCAAACCTGTTAACCACCTTCTTCGTTTTTAATAGAGGGTTTTTGGGGAGCTGAAATATCGTTTTGTTGGAGGTGGTCATTTGGGTAATTGGTTCCCTTGTTCATTGTTGGGCTGGGGGCTGACGTTTTGTCGTTTTGAAAGAGGTAGCTCTTTTAGTAGTTGTCATGTTCTGGGGTGTTGGTGGTGCATTTGTTTTGATATGTTTGTTGTCATTGAAATTTTGTTATAGGTTAAAATTACAGTATAATGAAAGGTTTTAAATATTTACAAAGTTTAATCATATTATAATTTATATTTGAATAATATGAACAAACTAAATCACTCATGCTTTCCATCTTCCTATTCCCTCCCCCCAGTATTCAATCATTCGCATAGGTGAATATGGTAGTTTGTTTCCTTCGTTTAGTTCCCGTCTCGCTTCAAAGATGAGAACGAGACCCTCTCCTAATTATTTACTTTTCAGGAGACCCTCTCCTAAGATTTCAGGAGACCCTCTCCGAGAAAGCCAGGAGCCAGGAGACCCTCTCCTAACTTTTCAGGAGACCTCTCCTAACTTTTCAGGAGACCTCTCCTAACAATTCAGGAGACCTCTCCTAAGATTGCAGGAGACCTCTCCGAAGATTTCAGGAGACCTCTCCAAACATTTCAGGAGACCCTCTCCTAAGATTTCAGGAGACCTCTCCTAAGATTTCAGGAGACCTCTCCTAACTTTTCAGGAGACCTCTCCTAAGATTTCAGGAGACCTCTCCTACGATTTCAGGAGACCTCTCCTAAGATTTCAGGAGACCTCTCCTAAGATTTCAGGAGACCTCTCCTAAGATTTCAGGAGACGCTCTCCTAACTTTTCAGGAGACCTCTCCTAAGATTTCAGGAGACCTTCTAAGATTTCAGGAGACCTCTCCTAAGATTTCAGGACACTCTCTCTCCAAGATTTCAGGAGACCTCTCCTAAGAGACCTTTCAGGAGACCTCTCCTAAGATTTCAGGAGACCTCTCCTAAGATTTCAGGAGACCTCTCCTAAGATTTCAGGAGACCTCTCCTAAGATTTCAGGAGACGCTCTCCTAACTTTTCAGGAGACCTCTCCTAAGATTTCAGGAGACCTTCTAAGATTTCAGGAGACCTCTCCTAAGATTTCAGGAGACATCTCCTAAGATTTCAGGAGACATCTCCTAAGATTTCAGGAGACCTCTCCTACGATTTCAGGAGACCTCTCCTACGATTTCAGGAGACCTCTCCTAAGATTTCAAGAGACCCTCTCCGAAAAAGCCAGGAGAAAGGAGACCCTCTCCTAACTTTTCAGGAGACCTCTCCTAAGATTTCAGGAGACCTCTCCTACGATTTCAGGAGACCTCTCCTAAGATTTCAGGAGACCTCTCCTAAGATTTCAGGAGACCTCTCCTACGATTTCAAGAGACCTCTCCTAAGATTTCAAGAGACCCTCTCCGAAAAAGCCAGGAGACCTCTCCTAAGATTTCAGGAGACCTCTCCTAACATTTCAGGAGACCTCCCCTAAGATTTCAGGAGACCTCTCCTAAGATTTCAGGAGACCTCTCCCAAGATTTCAGGAGACCTCTCCTAAGATTTCAAGAGACCTCTCCTAAGATTTCAGGAGACGCTCTCCTAAGATTTCAAGAGACCTCTCCTAAGATTTCAGGAGACCTCTCCTAAGATTTCAAGAGACCTCTCCAAACATTTCAAGAGACCCTCTCCGAAAAAGCCAGGAGACCTCCCCTAAGATTTCAGGAGACCCTCTCCTAACTTTTCAGGAGACCTCTCCTAAGATTTCAGGAGACCTCTCCTAAGATTTCAGGAGACCTCTCCTAAGATTTCAGGAGACGCTCTCCTAACTTTTCAGGAGACCTCTCCTAACATTTCAGGAGAGGTTCTAAGATTGCAGGAGACCTCTCCTAAGATTTCAGGAGACCTCTCCTAAGATTTCAGGAGACCTCTCCTAAGATTTCAGGAGACCTCTCCTAAGATTTCAGGAGACCTCTCCTAAGATTGCAGGAGACCTCTCCTAAGATTTCAGGAGACCCTTTTGAGGATTAACCCTAAAACAAGCTAACAAATATATCACTAATTAAACAGAAGGTATTTTATACATGTCTTCCTGTTTATGAACGATAGGATTATCGCCCCATTCCTCCTTAGTTTTTGGTGGTAAGCGTTGAGCAGTTTCAAGGTGTCGCCCATTGTTAATTGTCCCACAATCCCTATTACATAATGGTCTAGGTCTCCAAGTTGTTATGTTAGTCCAAAGCCTAGTGCTTTTCCTGTAATTCATTCCGTCTTTACAATAATCCACATCATAGTATTTCAACCCACTCATGAATGGTTGTTCCTTTAATAATCCTGTTTGGGGATTTTCTACAACCCACCACTTCGGTTTGAAATAGTTGATGATTTCAAGGGTTTTTAAAATGATACTATTAGCATAATCTATTTTTCTAACCCCAGTAGTTTTAGCGCGACTGTATTCAGTGCAAGGTGGCGATGCCCAAATCACATCAAACTCACCCACGTCAAACTGTTTGTAGTCCCAACTCAAAATGTCAGTATTGTTACTTGCATTCAAATCCAGGGAAATGACACTAAAACCCAAATCCCGAGCAACCCGACCAACCGAGCCTGTCCCTGAAAATAGCTCTAATAATTTCATATTATTAGAACTATTTAGATATTAATATTTTTGCATACATATCGTTGATGTTTGTCGCTTCGCCCGTGCCTTCTTATATCACCGCATTCACATTCAATAGTGCATTTTCTTTTTCCAATGATTCTTTCTTTATTTTGGTGGTAATGTTCCCTACTTTTATCACATATATGTTCCTTGTTCTTTTCCGAGTATTCCCCTCATATGTTGGTAATGTTCTTTGTTATCCTCTTTCCACTCATTAATTGTTCTACCCGCCACACATCTATTCACACAATCATTATTTTGAATGTAATAACCTTCTCTTTTCAACAGTTGTTCTTTGTTTTCACATGGGTAGTCTTCTAATCATTCAATCTTGCAGTTTTCCATTCCATACTCATCAAATAACAATCGACCATTCCTCGGCTTTCTTATGGTTTTGTCTATGTCTTGCCGTTCTTTGCCTCAAACTTTCACACGTGCTTCCAATGTAGCAATTATTATAACCAATATCTGTTATTTTGTAAATCTTTGCATTTTTACATTACTGCTTTCCATTAATATCATACTATATCTTCTCTTTAACGCAGTTTATAATGTGAATTGAAAGCATCAATATAAAACCTTGTATTTTCATAATTACTCAGACTTTGCTTGACTTGCGACATTGAATATATTTGGTGAGACTTACTCCTAATAAAAATTTTATGTTATTTCATGCTTTTTGTTTTCAAATAATGCTTCGTGGTAGTTTTGGTAAGTCAGTTCGATCTTCACCTTGTGTTTCACTACACCTTTTGGTGTCTTTTGCTCTTCTTCTTCACCAAGTATTGTGAAAGTGTATGATTTGGGTTTTAACCCTATAAACTTGGTAATTACTTTTCCGCTGCATTCATCCTTGAAATAACCTAGTTTTTTCTTATTTTTTGTTGTCATGACATGGATGTTCTACTGGATAATCGCTAAAGTCCATATATTGGTTGAATTCTTTGAAGTCCTTGTAGATGTCCTCAGTGAATGTTTGAATTACATAACTGTCAGTATCAGTATCAACCAGTTTGATGCTTTCATTGTGTTTCTTCTTAAGAACATCATAGTGGAACTGATACATATGTAATTTACTGATGTCAAGGATTGCCATTCCTAAGAAAATCGGTCCAGTTTCAGTTTCGCTTTAGTTTTTTCAACTCCCACCAGATTCCAACTTATAATAAACCTGTTTTTGAAGGTTGGATTATTAACACATTTTTCATATCTTACCTCATTATCAACTAATTCAAAGTCCATATGATTTCGTTTGTCTTCCATAGTATTTCCATACACACTATTCTTCATTAATTTAAATAAATCTTTCTCAAAATCGCTTTTGGCTTCTTTCCTTTTACCAGTGTTGAAGTCAATCCACGGTTTCAACCATGCCCTTTGTTGAAATTTTATTATCCTATGGGCTTTGGTCATTTTCAAACCCATTTTCAAATAATACTGTAAAGTCTTGATATGAACCCCACATTTTTTGTCCTTTAGATGTAATATTAACTTACTGGTTTTCTCATCCTTTGGGTTTTTGCCATCATAATACATTTTATAGACTTGCGTTTGACAATCGGAAAGCATATCCACATTTACATTCATTATTTCAGGTGCTAGTGGATAGTCAGAGTGGAAGTCGCGCAATGTTTCGGGGTATTCCTAATCAACTTCCACAATACAACCAAACTCATCGTGTTCATTCCATTTTTCAACATTGGGAGTTTTCTTTGCCCACTTGATATTTTTCAATGGTAACTTCTGGGACATTGCTAAACCATACAAGTTATTAGCATCCAAGTAACTAATATAATTTGACGGTTTGTTCTCATCATTTGCTTCCTCCATATACGTATTATTTGCCACTGCTAATTTATGACTGACTTGACACATTCCTCCTCTCATTCCCTTTTCAACCATCTCAAACATTTCTTGGTCATGCAATTGTTCTATTTCAACACCAGTTTTTAGAAGCATTGCGTCCCAAGCGAAATTAGGAAGCGTGTAATAATGAGCAGGATCCAAACCGTATTCCACACACTAGTCCCTAAAGTTTTCAAACATCGGTCAGTAGTAAATCATCAGTTCTTAAATACAAGTCATGGTACTGCCCGAGTGTTCTAATCCCGAAGTGCTTCCATACTTTCAATGCCCTTTCATAATCTTTATCACTTACATGTTCTTCACTCAATTTACTGTAAAACGCTTCTTTAGGTGGTAGTTGCCTTTCCTTAAAATCTTTCAAAGTCATCAAAGTAGTCATAAGGATAGATGCCCTTGTCAGTCAGTAAATCCAAGTCCTCATCAGTTTTAACATAGGGGTTTCTGACACTGTATCTGAAATTGTTCTTCCAATTCTCACGCTTTGTATCATCCTCATACTTACTCAACTTGACCAACTTATCCAAAGAAGATGATAAGAAACTGAAACTGTCCTTGAAACAAAGATTTTTAAACCGAAGGTGATGAACTTCTCGCTGTTCTGTGCAATACAATCTATTTCAGAATTCTTGTTCAGTTCGTGCGCCTTGTTGATGATTAAGTGGGCATCATAGTTTTTAAGGATATGAAGAAACACAGGGATTTTATAATATCTCATACTAAAACCAAGAAGACAATCATCGTGGGCACATCCTCTGTAAGCTCCAGTAAAGTGACAATGGTCACGAACCTTCTTGTCACCTTCCTTGAAGTCAATTCCACAGATGAAGCGCTCTTTAGCATTTTCAAAATCTTCCTTGTCCTTTTCAGTCATGATTATCTCTTTTACTTCCTTCATCCTACTAATAATATCTTCTCTGACTTTATTGATTTCTCAACGAAATTATCCATACAATCTTCACCTCTGTATAAGTAAGGCTCACTACTTCCAGTTATAGCATTGACTACCTTAATCATAAGACCGCAAGGATGGTGATTTTGATATGATGTAGTTTTAGCTTTTGCCGATTTGCTTTTCACATCAATGGGCACAGTCAAACATTCAAAGTCAGCATAGACTACGAAGGGAGCTTTTAGTTTCTTGAAATGGTTTTGGAATGCTATAGTCTCCCCAACATTTGGCATTTCTATTTTCTGTCCCTCCACTGCTAGACATCCCTGTTCTTTGTGTTTCTTTAAAAGTTCTTCTGATTGAAAACCATGAGGGCAGGTTCTACAATGATACTTTTTGATTTTCTTTGTGTTAGTCTGACCACTCATCCACTTATCACAATTTTGATAAAAACATAGTGTGAGCTATTACCTTCGTCTAATTTAATCAATTCTATTTTGTGCTGCGCTTGTGGGTTGTTGCTTCTTTTGTACAATATAATTGTTTTTCTATTCGTAGCAGGGTTGATGTAATAAACATTGACAGATATATGTTTGTTTTGTTCTTCGAAGAGTTTAATCTCATCATTACCAACAGGAAACTCTACATTACAATGCAACAGCTCGATTTGCCTGCAAATTGCACGAAAAACTTAAAAAAACAAAAAAAAGAGAAGCTGTTTTTGCAAAAATCTACACAGATTTACTACAAATTCTACTACGCACCCAAATTACTACACAAAAATTGTGTAGTAAAATTGCCCTATGTTGATCCTTCAGGTACTACTTTTGTACTTAAAAGTTGCGACTTTGCAGCTCGAGCTGCGGGGACGCACTTCGCGTGCTACTTTTGCGCTTAAAAGTTGCGACTTTGCAGCCTGCTCCCACACGGTCGCGCGCAAACCGCGAAGATATGCGAAGATTCACACGGCACCATTGCGAGAGCGATCTGACATGCACGCACGACCCCCGCAAAGGGTCGCATCCGCACAACAAGAATCGAAGAAAAAAACATCCTGAATTGTACCTCGACCACGCCGATCCCCGCAGCGGGTCGCGCGCGTCCCGCAAGAATCGCAAAAAATAACCCTCAGCTTTTGGACATCGACCCCCGCAGAGGGTCGCGCGGGCTAGTTGCAAATCGCAAAACACCCTCAGTCTTTGCACCTTGACCACGCCGATCTCCGCAGAGGGCCGGGCGCTTCCCGCAAGAATCGCCAAAAAAAACAACCTCAGTTTTTGCACATCGACCACGCTGATCCCCGCAAAGGGTCGCTCGCGCTCAGTTTTTGCACCTCGACCACGCCGATTTGTGAGCGGGTCTCATTTCCGCAGAGCGCGCTTGGTCTTACCGCGCCGTTTTGACATATTTATCCAAGTTTTCTCGTGTAAGTTATACTCGTGCGAGGAGGAATGCAAGATCGCTACGCATATCACTGTGTACTTTTCCTACGCATGCCTCTATGCATTTCACAGTCTGCTTTCCCTGTGCATGCCCCTATGCATTTCACTGTGTACTTCCCTCTGCATGCCTCTATGCATTTCAGAGTCTGCTTTCCCGGAGCATGCCTGTATGCATTTCGCTCGGTAGTGCATGCCTCCATGCGATTCACTGTATACTTTCCCTGTGCATGCCTCTATGCATTTCACTGTGTACTTTCTCTGCGCATGCATCTATGCATTTCACTCTGCGCTTGCCCTATGCATGCCTCTATGCATTTCACTGTCTACTTTCCCTGTGCATGCCTCTACGCATCACACTGTCTACTTCTTTGCGCATGCCTATATGAATTTTACTACTTTCCCTGCGCACGCATCTATGCATTTCACTCTGTACTTGCCCTATGCATTTCACTGCGCACTTTCCCTACGCATGCCTCCATGCATTTCAGTGCCTACTTTCCCTACGCAGTTGAGCTGTGCAGAACGCAACGACTTTACCAGAAGAAGCCTTCGCAATCCTTTCGGGGAAAACAAAAGCGAGAATTCCAATTGCAGAATTGTAATGGGAGAGCCCTCATGAAAAATGGAAGCTTCCAAATGGAGAATTATCATTGGAGAAATGGAAATGTTCAAAGAGAACATTCCAATTAATGGGGGAATTCGCAAAGGAAGAAATGTGAAAAAAACAGAAGAGACAAGTCCAATGAGAAATTTCCAATGGGAGAAATCCAAGGGGAAAATGCTAAAGGGAAACGTCCGAAGGGACAAAGGGACAAGTCCAATGAGAAACGTTCAATAAGAAAGTTCACATCTGACAATTCTGAAAGCAAAATTCCAAAGAGAGAGCTCCAAAGAAACTTCACATGGGACCAGTCCAGAGGCAAATTCCAGAGGCAAATTCTACTGACAATTCTAAAGGAGAACGTCCAATGGGAAGATTCCAATGGGAGACTTCCAATAGGAGAATTCCAATGGGCGAAATCCAATGAGAAATGTCCAGTGGGAAAACTCCAAAGGGAAAGTTATAATGGGAAGTTCCGAAGGGAAGATCTCAAAGGGACAAGCGCAATGGTAAATTCAGTGGGGAAATTCCAATCTGACAACAATGAGGGAAAAACTTCAAATGGGATGAGTCCAACAGGAAGCTTCTACCGGGGAAATTCTAAAGGAAAACGCCCAATGGGAAACAAAGGGAAATTCCGAAAGGAGATTTCCAAAAGGAAAACTGCAAAGGGGAAACTCAAAAGGGAAACACCATGCTTGACTGACTGTAGCACTCAAAGGGGCGTAATCTCTCCGTCACCGTTGTCCAAAAATTCGAAGAGGCTGAGCAAGTCGTGGTACTCAAGCCTCAGCCAACGCATATGTTTGCTGCCGGAGACATGGCTCTCGCATCGTGCCAGGCGGCTCCAGCTGACCCATCCAAAATTTCAGCATGGGCGAGTTCACCAGCTTTGAGAACTCTTGAAGGTTGATGGTACCATCACCAGAAGAGTCCATGGTCTGGAACAGCTTCTTTACTTTCCTCAGGGCTGAGTTCAAAACAATTCTCAAAGCCATGTGCAGCACCAATGCCCCGCCTCGTGTAAAGCGCCACGTCCCTCTCCTTCTGCTTGAAGGCCAGCTCTTCATCAGAGCTCGCAGTCTTCATTGTCTGCTGCACGAAAACCTGAAGCTGCATACGTCATGAACAGAGCCTCATCCCCCTCCACCTCACCAACATCATCATCACCAGCAGCATTAACGGCGGCATCAAGCAACAGCATTCGCGGCGCAGCATCATCATCATCTTCATCTTCATCATCATCATCATCACCCAGCAGCAGCAACAGCAGCATCAGTAGCTTCACAATCTTGAGGCCTCGTCAGCAACAGAAGCGACAGAAGCGACAGCATTGGAAGCAGCACAGCTGCTAAAGAAGCAGAGCAAAAACAATCATCCTTAATCATGACTGGGACGAGCAAGCATCGATCAGCATCGGTGTTGCCACCATCATCACCTCACCAGAGCGCAAGCAGCACAAGCATTGTCACCGTCATCCGAGGCTGCGGCAGCTCCAACATCAGCATCAGCTTCATCATCGCAAGCCTTGTCAGCATCAGCAGTATGCATCATCTTCACCAGCATCATCAGCAGCAGCAGGGGCATCATCATGATCAACAGCAGCATCGTCAGCAGCAAGATCACCATCGCCCTCATCAGTAGCTCGGCCAGCAGCAGGATAAGCATCATCATCAGCAGCAGCAAGCGTCAGCGGCATCCTCATCCACTGCTTTTCCGAAGTTCTGGGGGAACGCAAACTGGCAATTCAATCACCGACGTAGCTGCACCGATGAATGGCAACAGGTTGCTTCAGACCAGGCGAAGTGAGAAACCGAGGGTATTCATGTTACGTTGCATACCGGTGGTTTGGTTGTACGGCCCCCCAAATACCTGCGATGTACCTTGATAAGATACCTTGGATACGCCGTAGGCACGATTGTTTTCCAATGCTTCTGTTCCTCTCGGAAAACGACTTGAGCCAAACACCTTCCGTCTATCCAAAGTAGTGGCTCAGATTTTGCTCGCTCTTCATTGATGCGAGACGATAAATCATTCAAAGTCTGTTGCGCTGACGGCAAGAGATACACTGCTAAGAAGTTGTCAGGAACACGCAGTGCTTCGGCACAGGAGTTCCCGAATTTGTGGGAAGAAGCTCCCGTTTAGATTGAAACATCATCGAAACTCACCAAGCGCAATATGCCCAAAGCTCTCACACGCGTTCAGCTCTTCGCTCGTCCTGCCTGCGAAGAGATCCGGCTGGCCTGACCCTCCGCCTGTGTCGGGCGCTCTGCTCGCCATGGAGGGGTTCCCCTTCTTCGGCCTTTGGTGGGGGCGGTGGGGGCGCAGCCCTCTTGGTTGGATGACGGTATCACCAATGGTACGTCCCCACTCTTTCTCCCCGTTCCTGCTTTTCTTGAAACTTGCGCAACTCCAACATCTTTGGTGTCATCCAGAGGTCATGCGTGAGAAGCACATCCTAGGTGATCAGTCCGAACTCATCGAATATCTTGTCCAACCCATTTTTCTTTGAGTTTGCAGCCTGGGCGTGGCGTAGGCACTCACCGCTTGATCCTTCAGGTAGGTGATTCTCCCTCTGACGTTCACCCCTCCCCTGACAGAATCTTCCCCATGATTCCGGGTAAAGTCGTGCACAGATGAGGCCCGCTAGGTGGGTCATCCTCTTTTTCTTGACGTGCTCGTCTTCATGTCAATGTCATCTCGAGGAATCTGCCTTTCTGTGAACTCGCCCCTGGTTTGCCGCCACAATGACTCGAAGTCTTCGAGCGAAACGGCAGTAGGTCGGTAGTAATCGTCGACCGGAAGACAACATGGAACATCCTTGCAACATGGTCCACGAGATCCGCAGCGCCACTGATTTTTCCGCTCATTTATCTGCTCTTCACCGTCCCGTGCGGCAGCATTCAGCCCCCAAAGCGATTCGACAGCCTTGAAATTCTTGGAAAGCACTCTCACAAGAGCCAAAATACCGGAAGTAGCTTCAGGCAGCGGAGCAACGCGCTTCACTTTCTTGTTGCGCAAATGTTCATCGGGATCTTCACGCTCAGATTGGTCTTCTTCAGCTTCCTCACGAGCCTCTCTCTTGATTTCTTCAACATCAACATTGACAGTCCTCCTGCGCTGAGACGTTCCGTCGTGTTTCTTTCGAATGGACGTACATGATCACTCCATGTGTGTAGAAAGAAGTACCCTTCGCAAATTATGCAACACGTGAACGAAGCCGGCGTGCAGTTCAAGCAAGTTGGACACTTTCGCGTCACCTGTCCACACCACCGATCATCCGGTTTCTTATTCACGATCACAAATTTGCGAAATTGGACATGGCCATATGGTACTCCTCCTCGCCCTCGGCGCGTCCCTCGATTCGATTCCGTCCTGGACAGTTCCGCTTGCATTCTGACAGTCCTCGGAGATTAGCTTGATACAGCTCTTCTCGTTCTACCATTCGGGACGCGACTTCCCTAACGCGAAGGTTGTCAGCGAGTGTCCATCGTACGGTACAATCGAGACACAGCTCGTCAGCGAAGTCGGGGCTCATCACCATCTCGGGATCATGTCTCTCCCTGCTCCCGCAACCCATCCACCATACATTCTTCACTGCTTTGAACGGCACCTTCGTCTTCCAGTTTGTGGCACTGGCGCAATATGGGAGAAGATCCTTCATCCCTGGTCCCAGGACACATCTCGGACCCCCCGGAGCGAACACGTTAAAGATCCTACCGCACGCTGATCACTGCTGGTAACACCGTAATTCATAACGTCCTTGAGTCCGAGCTCCGATGCTTTGATGGTAATGCAGCATCCATTTGCAAACTCAGCTAAACCATCATTGCTCGGCCAGGGGTGCTTTGCAGCGCCTTGAAAAACGAATGGCGATTGGTTGTGAGTCGCACAAATAGCCACGGGTTCGCAAACTCCGCCGCAGGTGCTGAACATCCAACCCAGTTGATCATCCGTCGTCTCATACTCCTTCTTCATCCTGTCTCGGTGCTCCTCGTCGGTCTTCCAACATAGGTTTGTGAATCTCGAGGCCCCTCTCTGGAATCTCTTTGCGCATTGTTTCTACACACGCCGTACGCTGCTTCTAAAAATCCTTTTGGCATCCTTTGAAACCTTTGCACAGACTGTGGCGACAGCGACATCCTCGTCATCTTTGGACTTCTTTGCCATTGCTTTCTTCTTCTTGGCTTTGTTATCTGCCTTTATGATACGTCTCTCATGTCCTTCTTCGATGCCCCGCTCTACTTCAGCGGTCACGTGCTCCCAAAGCATTCGGTCCGTGAGACATCTTCTTCCATTCCTCTGGCGAAGTGTTTGTTGGCGCGGCGGTCTTGCACGCCCTCCTGCCATCAACCCCTACCTCATGTGGCTTCCCTTGGACTCGATCGATGAGAATACAATCGGGCGCTTCAGCTGTTTCACTGTTGATGGTAGCGCGCCCGACCAACCACATCCTTGCATCTGGGCCCTTCTTTAGCATTCGCTGTCTGAAACGCAATTGCTCTCTCATCTCTCCAACTCCGTACAATGATGTTGAAACACTTCGTGCTGCTCTGCTTGTACAGTCCTGCTTCTTCACCCATGGCCAAGCCCGAATCTCCATCTCCGACATTTGGGCATTTCTTACCCTCCATATTCATCCTTCATTCTTCCATGAACTTGAGCAACTTGAGCCATCATCGGTTCGTAGGGCTTGGATTGTAGATTCGTTATAGTGTTCGGTTGTCTCTTTCACTTTGTGTTCTGCCTTTGCATGGCGCTTGCGCAAGTGTTCTTCAAGTTGTTCATCCGCGTTCCCGGGGCTCTCGCTGATTTCCCTTGGGGGTGATGATCTGTCCCTTCGCCGGGGTGCGCGGGATTGCGCTCTTTCACCGTCTGCATCAGATGGCCTGGTCCACGTCAGCGTTACTTGGCTGACTTGTTGCCTGGGCTCCAACACTGATCACAACGGTATCTGCACTCCACTGTCCGGTTGGCTTGGGCGTGCCCTGCGACGACACTCGGCAACTGAAGACCGACCGTCGGACATTCTTGAAAAGTAGAGTAGCCCCGTTGGGAACCGGTGGTTTGGTTGCGCCGCCGCCCGAAACCTGCAGTGCACCCAGGTAGGATACCGCGGATACCCACGATTGCTTTCCAATGCTTCTGTTCCTCTCGGAACGCAAACCACTAGATACGACGCAAGCCAAACACCACGGTAGGAGGCATGGCCGAGGTTGCAACGATATTCACACAAAACAAGGAACCGTTTGCTGGGAGGACTCCTAGGCCCCTAAGTTGCGCCCAGGAGCAGCGTTGACGACATTGAGGACCGCAAATCCCAGCACGCAGCGGTACGTCAGAAAGAAGATGGAAAACCACTCGCTGATGTTCTCCACCAGAACTCGACATGGAGGCCCCCAATTTGCAAAGAGAATTTCAAACCTGGGCATCGAAGGGATCGATGCTCTATGTTGACGTATGCATGAGGGGGGGCCCTTTTCGACACAAACGCAACACAGCAGCATTGTCAGGAAGGTGCGCGAGAAGGTCCCGTAGTACCGGAACACCTCCAGCCGGAGGTCCAGGTCATTAGCTGTATGTTCCACAAAGTCTCGACATAATGTACTTGCAATCATCCCGGCCACGCACTGCACAAAGGTCAGCAAGCAAAAGCTCCAGAACAACATGTTCGTGCTGGCTGCTATGCCTTAACGCGCATCCAGTGAAGTGGCACAACCTCTGCACTTGTCTCCAACATGCCTGTTGCAATGCTACCCCGGCCCCCTGCGGCTGGCACAGCTTCAAGCGGTCTCCTCTAGTCAGAAGCCTCCATCATGGTGAACCAAAAAAGCGCAGTGGCAGCCCCATGGGTCACGACATCAAGCAAAGCCCTCATAGGTCATAGTATGGTTCGTCAGTTGGCTGGCTAGTTGGCTAGTCTAGCGAGCTTGTTGCTTGGTCAGCTGGCTGGCCGCCTGGCTAGCTAGTTTGCCGGTTGGCTGTCTTAATGATTAGCCACTTGGTTGGCTAGCTGGCCAATCAGTTTGTTAGTTCATTTGGTTGGCTGGCTGGCTGGCTGGCTGGCTGGCTGGCTGGCTGGCTGGCTGGTTGTCTGTCTAGCCAGTTCATTCGCTACTTGGCTTAGCTGACTAGCTAGGTTCGTACACTGGCTAGGTGGCTCCTGGGAACTGGACGGAGTAGATGGCAGGCCAGCTGGTCGGCTAGTTCGCGAATTGACCAGCTAGCCAGCCAGCTAACTAGCGCTGGCTAGCTAGCTGCTTTGCAAACGGAGAAGTGCAAAAAACAAAAACACTGGCGTTTGGGGCTAAAACGCGCAAAGGGTTCACCGTCTGACGGTTGCAAAACAATGCGCGTGGCCGTGCCAATCAATGATCCCATGGCCGCACCCGCTCCGAGAACACTCCGTTTGCTCATGCTTCGAGCGGTCGCAGGCCACCTGAAAAATGCGGAACCACGGGCGTTCTTCTAATTTCCTTGGATTCGAATCTCAATTTTCTGGAAACAGGGACGAGGACTAGAGCAGGTGGGCCTTGGAATACTGCCATAAGGAAGGCAACGGCGGTATGAATTTCAATGGCGAGCTGCACTTGATGAGCAGCTGGAGGGATGCCAAGACACTATTCATGGTCACCATCCGGATGGCTCTCGCAAGCTTTCCGATTCGCAGCAAGCGAAACAGGATGGGGTTCACCGGCACGGTCATGGCGTGGGTAAGAGTTAACTCCATCACAGACGTTGTCGTCACGGCAATGTCAATGTAATTCAGCCACGCCTGAAAGAATTTGCAGCGCAGGACAAAGATGCGGACCAGGACGTCCAGACCAAATAACGCAGTAAACAGATTCTCGCCCACCCTCGGAGCAATCCGGGCATGGGCATAGAGCCAAACACACTGGCTCAACAGACTGGCCCTGCAGGCAAGCAACGCAAAGACCAAGGCCCACGATTCGGCCTCTGAATCGGGCATCTGGGTATCGCTAACACCCAGCTCATAGGATATGCGCGTCCTTCGAATCTGCAACGAGCCGTGTCAAGCGATGCCTCCAACAAAACACCAAATGCCAATTCAAGTAAGCCGAGTCTTACATGAAAGTTCGTGCATGACCTGCCCATCAAACTCTTCATCGCCAGGAAACCCAAATGTCTGCAGCTCGAATGCCATCCACAGGACATTGACGCCTCAGGCCCAACACTGGCTGAGATAAAACCACTGGGGGCAGAACCTTCTGACAAGCTTCAGAGCAGGGAAGCCACAGCCATCTCATATCTGGTGGATTGCAGCCATTCCTGCCAAACAATTCTCAGAGCAGATGTCATGTTTGCCATCGGCTCTCAAACATTGGCTCAAACAGTCTTGAATGACAAGGGCTAGCAGTTTAGCCTGCTGAACACTCTCACTCCTGCAACTTTTCAAAAGCGCTCAAGTTCCTGTACCGCTGCTGGTACCTTGGAGTGCAAATCAGGCTGTGCATGCAGTTGGCGCCCTACTGTGAAGTGACCGCGCAACCAACGCTGCAATTCTAAGGCATGCCAGGGGCAAGTTCTGGTGTGTGTGTGTGTGCCGGGGTACTACTAAGCTAAGATTGTGAATATGAGCCCGGCAAGGGAGCAACCTGCTCAACCAACACAGCAAGACGGCCCAGGCCTAGATGCCTGAGTTCATTAACTTCCACAATGCCAGGCTTTGACTCGACCCACCTTCGGCCCAGTCACTCCGCATCCGTCTCAGAATCTCCTCTGCGCATCAGGCGCTCCAGGTCCGGCTCAGGCTCCTCTTCGTTCAAGGACGCCACAAACTGGTCGTTCACTTCCGCCATACCTTGGCAGACGGGGTGGCCGTCGCAGCTTGAATTCGCTTCTCTCAACAACCGTTCGAGTTTGCTTGGCAAACATGCTGGGAACAGGCTTTTTAGATTGGGCCAAGCGGCTCTTCTCATTTTCCAGGAGCGCGGGGATGACGCTCTTCCGGGTCCTCGGCCGTCTCTTGCGCCCGGAGGAGGATGACCCGTTGGAGGCGCCCGAGGCCTCCGAGTTGTAGCTGTTGGCGCTGTTGTTGGAGAGGTTCACCTCCGAAGACTTCGAAGTCTTGGAATTCCTCGACATCCTCGAGGTCCTGGAGCTCTTGAGCCGCAGCCTGGGCCACGAGTCAGGCCGCGGTTCAGGCCGGTCGGCTCGCCCGGCCACTTCCAGGAGGTGCTGCTGCAACAGCTGGTCCAGCATCGCCTGGAAATCCGCCGAAGGAATCAGCTCTCCGCCATCTTGCGGCTCCTCATCCGCTCGAGGCGCCCCTGGCCTCAGGTTCAGAAAAAACGAGGGCGGCTCGTTTGACGAGGCACCTTGGCAAAAGCTAGCTGGCAACTTGTCTTGTTGTTCCTTGAGTCCAGGAACTGTCTGAACTTGATATTTTTCAGGCGAGATCTCTTAGGAATCGTGGGCTCATCTGGCGGCAACTCATCCGTCTCCATGGACTCCATGGCCAGCCTGACCCAGATATTCGGCCTTCGCAGTCTGCGTTTGAGCTCGGGGCGGCGTCAAGCCGTCGGTCGTTTCGGGGAGGTCAGGCTGTCCGTGTGTGAACCCGGGCGGTGTTTGGTTTCTGGCGCCTGCAAAGATTTGATGCCTCACGCTCTTGAGCCACGCGCGAGCGTCCATCTTGCTCAACACCAATCGCTTTTCCACGTGAGGAGCTTGCAAAAATTGCTTGACTGGTTTAAACAAAAAAAACATGCTCAGACTTACTGCAGCTTCTAGCCTGCCTGCATTTGCCTTTGCATCAGCAGCATGTCCTTAGACACATGCGCACCAGCTGATCAACTGTATAAAATACATGTTACCATGGCATCACAGGCCAATGCAGATATGTGTCCACCTCCTTCGGGAGGGTGCCACGCCCAAGAACAGAAAGATCCATCGTGTTGCGCTGCGAGTTGGCCAAACTGAAGCCCACCCTGGCTGAAGCAAGCTTGAAGACAGGTGCCACTTGCTTCGCACCATTGTGTCATGCTCCAAGTTGAGACTCATTGAAAGGGTTCTGATGGCCCTTCGCTCTCCGGACCTCTTCTGTTCCCAGTCGTACACCGTGTAGTAACCTGGGCGACGAGTTCGCCGCGAACGGCTCCCGGAAAAAGCCCTCCCTCCCGCGAGCGTGACATGTTCGGCTTCACTCGACTTCCGCCGCGCCGCGATGAAGCACAGGCTCCCCCAAGATGAAGAGCTTTGGCCCCAAAGGCCGTGGCAGGTTCACCTAACGCGGGGGTTGCGCAAGGCCTACCGTCCCATAGGCCTGCCATACGCCGTCAAGTCGCGTTAAACAAAAATGGGACATGAAACCTTGACATCTGATGGCTGCTACCAAGCCGCTGCCATCAACCTTGGACTGCAGTACCTCTTCACCGTCTTCGTCACCTCCGCCTCCTGAAACGAACCCAAACTCACAGGGAAAACCCACTCTCACGCTCTCGACTCTCGCTTTTCTCGCTCCTTCTCCTCAGGCTTCCCGCCGCCCTGCTGAAAATGCACCTCCTCCCGATCGATCGCCCTGGCGTCGCCATGGGTCTTGGTTTTCCCCGCCGTCCCTCGGGGGAAGAAGCGCCTGGGGGGTTCCGGCTCGGAGATTTTCTCCTGGGCCGACAGGCTGACAGGCCCCACAGCTCTGATCGCAAGTTCTCTCCTTGCAGCGGATCACCAAATGAAGCCCCCAGGCGGTCTGGTCGTCAGTCCTGGCGAAAGAATAAGCAGTCGCTGCAATGCAGGAGCATGCAGGAGCACTTGCTCCATCCTCTTCGCGCAAATCTTCGCACCCTGCGGAAAGATCTCGAAGGTGTCGTCAAAACCGTCCTTGCAGCAAGTAACCCAAGAAGGCATTCCCTAAATGGACATATCCACCTATAAGCCCCACCCCTCTGAAACCCATTTATGACCGCTGATGTTGGGCATGCACTCCTCGCGATGGTTGCCTGCGTCCGCGGCACAGGTGACAGCCACCGGCGGCCTTGGTCAAGTTTTTGGGGGAACTGAGCTCGACATGGAGCGAAGCGAACAATTGGCTGTGGGTCAAAACTAATGGTACCATTTTGGGGTGGGTGCACCTCTCATTTTAGTCTGTTTTAGTGTGGATTGGGATGTTCACTGGGGGTACGGGATTTTGACCCATGGCCAAATGAATCGTTGGCTCCTCTCCTCACACCACCAACAGTCGTGCAAAAGCCGCATGAATAACCGTTGCTTCAACAGGCGGTGCCGTCATTGGCAATCAGGTCAGGGCGTCACGCACTTCGAGGACTCGCCTGCAAAGTTCTCCCCAATCACCACTTCCTGGCGAATGATAATCCAAGTGCTCCGACGACGGGTAGCTTCTGGCACGCTTGATTTGTTTAAATGGCATTTTCTTGGCCTGAGGCTGGCGAGTCAAGGCCCTGTGGTGTGTACGCCTTGTATGGCAAACCATTTTACCACAACTCAAGGCGCAAACCAGCAAACTGCAGGGTCAACCAACTGATCCTATTTGATTTTCTCTTTGGGCCGCCTGCCTTTCGGCCTCGGTGCCTTGCGGCCCCCTCCTGCAAATCCTTCTTGGCGAGCGCGCACTTCAGCACCTCCTCCAGCTCCTCCGGACCGCCGGCCTTCCGCTGCACGCACACCTGCCGCTGCGTCACCTCCACATCCAGCCTGAAGCCGCAAGGCGCGCCACCCGGTTGGGGCGGTTCGATGTCTTCGAGCTTTGACTCTTGCCCGGAAACGGCTCTGTGACTAAAAACACCTGGAAGTGGAGAAGTGCCACTGCAGCCAAAGATCTGCTCAGTGCTTTCGCAGGCCAAGAGGTCGAAGCTGTTGAGGCAACGCCGGTCGCCGTGCTTCAAAGGTCCCAGCCAAATGGCTTCAACTCCTGCAAGGTTTCAAGGAGCAAACACCGATTGAGTCCGCGACGCTGGCAAAGTCTCCTGGCTCTGCAGGGCCTTCTTTCTCCGCAGTGGCCGGGTCAGGGCACCAAAACCGCAAGTCCAGGCCCCAGCCGCCTAGAGATGGCCATGCCAGGACTCACCACGACTGCCACTGCCAAGAATCACCAAGAACATCATGCAAGGCCCCGCCCGACCCTGGCCCCTCCCCCCATCCACTGCTGCCAACGCACCAGGCTGATCCGTGCGGTTCACGCAGATCTCATCGCCTGGCAATCCAAACTTCTTGCTTCACTCTTGCGTCAAGCAGCATGGATCCATTGCTTGGTGAAACGTATGCACCACAGCGAATCATCTACTTCCAGTGCAGTCTCTAAAATGCATCACCTTTCAAATTGTCAGACGGTTGTGATAGCACAGTTGTGCAGTTGAGTGTTGCCAGCATCCGCACGAACATGACGAACCTGAACCAATGGACTGGCGCGTCACGCATCTAGTGAATCTAGTGCCCAACAGCTCAGTTTCATGCACTCACCAAAGGCAAGGACAGTTGTGCGAAACATTGCCGACAGCACGCGACACGTTGCACGAGCCTTTGCTGTATACCACAAACTTGTCTCCATAGATGTCCTCTCGACGGTTTGCCGCCTGGCTTAGCTGCGGACAGCACTCAAGCAAGTCGATGCCCCCTCAGCCATTTCCTGTAAAGTTTCAGAAGAGGCGTCCATTCCGGGGGCCAAAGCACCAAACGTGGCCATCGAACCGCGGCCGATCGTCACCTCCGCAGGGCAGCGCAGCGGCTCGCTGGACCTCAAGCCAAGATCCAAGCGCGAGGCGGTTGGGGGGGGGGGGGGGAGGGTTGGACCAAGCGCCCTGGCCTCACGCACAGCTCGCCCTCTGCAGAATTCGGGCCGACTTGGACCAGAGAGTAGCCGGGCCGATGGAAAGCCTGCAAGCCAGTCCGCCACCCCAAATAGCTGGAAAGAAACGTGCTCAATGACTGCCTGTTTCTTTCGACCTTGGCGCTTCTTCGTCTTCTCATCGTCCAAAGTGACTCCTGAGACAGAGGAAGCTTCTCGGTGGTCGCTAGGACATTCAATTCTCGGCTCGGGTCCTTTGTCAGAGCTGACGGACACGTCCTCGCGCAACGGCAGCCGGCGCATGTAGCCTCAGTAGCGCCGCGATTCAGGTAGTGGACAATCAGAAAGCCGTCGGTGATGCAGGAGCGGGGCGCCTAGTTCCAACGACTGCCCTCAATACCAAATCAAGTCCTCAACGGCAAACATTGGCTGGGCTGCCACACATAGAACTGCAAACAAAAGCACGCTGCTTTGAGTCAACCCCGACGGCAACATATTATGTGCCACAGGCAAGAATCGCCTGTGAAGCAACCGCACAAAAACAGATACGGTACTCACAGACACAAACACAAACACAGACAGGAACACTCGCACAAACACAAACACACAGAGAGACACACACACACACACACACGCATGCGATCCGCATTCATGTTACATTAGATAAATACTAGACATATTAAAAAAAGAAATAAATTGTAACGTACACCTACACACGCACGCAAACGCACGAAGCACCTTCCTTGCGGCTTCTGCATTTCTTGGGGCGGCCGCCTGGCTTTGATGCCTACTGTCAAGAACGGTGTTGTCAGATTGCCATGGGGCTCGAGGCAAAGAGATCGATGGTCTTGCCCTCGAGCTCAATCTCCTAAGATTTTCAGGAATGAGGTTTTGAGCTGCCCGGCAGGAAGGAAGCAACCGCCACAGGAACAGCGGTCACAATAAACAAAGGAAGACAGCAAGCAACAAGACTAGGGCTTGCCACGGCTTGGCCAAAGCATCCAGCTTGGGGCTCTTGGCAAGGCGACAGTCCAGCAAATCGCCCGCATCCACCTTCAGCAGCTCTTGCAGCTCCTGGCACCAGACTTTCCTAAAACGCTCAGACCTTCTCCGGCGGCTTCCAATGGCGCCTTGTCATGCGGCCCTGGCACGCCCAGGTGCGAAGTGCCGGTGTCCACCACGCCCCTGCAAGTGCCGTCCTGGCGTTCGCTTCAGGACTTTTGGTCGACTGCGCCCCCAAAGGGCCAGGGGGTTCGGTGCCTTGCAGAAGTCCAGCTCCACGCCATCCACGCGAACTGCGAGGATGGGGACCACCCTGACATCGGTGCCCGCGCTCACCGCGAGGCCCGGTGCTCCGAACAAGACACAGCGATGCTCGCTCCACGCCGGGGCGCCAGTAGCCAAGGTCCGGTCGGTAGACCTCAGTCTCGGGGCAGTGATGCAAGGTTCAAGACTGCCTCATCCCATGATACATCTCTGACACTACTCATTCGGTGATATATCCATTTCGACCCAAGAAGCCGATGACCAACTCAGCGGCTCCAGCATGCGCCGCGTGTCTGCAGCGCCGAAGGCCACCTCACTGGGCTCCACGTCCTGGACGCAAGTGGCCAAGCCAACGCAGATGCTCCATCTCTGCCTTGTTCCTACGAATCGCCTGTTCAGGGAGCCCTGGCTAAATAATGCTGGATGATGCGCGCCCCTCCTCTCCGTCGGTGAGGAACACGCCAAAGTGGGGCCGGGCAGCGAGCCCGTTCCTCACCAACCTTGGGAATCCAGACGTGCCGTCAAATTCAAGCGACGTCGCATAGCTCGTGGCCTCTGTGACAATGGTTCTGGCGAGCAAGCTCCTTTCTGACCACAGCTCATACGTTGCCGAAGGCGCATGTCAGCCTAGCTTAACCACGGGTAACATGGTCAAGGGTCAAGACACAAGATCCATCTTGGCTCCAGTCAGGAGCCTTGCGGCCAACTCCTCCGCTCATTGGCCAAGGATGTTGTTGGCTTTCGCTTGCTGCCCACATGCCGCAGGGGAGAAACAATCTTGAAAGTGATCAAAAGGCACGCCCAAAGTTCCGATCCACCCGGGATCACCATCAGCCCCAGTCAGTCTGCTCATTCCTCGGCTTCCATGAGCGGGCTCACGGAGACCCCTGCCAGGACTCGTCAGGAGCGCACGGCCCACATCTACAAGCACTGCTAGGGACCACGTCGGTCTTCCGCGCCTTCCGAGCGGCGCCAGAGACGCAATGCCCAGCAAGCAGAGAGGCCCGCAGACACAATGAGCAGCACCCAGAAAGAGGAGCGTGCAGCTACCTCCTGCCCAAGCGAATGAAATGCCAGGAAGGCAAGTAAGCCAGATGCCAGCATAGGGGAAGCAGCGAATGATGGCGTGCGCGCGCGCGTTTGCGTGTGGGTGCGCGTGCACGTCCGCTTGCGCATGTGGCGTGCGTCGTGCGGCGTGCGGCATGCGGCGTGCAAGGCGGTGTGCGGCGTGCGCTGCCGCGTGCCGTGTGCCGCGTGCTGTGTGTGTGTGTGTGTGTGGTGTTGTGGTGTGTTGTGTTGTCTTGTGTTGTCTTGTGTTGTGTTGTGTTTTCTTTTTTGTGTGGTGTGTTGTCTTGTCTTATCTTGTATTATATTATGTTATGTTATCATGTAATGTGGTGTAATGTGCTGTGGTGTGGTGTGGTGTGGTGTGGTGTGGTGTGATGTGATGTGATGTGATGTGATGTTGTTGATGTTGTTGATGTTGTTGATGTTGTTGTTGTTGTTGTTGTTGTTGTTGTTGTTGTTGTTGTTGTTGTTGTTGCTGCTGTTGTTGTTGTTGTTGTGGTGGTGGTGGTGGTGGTGGTGGAGGTGGTGGTTGTGGCGTGTTATGCGTGTGGTTTGTGTGTGTGGTGTGTGTGTGTGCTTTGTGTGGTGTTTTGTTTTGTTGTGTTGTGTTGTCTTGTGTTGTTTTGTGTTGGTTTGATGTGTTGTTATGTTGTGTTGTGTTGTGTTGTCTTGTCTTGTCTTGTGTTGGGTTGTTGTGTTGTTGTGTTGTTGTGTTGTGTTGTGTTGTGCTGTGCTGTGCTGTGCTGTGTTGTGTTGTGTTGTGTTGTGGTGTGGTGTGGTGTGGTGTGTTGTGTGTGTGGTGTTGTGTTGTGTTGTGTTGCGTTGTGTTGTGTTATATTTGTATTTGCCTACTTGTATTGTACTGTGTGGTGTGTTGTGTTGTGTTGTGCTGTGTTGCGTGTATGTGTCCGTGCGCGCGCACTAGTGTGTTTGTGTGCGTGTATACACATGTACACGTGTGTGTGTGTGTGCTGGTGAATGTGTGTTTGTGTGTTTGCGTCTTTGTGTTTGTGTCAGTGTGTGAATGTGCGTGTCTATGTTGTAATATGTGCCTGTGAGCGCACGTGCGCGGATGCCGTCGCAACGAGAATCTTCATCATTCATTGACCACTTCAATGCGAGAATGTGCACTTTGGACCCAGGTTTTGACTCCGAAGGCCTGCCTTCGGCCCCTCCATCTCAAAAAGAGATGCAATGTTCCGCCTCAGGCTCAGGCACAGCGAGCAGGGCACCAGCTGGTAAGAAGGGTCAGTCAACAAACCCATTCATTGGGTCTGGGGAGGAGCTTCCATGAATGCCTAACGCTTGGCCTACTGTGAATCCGGGGCACAAGGAGGTCAAAGAACGCAGCGGCACATCAGTGCCTCAGTGAGCGCCGCACCCCGTCATAGCCGCTTCAGTTTATGTGGCTCATGGCTGACGCTCCCTTGCACACACTGACGATGCAAAACCTCAACGCGGGCCTTCACTCCAAATGAGTGGTGGTTCTGATGCCCTTTAAATTTGACGTATCAAACCGCCACTCAACTGGCATCCGTGCCCAGCCAATCAGCCGATGCTGAGCACTGCGCAGTAGCCGCTGTGAGCGCAGCGCTGGCAGCCCGACGCGCTCCAGCAGTCCGAGTCCCGGGTGCAACTCAGCGAAAACGAATCCGGATGGGGCTGAAAGGCGTGCAGGGAATCATTGTGAAGGGTCCCATTCTGATTTATAATTAAACCAAAAAAGATATCTTTTAACACATGCCCAAACAAACAGCTAAGACTTGCCGGGCCTTGGCCCTCGCTGGCCACTGACGCAGGAGCCTGGCGCAGTCTTCGGCCCACTCCCATCCATCCGATCAGTTTACCACCCCATCCCCATCCTCATCACCCCGCAGGCTCCCTATCCAGCGTGCCCCCCGAGACCCAAAAATAAGGCGCCTGAACTACTGCTGCTGCTGCTGCTGCTGCTGCTGCCGCCGCCGCCGCTGCTGCCGGCTTCCCCACAAACTGTCGGAAAGCCTCGCGCCATTGAATGTCAGGCTGCTTGCTTTCCCAGCTTGAACACTCCCATGTCTGCAAAAAGCCGAGGCACTGCGCACGTCTGCCAGGCGCCACTGACCCTTGACGTCCAGGCACGCCGAGAGCTGCAGTTGGGAGTTGGGGCTGCTGTCCTCCGAGCCGGGCACTTCATGCGCCGCGCGCCGCGCTGCGCTGAATGCACGGCACCCATTGCACGCCACGGAACGATGTGGAACACGCAGAAGCCGGCATTCTGCAGGTCTTCTGCCATCGCCGTCAAGTCCTTGCCTGCGGCTCGCGCGCCGGACATCACCTGGCACAAAGAACGAAAAATGGCGTACATTCATATTATTCAAGCACTCGACTTCTAGTACTGTTGGACCTGAATTCTTTGCGAATAAGACTTGTTACAAGAAACTCCCGTTCAGCTCCATGGCCTGCAGCGGCCCATTGGACAGCTGGCAGACCTGTCGGAAGAAGTCGTCGGCATCTTGCACGCCGGCGCAGGTGCCGTGCTTCTGCCACTCGTGCTTCTGGAACCTTCGTCAAATTCCGTGCGTTCAACACACGTTTGCGTTTCTCAACGCAGGCCAGCGGCCACATGGCGGAGTTCTGCGATCCTTGAGTGTCGAAGCCTGGCATGGCTTAATTCTCACGCGAAGGCGAGAATGAAGGCACGGGTGGCATGTGCTAACGCAGCCCGAGCCGCAAGGGTAAATCTTGGATGGGTCCCGAGCACTGTCCGGGTCGTCGCACTCGGAGGTGCCATAGCCATCAGTCTGAGGCCAAAGGCCATGCACCACAGGCCTCACTCGGGATGCACTTGGAACCTTCAGATTCTGGTTCGGGTGACCTCGTGCCTGCGCCGGCCAAGCGGCTCCGGGTGCTTGTAGTTGCCGCTGCCCTCGCCTGTCTCAAGGGTCAGCACGCCACAAACCTGAAGGGTCCAGTGTCAGAAGTGCCAAAACCCGTTTCTCACGGCTTCCGGCCTCAACATCCTTCCCGCAATCCATGTGCCTGCTGTGGCTCCCCAGGGAGCTGCACTTGGCCACCTGTGGCGGCGGAGCCGGCCCATGGGTCGGCCCATATCCCTCAGTGTAGGGCTGGTTCTGGTTATTCTGGTTGTGCAGCTTCTTGATTGGGAAGCAGCCTCGCGTCTCCGATCCCCTTCCGCCCTTTTTCTGGAAACCCATGTCCACTGCGCCGGCCTTGCAAAACCAGCGCCAGGGCAGCGCCCACCACCGCAAGCACCGCTCGCGCCATGGCCCCAAGTCTACTCGCCTGGAAGCGCCCTTGCTGTGAGCCGCGCCTCTGAATCGGTTCGAAGCCATCAAGTGGGCGACAGGTCAACTGGAGTTCGAAGTCATCAAGTGGGCGGCAGGTCAACTGGAGCCTTCGACGCCTGGGGTCGCTGCATGTCGAAGGTGCTGAAGTTCTTGTTCATGGCAAGTCCATCCAGGCTGAGGCCCAGAATGCCATCCTCCAAATCAAAATCGCATGCGCCAGCTTTCAGTCACGTGCAATCACAGGGCAAAACATGCAAGAAGCAGCCCCGCAAGCAGTGACTTGCAATACAGCAACCTGGAACTCCAAGCGCCCAGCAAACTTGAAGGTCTTGAAGGGAACGGTGGACATTTCGACGGCTACGATGATGTTCATCTCCACACACATCGGACCTGCACGGGCGCCCCCAAACAAATTGGTGAAGCCGCACACCGGCAACTTGCATGCAGCTGAGCTGCTGTGGTCTGCAACCAGCTCAACGCCGGCTGGTGCCAGAACGGCGTCCGGGTCCTGTCCCGAAAGCGCAACCTACACTCAGCATGCCTCGGACTAACGTCCTGATAGTCGTGGATAAGAAGGCTCTCCTGCTTGATCAAGGCCGCAACTTCCTTGAAGAATGAACTCCAAAGCACAGAATAGACATGCAACGTAGCACACGCGCGCGCCCGCGCACACGACATGAAGGGACAAAGACAACCGCTCTCATTTCTGCAGCGGGTGCCAGTTCGGCAGACAATCTTCTTGCTACGTTGCCGGCGTACAGTCCAAGTGCCCACCGGCCAGTACGCTTCGTGAATTGACCGGAAAGTAGCTCCCGGAACAAAGGCGGGGCCGGTTGCCTGCTTGAGGACACGGTGCCTTCACCAGACCAAAGGGCAGATTACTTCGGAGAGGAAGGAGGGAATCGCGTGCCAAAACGAGCCAAGCACTGCTCGCCGGACCCAGGACCTAACCCATCTCCCACTGGCTGGGCCGTATCCAAATGACACGCTGACGAGTTGCCACCCACTTCAGGCCAAAACCCAAATCATACGATCTTTGAATGCATGCCTGGGTTTGTGTGTGTGTGGGCCCGGCAGGCGGGCCCGGCCACTCGTCTTAAAATAGGCTGCCTGGCTAAGCAAATGCTCTTCCTCCAGTTCCTGCAAAGATCTCAAGAGCTCCTTCTGCAGTTTCTGGAGAAATGCACCCATGCATTCTCCGAATCTGTTGCCATCGTAGGCCAGCATGGGTTAAAGAATTGGATTGCTATGACCTGGAGAAGCACGCTCAGTTCTTCTGCAGTCAGTATCTGCACCTGGCATGACATTAGCTTGGAAATGAACCATGCGACCGACTTCATCCAGTCAAACATATTCAAATTAGTCACAGTTGTTCGTGCTGTCATTCAGCACCTCAAGCTGACATACACTACTAGCATAGGCTTTTACCGGAACTTGCGGTATGCCACCCAAGCACCTGTGCAAGCAAGTGTCATTGACACGATGGCGGGCGACAGAAGATTTGTTTCAAACAGTTGCCCGCCCCTGCGCTTGGCGTGGCTGGACTCCTCTCCGTCCTTGGCAGAGCGGCTGTCTGCCACAAAGCTCAAACGAAGCCGGCCATTTGGCAAAGGCTCATCCGGCGCAGCCTTCATCTCGTCGGTGTCCGCTCTGGGCTGAGCCGTATCCAGGATATCCGGCGTCGCCGGCGCCGCCGGCGCGGGTGCATGGTTGGAGCGCTCCATGATGCAAAGCCCGGCGCCTGCGAAGGACGTGGGCCGCTCCAGGCGCCCACCGGGACCGCAAAGGTGCAGACGACCATCTTCCACCTGGAAACGTTTGTCTCTTTGTTCATTGGGGGAGGGAAGGGGAGCAAAAGAAGGAGGGGCTGCCTATTTCGCACCCCTGAAGCCGGCATTCGGCTGGAACTCACTTGACCCACCTTGAAGATGTAAGGGATCACCGGGGGGCGGCAGCTGCTCATTGGCAGCAGCTCCAGGTCCATCTCCATGGGCTCCGCGGCGCAGTTCACCTGGTACTTGGCGGCCATCTGCTGGCCCATCACCTCCACCATGGCGCTGAAGTCCTGGTGGAACTCCATGCGCTGCCGGTAGCCGCGGCCGGACACGCTCACGCCCTCCCAGGAGGCCAGAATGCTCTCGTGGGCCTCGGGGAACAGGCAAGTTGGCAAGTGGCGCTCGCCCGCCCGAAGCGAAGGCAAGAACACGTGAACTGGACTCCAAGTCTTTGCAAAACGAGCTGTTTTCCGGCCTCCTTCTCCCAAGTCGCCCAGGATTGGGAGCAAGGCTCCAATTCTGAAGCCGTTTCAGCATACGGGCCGCCCAGCTGGTCCAACAAGGTTGCCGCCAGGCTGTCCCGGCCATCCTTTCGGTGCTGGAGACTCTCGCTGCCGTCACGCGTGGAGACCTCGGACTCCCGGTTGCACGCCTCCGACTCGATCCTTGGGCCGAAAGGAGATGGGAAAAAAAAATCCCGAGCTTACAGACAGAAGCCGAAGCAGTTCGGGAAAACTGGCAAGTTGCAAGTTGCAGCCTGGGGGCGTCTCCAGGGTTTGGGCGAGCTGGATTGCTACTAGCAGCTGGCGCTGGCGGTCTGCTGTGGCCAGGGGCCCTACTGACCTCAGAGCAGATGCTAGAGATCCAGCTCCGTTCGCCGCAGTGGGACCTTTGCCCACAGTTTTGAAAGCCAAACAACTGCTGAAAATCGAAGCCCCTCTCACAAGCCGAGGCGCAAGTGCAGCGTCACTGGCACTGAACCTAACTGGGTGCAGAGAGCCTGCGCCACGCCGCAGCGCTGACCTGAGCCACCCAGGGGTCCGGGTGACAAGCTGAGCCAACGAAAGCCTCAAAGACATGCGGACTGCGAAATTTTCGCAGCATGGTGGTTGGAATGCTTTGTGTCTGATGCCCTGCACCTGAAGCATGAACATACCTCAACATCGGCAAGCGTGCCTGTCATTGGGCGCCAGTCTTCATTCTCAGCGCAGGTGGCATCAGCTTTGAGTACGTTCTCAAAGTAGGCGTTGAAAGCCGCCTTCCAAGGACGCTGCCAGAAACTAAGGCGATCAAACCCTGCGAGCCTTGTACTCGCCGCTCACCAGCTCGCTCAAGCTGGCGCCCGCCACCGGCAGCTTGAGGACGCCCTGCAGCTTCGCCATGTCGCCCTCGAGGTTCGCCGGCAAGAGGCAGCGATGGCCCGCAAGGACGCACGGGAGGATCATGTCGAAGCTGCCTCGCAAGATGGCGACCATGCCCGCGTTGGAGCGGCTGATCTTCTCGAGCGCGTTGGCCAACATCTCATGGTACTCCTTGGAACGCAGGAACACGAAGGCCGCGCCAAACGCGATCTTGGCCCCACAGGTCAAGGCCCGAAAGGCCATCCGCTCGCCCAGGGGGTCTAAGATGCCTGTGGCAGATGCCAGGTACACCACGCCGTAGACGCCGAAGTGCAGCGCCAGGGCGAAAACCAGGAAGGGCCGCAAGCGTCGGCACGGCAACTCGGAGGCCGTCTGCCAATACCTGCGACACCACGCGCACATGCCTTGGAATGCCCAAGCGTAGGCAGCACAGGCAGCAGCGATCAATAGCCATTTCTGCAAGCTTGTGCTAACGCAGAGAGCTGCCCAGCTCAACAAAACACAACCATTAGTTGCAACCATTGGTCCCATGACCTCATGTGAGGGCCGCCCCAAGCAGTATCCGGATAAAATCACAAGAATCGGCACGTTGATTGTCCACTCCAAGTACTGCAGAGAGTACAGTGGCTTGCCCTGGGGCGTCAGCCCATCGGTCACTGGAACTACATGGGCAATAGTCCAATCCGCCCGCGAGAACAGCAGCTCGCTTGCCGCCAGCACTCCAAACATAGTTGCGAGAAGCAGGCCGGGCAAGCACCGGGTCTGCAGTTGCATCCTGCGAGCATCTTGAATGGCCGCAGCTAGGCTCAAGAGCTCGTAGCCCATCATCACTGCCATGGTCATGGCCGAAAGCCGGGAGCCATCTGAAAGCTGCTCCCGGCATGTTGGGTCGTGATGACACGGGCTCGGTCCCGCGAGCCATGCCACAGCCCAGCCGGCAACTGTGAAGCCGGCGCAATGTACGCCGGCCGCCAGGAGCGACATGGGGGGCTTGGGGACAAGAGTGGCACACTGGCACACTCACGCCCCCCTTGAGCATACACACGTTGAATGGTTGCACTCGTCACATTCGTCACTTGGCCTTTCTGAGTTCCAACCCTGACTCTCCAAAGTGGCCCTGGCACTTTGGAAACCCTGTGCATGCCAAGCAGCCTCTTGTCGCCGCCTCTCGTCAGCCATGTACTGCAGCTCATCATGCGTCTGACCCTTGCCGAAGCAAACCTAGGGGTCAAAACTATCGGTTTGGCACGGGCTGGTGGAATTGGGAGAAAAGGCTTGCTGTATCCCCTCCCTTTTGACTGTTTTGACTTTGGCTCATGCTGCCCAGCATTTGGAAGGGAAGAGAGGAGGGGGCGGGGGGGTGGAGTGCGAGTGCGGGAGGGGGAGGAGGTGAGGCCATTCAGGCCCCACAAGCGTCCGAGTTTGCCAGGCAGCCGTGTCCTTGGCGAACTCCCCCGTGATCTCGCCAGTGCCGAAGCCAATGGTCACCTGCAAGACAGAGAGCTGTCTCGCTCGCTGTCGCCCCATTTCGGGATTTGGCACAGGTTCAATCCATGCTTCCATTTACCAGGGTTCCCATTTTGGGTACATATTCTTGAAGACCCACTGCCATTTGGCTATTCGGTTCCCCGCCTGCTCGCCATGATCGCCCTCGTGGACAATACTGCCGTCGGCATTGATGGGAAGGGACGTGATAGATGCTGTCCTCGGCAAACCGCTGACAGGCAGATTCCTGGCCGAGCGCGTCCTAATCCCTTTAGGCGCCTGTCACTCTTGCAAGCCCAGGTGCTGATCATAATGCCTCCTGTTGTTCGCCTGGCAAGCCTGCACACTCTCGCAGCGCTGTTTGCCACACGGCCCCGTCAAGTACGCGGGCAACTGGCTCGGAATGTGCCAACCAGAAGATCCACCATGCGCTCCAAAAAGCTTTAAGCGTTTGAAGGAGGCTCAGAGGATGGCATGGAAAATTCCAGCCAACTTCGGGGTGGCAATCTGCGCAAACATGCCGAACCTTTGTCGGCTACATGTAATCATGCTGCCCGATTTCTTTGGAGCTGCTCCCCCTGGCATTCGCCCGTGTATCTGTTGGTCTCATTTCTTATTAGCCTTGGCCGTGCTTGCTTCAGCGGCAGAATCAAGCCTGCGCACGGCCGTTGAAATCCGATTGCTTTCAACGTGTCCAGTGGAGTTGCGCATTCACTCCGAAATCCGCGTGCAACAAAATTACTCACAAGTTTGTTCGACCTCCAGCAGCCTCCCAACACAACCCCCGCAAGTCAAAGCTTTGACTGCCCGGAGTCAAAAAGTTGCTTGCCATTGCGCGCGAAGCGTCCTCCTGGGAATCTGGGGCTGCGAGCAGAAGTCACACGCAGTGACTCACTTTTCGACAGCTGCCTTGTGTCTTCTGATGCCTTGTCAATATATCATAGGTTGTGATAACGGCTCATCTTGCGCTGGCTTGCTTTGCAGTGATTACGCCTGCTTGGATGCTGCAATTGCCCTAGGTGGCTAGCCCGTGCGCTTGTCGATGAACCGTTCCAGCCACTTTGATGGATATCGGTATGGGTCAACATTAAACCACCAGCGGACCGCAGGTTTTGGTCCATGTTTCCACTTACCAGGGTTCCATTTTGGTACCGGTTTTTTGAGCCACAGCCATATGGTGTGGCTAGAAACCTTGGCTTGCATTTGTTCAGATGCGGTTGCCGCGGTGCGGAGCGAGTTGCGTCTTTTGTTCCACCCCCGGACCTCCGATTCGCACTCCACGGCGGGCAGGATGACGTGGGCGGAGCCCGTATCGAAGACCACCCGAAAGTCCTGGCGACCCCACCCCCCCTCTGCAACCAGATGCTCTGGCGTTTTGGCAGGGCTCCTTGCAAAAACATGGCTCGACGGAGGGAGAGGGGGTGCGTGTGGGACAAATGGCAGGGGGTTTCGGAAGTTTTCTGAGCGCCGGGAGCCTAACAAATGGCATCTCTCCGGTCCTGTGGGGGGTAGCCCACGCTCAGGACCTGAGGGCCGGACGGCAGAACCCACCAAGCCGCAAGCCGCAAGCCACAGACCCCGGAGTACGAGGTCTTGAACGAGGCAATCTTTCCCATGCGGTAGATGGGCACCTGTGCCGCCAAAAACCAAGGTGCCACCAGTCTGGTGATTGCTGCATTGCTCCAAAAGAGCTTGATTAAATATATATATATATATATATTTATTAGTAATAATAATAATAGTAATAATAATAATAATATTTTTTGAAAACAAACAACAAAGGGGAAAAAACGAGGGAATGCCGCAGCCGCCAGCGGATCCTCAGGGCTGAGGCTCTGGCGCTTTCTCGGCGCAGGCCGATGACGTGCGGCGCCGGGCCCTCGGGAAATTCGCCGCCCGCGGCCTGGGCAAGCGGAGTTCTGCCTTGACTCAGCCGCCCCTTCAGTCCTGGTCGGAGACCACCGGCTTCTGCAGCAAGCTGGATGAATCGCTGCCTGAGATGCTGCGGGTAACCCTGTACCCCTGGTGAACATCAAACTACGTGTATGGGTGTTCATCCGCCCCGAAATGGAGGCATAGATTATGACCAATGGCCATGTATGAATCTGGTGGATACGGGAACTTGCGGCTGTCCAACCGCTTACCCCAGCCTGATACGACGCCAGCTGAGGAGATACTGACGTCATGGCCAGCGGACATGGAAAGCATCACCTGAACACGTGGCTGAGCATATTGTGACTGCAAGGCAAGTCAAAACCATCAGCCCAAGGGCCCGGCTGCCGAGAAAAGGTAAAACATGACCTGAGCTAGCGGCCGCTTCCCAGACAAAACAAACCAACCAGACCTCAGACCTCGCTACGAAGCAAGTCTGCAATGGAAGCCCAATAGAATGACGCAAACGATCGAATCCATCAAGGCACGCAGCTGCCTTGGAAAAATGTGTTTCCGGTGCATTGCTCACGTCATGCCCTGCTGCCAGTCCCAGTTCCAGCACGCATCGGCATCGGGCACTTGCCGGGTGCCTCACCTCTCCACCCGAAACAAAGTGCGTGCCAAGGCACAGGCGATGCGAGTAGGTTCGATTGAGTGGAGCGTGATGAATAGAACATGAACGGCCTTGAGCCTGGATTCATCCAAAGGTCACCCAACTTCAGAGGTCGTCTTGCCCTCGGCATCACCAAGGCTCAAAAGCCCCGACTCTCCGGAGAAGCGAGCTGCGCGGAAAAAGGCGTTCCTTTGCAAATCAGCGAGGCCAACATGCAGATTCGAGTCGTGGCAACGGGCGCGAGATTTCACATAAGCCCTGCAGTCTGCAGGACCTGATCGAATTGTCAGGCTTCTTGCATGCGTTCCAAGGTTTGTCAAGCAAGCGTGCAAGCGAGCAACTGGCATCATTTCGCCAGTGTTGCACAAACAGCTCTCCTGCCGTTCCTGGTTGCTTTGCAAGCCGAGGTCCGGAGAGGCGTTTCATCTCCCTAACTACACAAGCCAACCAAACACCGCGCGATGCCAAGAAGGCCAAAGCGGCCAAGTGCCAAGCTCAAAGGCGAAGCCTGCTTCCATGCTCCTCGGCTGAAAGACGTGGCCAAGGCCTAAACCTCATGAGGCGTTAGCTTTGCAGTGGCTCTCGTCTTCTTCTGGGTAGTCTGCTGGTAGTCTTCTGGTAGTCTGCTGGCAGTCTTCTCGCCGTCTTCCAATAGTCTTCCCATGCAGTCTTCACACAGTCTACTTGTCTTTCTGCAATCTGCGCAAGTCTTTTCCATGGACTGGCAAGGGATGTCATGCTTTCTCTCAGGCCGTCATTTAGGGACACTGGGGCAGGCTCCTCCGCCAACAACATCTTGATGGTAGAACTCAGGTAGTTTGCCGCAAGGTTGACGGACATCCCTGGCCTCTTGTAGAGCGCCTGCGCATGGAAGCACTCCGATACGATTTGATGCTTCGCTTGATGCTTCCATGCTCAGCATCCGACCTCGCCAGCGATGGATGCAGTGAGGTCGCTCAGCTCGTTTCCTGCGAAGGCATAATTAGCTTTGACCCGCTGGCTTACGCACCTTTCTGCCGACCTGAGCCTTCTGGGCTCTGCCACCAACGACTGACTCATGGCTTTGAGATTTGAGATGCTCTGAGTATTTTTGTCAATGCTCTAAGCTTTACAGGCACGGCAAATGAACAGTGCAACGTTAGTGGCATGCCTCGGAGAAAACCCGCAGGTCCTGACATATCCAAAAAGGCGATGGAGTTCGGCAAGGCAAGCCTCAGTACCACGCTGCCCGTCAGGATTTCAAGTCCGAAAGAAGATCACAAACTGCCAGTTGGCAAATGCAAAGATGCTGCTGGGGTCGCCCGGCAGAATGGCCGTTGCGTCGTTGTCGCCCAAGCCACCGCGGGCAACAGACAGGGCCATGAGGGCGCTCTTCGGCAGTGACTCAGCCAATGCCTGGTGAGAGACAAAGCCTTAACCCTCGACCGCCTGGCATCTGCTAGCCGGGCAAGGCGTAACTTGGAGCTTGTACCTGTATGAATATGGTGGCCAACATTGCAGCCGAATTCTTAGCGTGAAAAGGGATGATTGCCCCTCTCCCTCGGACTATTCACCGCCCGCGTGGCAGCGCTCACAATCTCTTTCACCACTGCTTCCCCCAAATCACGCCGGTCCCCTGGATTCCATCCATTTCAGCTTCCGATCTGAGGCCTCAAGCTGCAACTTCGCCCAGGCCCAGCCATGGGTGTCCTTTCGGAAAAATAGATGGCCCGGGTACATGGAGCAAAACCCATCTAAACCAGCGCCTTCCGCTTTTGAGCCCACCAACCTTTAAAAAACAAGGGACACCCGTGGCGTCCCATGGCCCCGTCTCATGGCTCCCGTGCCCAGCCCAGTCCCGTCGGCGCCTGGGCCCCGAGCTCCGCCACGCCGCAGCCGTCCAGCGCCAAGGCCTCCAGCCGCGTGGCGCGGTTGGCCGCCGCCCGCGCCAGGCCGTCGCTCAGCGCCCCGGCCAAGGCCTCGGGAGAAAAGCCGCACCCGAGGGTGGGAAGGCCCTAAGCTCACCGAGAAGGGCAAAAGAGAATCCGCACTTTTCATCGGAATCCACCTGGTCCAAACCCAGAAAGCAAGTCCAGGCACTCAGGAAGTGGGCGAGGGCCCCTCAAAATGGAAACAGGGAAGTCGGGTGCCTCAGAGGGCAGAACGCGCTTCCTTTTGCAAGGAGGGTACCCACGCGGCACAGTTGCAAGCTGCCCCGCCTGAACGCCCGCGGGGCCGATTGCGTTGCCACCCAGGTGGGTGCCCATTACCAGCTCCTGGCAGAAAAGCGCCAACTCCAAACTCCGAGAGCCCCAAGAGCCCCAAGCCCCATGCACAGCTCGGCCGGTCCCGCACGTTGCTGCGAGGGAGCCGTGCGGCCAGCACCTGCGCATCAACCCGCAACAAAACGAAACGGAGAGGGAGAAACCCGCGGTGAGCGCCTGCGCGCCGGCCGGGCCGATGTTGTTCCGATCCAGAAGTAGCTTCTCCAGCGAGTCCAGCAGCGGCAGTGCATCCGCCAGCTCCTGAGGCAAGGCTGGTGAGGCCGGCGTCTCTTGCAGGTTGGCTGAGTGATGCCAAGAAGCCGCCACCCCGCGATCGCCGAATTTATTGGCGCTCCTCGGCCATGGGCTTTCATGTGGTTTGCCCAGCACCCAAAAGCCCCCAAGATCCCCCAACCTTTGGCACCAAGCAAACGGGCACACGGGCACGTGGGCCGAGGCGCAGATTCAGCTCGCGCAGGCCTGTGGCCGGATGCTTGGCGTGAGCCAAGAGCCGTGAGACGCTGCTGATGGCGAGGTCCCCCAAGCCGCACTCCACCAGCCTCGGGTCGGGCAATGTCCGTGGACTGACCCCAGACTTGAGCGGGAGCCGCGCCTGGCAATCTGCAACCTGGCGCCCCAGGAGCGCACAAAGCCGCAGACCTGTGCGCTTCCGGATGCCGGCCCCGGGCGAAGGCGCTAGTGACTGCTAGTGCAGTCTGAGGTACCAAGGCACAGCCCATGTCGCCCAGCGGCTGCCGGTTGAAGGCAACCTCCTGAGAGCTAAGCCTCGTAGCTGCTGACCCTCATTTCAAATGCAATGCACGAAAGAGGCAGGGCCTCAGCGCAGCAAAGGACACGCGGCAGGGCTCCAAATCTCTGGGGCCCTTCTCGAAGATCACGCTGTCTACCTCGCAATGCTTGGGCCGAGCGTGGATGAACATGGCGCGGACGGCCTCGTTGTGGGAGGCCGCCAGCGCATCTCCCAGGGCTCCAAGAGTGGCTTGCGTTTGGAGAGGCAGTGCCAGAGGCTGCGAACCGCCTGGTACCATGCTCCAATGCAGGACATGAGGCTTGAGTCGGCTTGAGCAACCATACCAAGCCCAACGACTTTTAAGAGCAAGTTCCCCGAGCCTGTTCTGAACTTGCAGCGCCCGCGGTACTTCATGAGCAATCTCGCCAGGGCAGCCATCGTGGCATCATCCGCTCGCCGCCAATCCTTGGTTCGTCAGCTGGCCCAACGATCGGTTTGCGCCACTTCCGTTGCGGCGGAGCATCTGCGTCAAAGCTCAGAGTCAGCGCCGCATAGCCGGCGAGCAGGCCATCCAACCTGGTCAGGCCACAGCCACCAAACTCAACACACCAATTGCCCGAGCGGCGCCGCACGAGCGCACAGTCAAGCGGCTCTGCCAGCACTGGCACCCGCAAGTGGTTGGATGCCCAAAAGGTGAGGCATCGAGGCGGCAGCGTAGTCGCCTGGCGGAGCTTCGCATCTGCCGAACTTTGCAGTGGTCGCTGGCCACATCTGGTCACATGGCCGTGGGCCAAAAATAGGTACCCTGCTAAATGGAAACATGGACTAACACCTGCGGTCCCCTAGTGATTTACTTTGGACCCACGCCTACATCTAGCTCTGGTTGGGCTTGGACCGCGCCTCGGCACGCAGCGCCTCCAGGGCCAGCTTGGCTGCCTGTCCCCCGGTCCCCCCCCCCCCGCCCCCGCGATCCTCGCGCACGCTTCGCGCACGCTTCGCGCGCCTCCAGGTCGTTGCCGCCCACGGTGCCGGCCTTGGCGAAGTCCCACTTCACGGAGCCCTGCGAACAATCCAAACCCGCGTCGCCCCCGCGTCGCCCCCCACGGACGGCGCGCGGCTCCTTGATTCGGAACATCCGCAGGTCCATGCCACTCTGCGGCGCCACGTGCACGCGCCTTGCATTCAGCGCATTCGGCCCACACCTCCTATCGCTTCCGGACTGCCTTGCAGCCCAAGCGGCTGAAACCGCCGCCGGCATCGAAACATCAGGCAGCAGCAACCAAGCAACAAGAAGCCAGTGGCGATGATAATGGCGAGCCAAACCACAATGCCTCGAATCGACCCGAGACATCTTCAAGAAAACGATTCGAGGCGCGTCACACGGCTGCCAAGGCGCCCCACTCCTCGGGCCACCACTGCTGACCCCCACCGGGCGAAACTTTGCCCACATCGTGGCTTCCAGCCGGCTGAGCTGTGGTTGGGGCGCGTGTGCTCGCCGCCTCGCGGGGAAGACATGCCATGCAAGTGCCCCGACCATCTTAGATGTTGAAAAGCAGGCTGCCCCCCCTTGCAATTCTACTCAGGCGATCCAACTGCAACGTCGCAAATCTCAGTCTGGCCTTCGCCGGGTCCAACGCGGCACAGCCATTGGCTGGGACGGTCTCAACGCTTCTGACATCTGGACGCAGCCTCGGGATGGACGTTGGCTGGCCAACCAAAACTCGCTCGACGTCCATGACATGAAGGTCAAAACAGCTTTAAATTTGTGGAAATTGGGCTGGGGTCAAAATCCTGTACCCCCAGTGAACATCCCATTCCCCACTGGAAAAGACTAAAATTGGGTGGTGCACCTACCCCAAAATGGTACCATTGGTTTTGACCCACAGTAAGACAGCCTTGGAATCAAAACCCACCTCAGGCCAGCGCTGCAGAAGGTCAATGCATTCTCGGTCCCGCTGCAAGCACACATAGTCTATGACGCTGGGCGGGTCGTCGTTTGCAAAGTTCCACAACTGCGTCAGTGACGGACACATGATCCCACGCGCAGTCAAAACGCTTGAGCGGGGCATCCCAACCCCACCTGGCGTCACTTGACTCCGCCGAAAACAAGCTATCCGCTAGTCTTTGGTGGATTGGGGCATTGAGAGGCCTGATTTCCCGCTCAGTGTAACAGCCCATGAAAACCATGGTCGCCGCACCTCCGGACTCACCTGGCAGTAGCGGCACCCGGACTCGAAGCAGCGCTCGCAGCTCTTTGCATGGCGCGCGCAGGTGGACGCGTCGCCTGGGGCCTAAGCGCCCGAAAGACGCCCAAGTGAAGGGCAAAGCGAGTGGCACACTCGATGCTCAAAGCGACCTGGTTGGATCCCTCGCCTCACAGACCTCTTCGCAAGGCCGTGGCGTCTATACAGGACAATCATCGAACAAGGCTATCTGATCTAGAAAGTTTGTGGGGTAGCAATTCCGCGCCCACTCATGGCTGGCTGCCAAGAGGCGACAGTAGTTGTAGTTGTGCGGGTGCTTGTTGCAGTGACTGTGCTCGAGCTGGTGGTAGTTGTCGCGGTCTCAGGACACTTACCCAAGTGATGCAACTTGGAGCATGATCAAACCGGGGGCTAGGGGGACAATGAAGCGAGCGCAGTGAAAGCCCAAGCATGCGCAACAGGCGCAAAAACCTCGCCATGCGAACTCATCTGGAGAGCAGCTGACTTCACCAAATAGACTCGCCTCGGTGGTGTCGGTGGTGTTTGTGTCGTTCATCACTCATGGCCATTTGGCATCGTTGGCCAAGTTCGCAAATTGCTCTGCATTATAAGCTGGGCTTGGCTGTCAAGAGCGTGCTGCTTGTGTCAGGTTTCAAAAGGCTTGTAGTTGCACAATGTCGGGCAGGAGCAAGAATTATCGGAATTGGGTCTGCCCCCCTTCTCAAAAGCTGTATGGAGATTCCTGGCCTCTTGCATTGCATTTGGTGGCGGCTTGAACAACAGCAGCTGCCAGAGTCGTGCCAAAAAAGCCTCTCGGTCCCCATCTGCCAGAGTCGAATCCTGAAATTGGCCGAACGGCTCTGCAAGCCCCGCAGGCCCGCACGAACGGCATTTTCACGGGTCGCGCGCCATCGGCTGGCTCGCTGGCATGGCAGCCGAGCCTCTGAAGCTCTGAAGCTGAGGAAATGAGGGCGGGGGGGTGGAGGGGCTGGGGGGGGCGGGGTTGGGGGCGTGGGGGGGTGGGGGAGTGGCGGGCAAAAGGCCGAAGCTCCAAAAGGCGTCAGTTGCATTGGCACGCCGGGCTCGCATTGGCAAGCTGCCGTACAAGAGGTCCACCGGACTCACGGGAATGGACGCCCGCACCACTCCAGTCAGGGCGGCTGATAGGCTTCAGGAATTGCAGTAGTCAAAACTTGCAACCGTGCTTGTGGAGCCTCCGCTCGCGTAGCAAGCGAGCAACACTGCCCATGCGGTGCACAGCCTCAATGCTTCATGGTGTGACGAGCAGGCCGGGCTTCAGCATGGCTTCGTTGAAGCTTGCCGCCTGGCTCAACAAACACCGAACAACTACATCAGCATGAGGCAAAACACCAACCCCCACACGCGCATCCTGAGTGCCTACATTTTGGTGTTGAGCCGGTTGCGCTTCACATGCGCGAATTCGAGCTCCGGGAGTCCTGACTATAGAAGCTTGTGATACACCTGGTACTTCCTGCGCTCAAGGAACACAAGAATCATGGCGTGTACCAAATCTGAGCTTGCTACAAGCTTCCAGAGAAAGCACCTAGGTGTGGGCTTTGTGTGCAGGGACGCTATGATTGCAGCTTATCTTTGAGAGGGGTTAACACATCGCTTAGCTCTTCGACAATGACAACTTGTTAGCATTGATGCTGTCGTGACATGTCAAAACACAATGGCAGCGCCTCTTTTGCTTAGACAACTAGCTGTTCCTGATCACACCAAGGGCCAAGCCAGGGCCCCTGCAAAGACTTCCGAGGTTTAAACGCGGGACAGCTGGGATCACCGGTTGCTTGGGGCACTGCGCTGCGCATGTACCGTCCCAGCAGCTCCAGCATGAAAGTTATCCGCTGCTGCTCCTCAACTTCGCAATGCTCACCCGGGTCCTCATTCAAATTGAAGAGCCTGGGCCTCTGGTCGTTGCCACCCGGCTTCTGATTGGTCTGATTGGTCTGATTGGTCTGATTGGTCTGATTGCTCTGGTTCTGGCTGGGCTGCGGCGGCCAGTCGCCGGTCCCGCCGCCCGTGCCGAGGATCAGCTTCCAGCCCTCGGCATCCCGGAGGGCAGGGCCGTGCTTCCCCACGGAGGCGTCGGCGATGCCGTAGTAGAGATCGATGCGGGGAGAGGCCAAGTTGCCGATGAGCTGATGCCACAGGTTGAAGCCATCCAGGGGCTTGGTCGCCCCCCGGGGGATTTCGAACCTTGCAACCCCCTCCACCAGGGTGGGCAGCCAATCAGCCGCATGCATCAAGCCAGGCCAGGTGAAACCTTGCTGCAGAAAGCTGGGAGCGAAGAGAAGAGCCGTCCCTCGAGTGCCTCCCTCCCAAATGGAGCATTTGCCACCCCGCAAAGGGTAATTGGAGGCACCGATGCCCGCGCACTCATGGACTGGTCCACCGTTGTCCGTGGTCACGATGACGACAGAATTCGCCAACATACCTTTCGCCTCAAGTGCATCCGTGATGTTGCCGATGCCCTCGTCCACCGCGCTGACCATGCCAGCAAAGACCCGGCGCGCCTCGTCTTGGATCTGCTCCTGGTAAGGCGCCACATACTGCTCCGGAGCCTGGCGCGGGGCGTGCACCCCCTGCCAGGCTTGGTACAGGAAGAGAGGCTCTGAGGCGTTGTGCGCCTGAATAAGGCGCACAGCCTCTGCTGCAAAGAGGTTGGTGGAGTACTCGCCTGCATCATCCCAAGCCACCTGCGTGCAGCCAACCCCGCAATTGGGCCTTCCCTCCCTGTGCAAGTCGTAGCCACCGCCGGTGGTGTGCAGAAAGTAATCCTCTGAGCCCTCGTAATAGCCGTAGAAGGATTCGAAGCCTCTGAAAGTTGGGGTGTACTCCGATTTGAAAAAGCCAAGGTGCCACTTGCCAACTGCATGGCACCTATAGCCTTGCCAGCCCAAAAGTGTCGCCAGGGTCGTCTCATCTGCCGGCAGGCCGTACGCTTCATTGGGGATCCAGTTGTTGATCCCGGTGTGAAGTGGCATGCGACCACTCATGAAAGTGGCACGGCTAGGGGAGCACGAGGGCAGCACATAGTACTGGTCAAAGGTGACGCCCTGCTCATGAAATCTGTTCAGAGTCGGCGTCTTGATCTGATAACTGTTCCGGAATCCTGGGTCGTCCCAACCAAAGTCGTCGATGACATGAAAAATGATGTGGGGCCTCTGCGGTCTGGAGTGCACCTGCCCGATCAACAGCAGGACCAGACTTGCAAGCATAGTCATGTCAAGGCCGAGTCGCGTCCCTGAAGCCGAAACTAAACAACAGCTCAAGCGCTGACGTTTGGGCCCAGGCTAATTACAGATTTTCATGCGCATCGCATTGGCCTCTGAAAGCAAGCGTTGCTGCCAGGGCACATAACCTTGCACGCAGGCATCCTTTGCAGGCTCGCTTGGCTCACCTGAGACAACAGCGCACTACAAATTTAGCCTCTGCCATGCCATTTACCTCAGGAACCGAACAGCTAGGACCAACGCGGGCCAACAAGTTGCTTGAACCCAAACCTTGCAATACTTGCGTTGCGAGCTCAAGCCGGCGTTGCTTCAAGACATGCCTCCTCAAACTTCAAACCACTAGCTCTTCTCAATCGCGGCAAATTGATCCTTCAGGCACGATCGTGCAAAGCACGACATGGTGCCAAGCCTGCGCAAAGCAGACAGCAAGTTTACCTCCTCCAGCCGCACTCAGCCTTCCATTAACATGGACATTGTCAATGTCACGAATTGACTGAGGGCAAGTAGCTCCGGCTCAAGGTGCAGAGCCATTCGAAGGGGGCTGAAGGGGGATGCCGCAAAATCTTGAAACAGCTTGGTGTGACCAGCCGGGAACTGAAGCTGAAAGCGAAACCGAGCGGGGATGGCACAGTTGCTCCGCCCCCAAAGCCGACCTCACTAGCGTCCGCTAGAGGTCTGGAACCGGAACGCAGGACGCGCTCAAAAAAGAAAGCCCACACTTGGCACCGTTGCTAGAAACGCAACAGGCCAGGCGCGAAGGCTGGAACCGAGATCAGCCGCTCTGTCTGGAGCCGACCTGAAGATCCTCCGTTCCGCCTCGACTTGATCTTCATCAAGTTGAATCAAGGCAGCGACTTGAAATTTGAGGCCTCTACGTTCCTCTTCAAACAATCTACATGTGCAGCGCTGGGGCCATGGTCTCTGACTCAGGCTTTCTTCAAAGCAGCCATGAGTGCAATGGCAGCTGCTGCCCCTGAGGCAATGAAGGCAGGGTCCTGACAAGGCGAACCCAGCCCAAAACGCTCGCAGAGCTCTGCCAATCTCACACAGTGCGTGCACTTGCCCCACTCACCCCTGCCTGCATCCATTTGGCGTAGGATGCCTTGTTGTTGGGAGCCAGGTCTTTGGCAACCTCCTGCTTAGAACGCATGCATCGAAACAAACAAAAATCATACAGCCTTGCTGCGCCTGCTAACGCTCTAAATGGTCCGGACCCGTCCCCCACTGGGTCCGTCCTCGGTGCAGTTGCGGCTGAACTCGGGGTCCGGCTCGAAGACGCCGGCGCTGCGCACGCTGCGGGTCTCCAGGCGCTCGCGGCGATCGGACTTGGGCATGGTCGGCATGGTGGTCAATCCGCCCGCGCGGTCCATGACGCAAAGGCCCGGGCCGTCGAAGTTGCTGGGCCGGTGCATGCGCCCGTCCGCAGGGCCGCAGAGGTGCAGACGGCCGTCCTGGAACTTGAAGATGTACGGGATCGCAGGGGGCGGGCAGCTGCTGCCCTTGGGCAGCACCTCGATGTCCAATTGGTAGGGCTCCGTGGAGCAGTTCATGCGGAAGCGGCCCTCCAGGGTCTGCCCCATGACGGTGATGCTCGCATGGATGCAGTCGTTCTGGAACTCGATGCGCTGGCTGTACGCGCCCAGGGCCTTGCTTGTGGTGCCCTCCCAAGCTCCCACAATGCGAGCATCGAAGGCCACCGTTCCCAGGGCCGCCTTTTCCATGAAGGCCCCCAGGTGCGACATGGTCTCGTCTGAGACCATGGAGGGTCCCCAGTACATGGAGCCCGTGTCGCTTGCCTCCACCGAGCCGTGCAGAAGAGCAGACGCCCCGAGCTTGTTGAGGTCCGCCAGGTTCGCCACGATGCCGGAAGACCCGGAGTCCGTGGGGGGATGTGTGGAGCCGCCCGTGGAGGCGTAGGCATCATCGTGCTTGAAGCTCTCAAAGCCTGTCCCCAGATCCGCCTCCTTGTCCTCCGGCACCGTCGCCGAGAACTGGATGGCCGCCACCAGGTGCCGCTCCTTTCCCATGCTCACGGCCGAGCGCGGCACCACGGACAGGTGCAGCGTCGCATTCATCTGCGGGCCCTTGGCCTTCATCTTGCTGTGCAAGACCTGCGCGATGGGCGGCATGGACGCACCGCAGGACCACACGCCGCCGGTGGTCAGCGTCGCCTCGCTGAAGGCTTGGGGGCTGTCGGCCTGGCGCACCACGTTGCGGACGTAGGCCGAGAAATCGGCCCGGTCCTCCTCTCCGGCCAGCAGGTCCTTCAGGTTGGCGCCCGCCACGTGGCAGCCCAAGATCTTCTCCAACTTCTCCATGTCCCCGGAGATCTGGGGCGGCAGCTTGCAGCGCCCGGCCCCATCCAGCACGCACGGGAGGATGATGTCGAAGCTTCCGCGCAGGATGGAGATCATGCCGACGTTGGAGACGCTCACCTTGCGCAGCACGTCGGTCAGGGTCTTGTGGTACTCGTCCGCTCGGATGAACACGAAGGCCGCGCAGTACGCGATCTTAGCCCCGAAGGTCAGCACGAAGAAGCCCTTGCGCTCGGTCTGGGCATCAATGAGCCCCATCACCGAGGACATGTACACCACGCCGTAGAGCATGAAGTGCAAGATCAGGCCGTTGGACAGCCACGGCCGGATGCTGCGGCTGGGCAAGTCCCGGGGCGCCGCACGCTCGAACTCGCTGACCCAACCCAGCATGTCCACAGAGGCCCAGGCGTACATGGCGAATGACACCGCGATCAGCAGCCACTTCAGGAGCCCTGAGTCCGTGGCAGTGGCCGCCCAGCAAAGGATCACGTAAATGTTGGTCACCACCAGCGGGCGAGAGATCTCGGAGATGGGCCGGCCGAGGCTGCAGTAGCCCGACAAGATGAAAAGAATGGGCACGTTGATGCCCCACTCCATGTACTGCATGGTGTATACTGGCCGGCCGGCGGCTGTCAAGCCGTCTGCGCTGGGCATCACATGCGCAACGGTCCACTCAGATCGCGAGAAGCCCCGCTCAGCCGTGGCCAGCACTCCGAACATCAGTGCCAGCAGGAAACTGGGCAGGCACCGGCTCTTCAAGTGCGGGATCAAGGCTTGCGTTTGCTGCGCTCCCATGTAGGTGGCGATCAAGCCCATGACCTCATGCCCACACATTGCAATCAAAGCGGCGGTAGACACAAGGTGGTAGTAGCGCGGGTAGGTCTTCAATTGTTTGGCGCAGGTCGGCTCATCCTGGCAGTACACCGGCGCGACAGCAAACCAGCACACGGCCCACGTCAGCAACGTGGCAAAGATCCACAATGGAAGCTGACCAAGCAACGTTGCCGCCATGGCAGATGTCTTTCCCCCACAAAGCAGCTGGAACTTTTCTCAAAGGCTGCGGAGCGTGCGTGAAAAACAAATGCAAATGGATGGACGACCTTGATGTCACTCGCAAGCAGCAGCAGCGCACCTGCGGACCGGCTCTGGGAAACATGTTTGGCCTGCTGGCGAAAGCACGAAAAGCTCTGTCGACCCACGTAGCCGCCAAAACACACACCTTCCTGTCTGGGAAGCTTAAAAATTGAAACATGGGCGCTATGCAGGACGACCCAACCACGAAGTGAGCTCTGAAAATGGAAGACTCTGAGACCCTAAAGACCATCTGAAGCTGCGGTACCCAAGTCCGTTCCTGATCTTTGACATGTGCCTGTCACAAACCTGGTGTGCTCATTTCGCTTGAAATGAACAAAGTGCCACAACTCCCTTGACACACTATGAGTGCAAGGACTGGGGCAACTCGAAGTCAGAACTGGAACAGAAGTCCTAACTCTTGCCAGGCGCAAGGCCACAATGCTCGGACAAGCGTACAGCCGTACAACCGTCAGAGCAGAAACTCGGAGCGATTTCCTAGCCTTGACGGCTTTCGGAACCGGAGCCCACCTGGAAGGGAGCTTGAAACTGGCAGGAGGCACTGACGGTGCTACCTGCATGCCTTCACCTGCCCAATGTCGGCTAGGCCTTCGTGTGAGACCAAGACTGGGATCGTTCATTGTACGACATGGCTGAAGCCCTCACGAATATACTATGATTCCACTGTCACTGCATTTACGAACGTTGCGGGCGGGTAAGGCGAAAAAAATGGAACATTGCCACTCAGAGGGACTTGCGCAGGGCAAGGATCACGCTGGTCAGGGCCAGGGCGGCTGACGCCGCCACTGCTGGCTTCTCCTGCGCACCACAAGTTCAAGTTCAAAACAGCCAAGTTCAAAGCAGCAAGCCGATAGCAAGCCCCGCCCCCGTCCCAAACAAAGCGACGTGGCGATCCGAGCTTCTCCTCCACCCAATTCACCACTCCACTCAGCTTCTGGGCAGGCTTCTCGGCAATCTGGGCGATCTGGGCAGGCTTCTGGGGTGGCTCCTGACATGGCATCACTCGGCACAAGCTGGCGCAAGCCGGAACGTCACCATACGTCACGAAACGTCACCATACGTCGCCCGTCCCCCACTGGGTCCGTCCTCGGTGGAGTTGCGGCTGAACTCGGGGTCCGGCTCGAAGACGCCGGCGCTGCGCACGCTGCGGGTCTCCAGGCGATCGCGGCGATCGGACTTGGGCATGGTCGGCATGGTGGTCAATCCGCCCGCGCGGTCCATGACGCAAAGGCCCGGGCCGTCGAAGTTGCTGGGCCGGTGCATGCGCCCGTCCGCAGGGCCGCAGAGGTGCAGACGGCCGTCCTGGAACTTGAAGATGTACGGGATCGCAGGGGGCGGGCAGCTGCTGCCCTTGGGCAGCACCTCGATGTCCAATTGGTAGGGCTCCGTGGAGCAGTTCATGCGGAAGCGGCCCTCCAGGGTCTGCCCCATGACGGTGATGCTCGCATGGATGCAGTCGTTCTGGAACTCGATGCGCTGGCTGTACGCGCCCAGGGCCTTGCTTGTGGTGCCCTCCCAAGCTCCCACGATGCGAGCATCGAAGGCCACCGTTCCCAGGGCCGCCTTTTCCATGAAGGCCCCCAGGTGCGACATGGTCTCGTCTGAGACCATGGAGGGTCCCCAGTACATGGAGCCCGTGTCGCTTGCCTCCACCGAGCCGTGCAGAAGAGCAGACGCCCCGAGCTTGTTGAGGTCCGCCAGGTTCGCCACGATGCCGGAAGACCCGGAGTCCGTGGGGGGATGTGTGGAGCCGCCCGTGGAGGCGTAGGCATCATCGTGCTTGAAGCTCTCAAAGCCTGTCCCCAGATCCGCCTCCTTGTCCTCCGGCACCGTCGCCGAGAACTGGATGGCCGCCACCAGGTGCCGCTCCTTTCCCATGCTCACGGCCGAGCGCGGCACAACGGACAGGTGCAGCGTCGCATTCATCTGCGGGCCCTTGGCCTTCATCTTGCTGTGCAAGACCTGCGCGATGGGCGGCATGGACGCACCGCAGGACCACACGCCGCCGGTGGTCAGCGTCGCCTCGCTGAAGGCTTGGGGGCTGTCGGCCTGGCGCACCACGTTGCGGACGTAGGCCGAGAAATCGGCCCGGTCCTCCTCTCCGGCCAGCAGGTCCTTCAGGTTGGCGCCCGCCACGTGGCAGCCCAAGATCTTCTCCAACTTCTCCATGTCCCCGGAGATCTGGGGCGGCAGCTTGCAGCGCCCGGCCCCATCCAGCACGCACGGGAGGATGATGTCGAAGCTTCCGCGCAGGATGGAGATCATGCCGACGTTGGAGACGCTCACCTTGCGCAGCACGTCGGTCAGGGTCTTGTGGTACTCGTCCGCTCGGATGAACACGAAGGCCGCGCAGTACGCGATCTTAGCCCCGAAGGTCAGCACGAAGAAGCCCTTGCGCTCGGTCTGGGCATCAATGAGCCCCATCACCGAGGACATGTACACCACGCCGTAGAGCATGAAGTGCAAGATCAGGCCGTTGGACAGCCACGGCCGGATGCTGCGGCTGGGCAAGTCCCGGGGCGCCGCACGCTCGAACTCGCTGACCCAACCCAGCATGTCCACAGAGGCCCAGGCGTACATGGCGAATGACACCGCGATCAGCAGCCACTTCAGGAGCCCTGAGTCCGTGGCAGTGGCCGCCCAGCAAAAGATCACGTAAATGTTGGTCACCACCAGCGGGCGAGAGATCTCCGAGATGGGCCGGCCAAGGCTGCAGTAGCCCGACAAGATGAAAAGAATGGGCACGTTGATGCCCCACTCCATGTACTGCATGGTTATACTGGCCGGCCGGCGGCTGTCAGGCCGTCCGCGCGGGCATCACATGCGCAACGGTCCACTCAGATCGCGGAAGCCCGGCTCAGCCGTGGCCAGCACTCCGAACATCAGTGCCAGCAGGAAACTGGGCAGGCACCGGCTCTTCAAGTGCGGGATCAAGGCTTGCGTTTGCTGCGCTCCCATGTAGGTGGCGATCAAGCCCATGACCTCATGCCCACACATTGCAATCAAAGCGGCGGTAGACACAAGGTGGTAGTAGCGCGGGTAGGTCTTCAATTGTTTGGCGCAGGTCGGCTCATCCTGGCAGTACACCGGCGCGACAGCAAACCAGCACACGGCCCACGTCAGCAACGTGGCAAAGATCCACAATGGAAGCTGACCAAGCAACGTTGCCGCCATTGCAGATGTCTTTCCCCCACAAAGCAGCTGGAACTTTTCTCAAAGGCTGCGGAGCGTGCGTGAAAAACAAATGCAAATGGATGGACGACCTTCGTCACTCGCAAGCAACAGCAGCGCACATGCGGACCGGCTCTGGGAAACATGTTTGGCCTGCTGGCGAAAGCACGAAAAGCTCCGTCGACCCACGTAGCCGCCAAAACACATACCTTCCTGTCTGGGAAGCTTAAAATTGAAACATAGGCGCTATGCAGGATGACCCAACCACGAAGTGAGCTCTGAAAATGGAAGACTCTGAGACCCTAAAGACCATCTGAAGCTGCGGTACCCAAGTCCGTTCCTGATCTTTGACATGTGCCTGTCACAAACCTGGCGTGCTCATTTCGCTTGAAACAAACGAGGTGCCACAACTCCCTTGACACACTATGAGTGCAAGGACTGGGGCAACTCGAAGTCAGAACTGGAACAGAAGTCCTAACTCTTGCCAGGCGCAAGGCCACAATGCTCGGACAAGCGTACAGCCGTACACCCGTCAGAGCAGAAACTCGGAGCGATTTCCTAGCCTTGACGGCTTTCGGAACCGGAGCCCACCTGGAAGGGAGCTTGAAACTGGCAGGAGGCACTGACGGTGCTACCTGCATGCCTTCACCTGCCCAATGTCGGCTAGGCCTTCGTGTGAGACCAAGACTGGGATCGTTCATTGTATGACATGGCTGAAGCCCTCACGAATAGAATAGCTATGATTCCACTGTCACTGCATTTACGAACGTTGCGGGCGGGGGTGAAGGCGAAAAAATGGAACATTGCCACTCCAGAGGGACTTGCGCAGGGCAAGGATCACGCTGGTCAGGGCCAGGGCTGACGCCGCCACTGCTGGCTTCTCCTGCGCACCACAAGCCAAGTTCAAAACAGCCAAGTTCAAAGCAGCAAGCCGATAGCAAGCCCCGCCCCCGTCCCAAACAAAGCAACGTGGCGATCCGAGCTTCTCCTCCACCCAATTCACCACTCCACTCAGCTTCTGGGCAGGCTTCTCGGCAATCTGGGCGATCTGGGCAGGCTTCTGGGGTGGCTCCTGACATGGCATCACTCGGCACAAGCTGGCGCAAGCCGGCGTTTCGTCACCATACGTCGCCCGTCCCCCACTGGGTCCGTCCTCGGTGGAGTTGCGGCTGAACTCGGGGTCCGGCTCAAAGACGCCGGCGCTGCGCACGCTGCGGGTCTCCAGTCGATCGCGGCGATCGGACTTGGGCATGGTCGGCATGGTGGTCAATCCGCCCGCGCGGTCCATGACGCAAAGGCCCGGGCCGTCGAAGTTGCTGGGCCGGTGCATGCGCCCGTCCGCAGGGCCGCAGAGGTGCAGACGGCCGTCCTGGAACTTGAAGATGTACGGGATCGCAGGGGCGGGCAGCTGCTGCCCACCAGCCAGCACCTCGATGTCCAATTGGTAGAGTCGTGGAGCAGTTCATGCGAGCGGCCCTCCAGGGTCTGCCCCATGGCCGGTGATGCTCGCATGGATGCAGTCGTTCCACGGAGCTCGATGCGTGGCTGTACGCGCCCAGGGCCTTGCTTGTTGCCTCCCAAGCTCCCTGTCTGAGCATCGAGAGCCACCGTTCCCAGGGCCGCCTTTTCCATGAAGGCCCCCAGGTGCGACATGGTCTCGTCTGAGACCATGGAGGGTCCCCAGTACATGGAGCCCGTGTCGCTTGCCTCCACCGAGCCGTGCAGAAGAGCAGACGCCCCGAGCTTGTTGAGGTCCGCCAGGTTCGCCACGATGCCGGAGAAGACCCGGGTCCCGGCCGGGGATGCACCATGATCTGGCTGCTCAAAAAACGTAGGCATCATCGTGCTTAGCTCTCAAAGCCTGTCCCCAGATCCGCCTCCTTGTCCTCCCGGCACCGTCGCCGAGCACCGGATGGCCGCCACCAGGTGCCGCTCCTTTCCCATGCTCACGGCCGAAGCGCGGCACCACGGACAGGTGCAGCGTCGCATTCATCTGCGGGCCCTTGGCCTTCATCTTGCTGTGCAAGACCTGCGCGATAGGCGGCATGGACGCACCGCCAGGACCACACGCCGCCGGTGGTCAGCGTCGCCTCGCTGAAGGCTTGGGGGCTGTCGGCCTCAGCGCACCACGTTGCGGACGTAGGCCGAGAAATCGGCCCGGTCCTCCTCTCCGGCCAGCAGGTCCTTCAGGTTGGCGCCCGCCACGTGGCAGCCAACCTGAGCTCCAAGCGCGGAGTTTCCCCGGGAGATCTGGGGCGTGGATCGCTGGGCGCCAGATGCTTCAGCACGCACGGAGGATGATGGCTGAGCTTCGCGCAGGATGGAGATCATGCCGACGTTGGAGACGCTCACCTTGCGCAGCACGTCGGTCCAGGGTCTTGTGGTATAGTCGCTGGATGAACACGAAGGCCGCGCAGTACGCGATCTTAGCCTTCGAAGGTCAGCACGAAGAAGCCCGCCCCAGACCGGTCTGGGCATCAATAGGCTATCACCCAGGACATGTACACCACGCGGTGGAACGCAGAGTGCAAGATCAAAGGCCGTTGGACAGCCACGGCCGGATGCTCTGCGGCTGGGCAAGTCGGCGCCGCACGCTCGAACTCGCGACCCAACCCAGCATGTCCACAGAAGGCCCAGGCGTACATGGCGGGGTGACACCGCGATCAGCAGCCACTTCCAGGAGCCCTGAGTCGGTGGCAGTGGCCGCCCAGCAAAAGATCACGTAAATGTTGGTCACCACCAGCGAGCGAGAGATCTGAGGAGATGGGCCGGCCAAGGCTGCAGTAGCCCGACAAGATGAAAAGAATGGGCACGTTGATGCCCCACTCCATACCATGGTGTATACTGGCAACGCCGGCGGCTGTCAGGCCGTCCGCGCTGGGCATCACATGCGCAACGGTCCCTCAGATCGCGAGAAGCCCGCTCAGCCGTGGCCAGCACTCCGAACATCAGTGCCAGCAGGAAACTGGGCAGGCACCGGCTCTTCAAGTGTGGGATCAAGGCTTGCGTTTGCTGCGCTCCCATGTAGGTGGCGATCAAGCCCATGACCTCATGCCCACACATTGCAATCAAAGCGGCGCGGCGGTAGACACAAGGTGGTAGTAGCGCGGGTAGGTCTTCAATTGTTTGGCGCAGGTCGGCTCATCCTGGCAGTACACCGTGCTCACCTGCAGCCCACGTCAGCAAACGGCAGCAAAGATCCACAATGGAAGCTGACCAAGCAACGGGCACGCCATGGCAGATGTCTTTCCCTCACAAAGCAGCTGGAACTTTTCTCAAAGGCTGCGGAGCGTGCGTGAAAAACAAATGCAAATGGATGGACGTGTTACGATCACTTTCATGAAAGCAACTGGCAAGCACATGCGGACCGGCTCTGAGGAAACATGACGGCCTGCTGGCAAAGCACGAAAAGCTCCGTCGACCCACGTAGCAGCCAAAACACATGCCTTCCTGTCTGGGGCTTAAAAATTGAAACATAGGCGCTATGCAGGATGGCCAGCACAGTGAGCTCTGAAAATGGAGACTCTGAGACCCTAAAGACCATCTGAAGCTGCGGTTTGTGAAACGAATGACCTCGCAGTCCAGAGACGTTTAAACGCTGCAACACCCAAGCCCAGCTTGAAACAAACGAGGTGCCACAACTCCCTTGACACACTATGAGTGCAAGGACTGGGCAACTTCGAAGTCAAGACGGATATCATCATAGCAGCCCCCCTGCATCCTCAACGATCTGACATCACAGTTGAAGCGTGTAAAATCAGAGCAGAACGAGAAAACAGTCCCTACAACGCCCAGCGCTTTCGGAACCGGAGCCCACCTGGAAGGGAGCTTGAACAGGAGGCACTGACGGTGCTACCTGCATGCCTTCACCTGCCCAATGTCGGCTAGGCGCGTGTGGGACCAGGGCCAGGATCGTTCATTTATGACATGGCGTGAAGCCCTCACGAATATACTATGATTCCACTGTCACTGAATTTGCGAACGTTGCGGGCGGGTGAGGCGAAAAAAATGGAACATTGCCACTCAGAGGACTTGCGCAGGGCAAGGATCACGCTAGTCAGGAGGGCCAGGGCGGCTGGCGCCGCCACTGCTGGCTTCTCCTGCGCACCCACAAGTTCCGTTCAAAACAGCCAAGTTCAAAGCAGCAAACCGATAGCAAGCCCCGCCCCCGTCCCAAACAAGCGACGTGGCGATCCGAGCTTCTCCTCCCACCCAATTCACCACTCCCACTCAGCTTCTGGGCAAGCTTCTCGGCAATCTCGTGATCTGGGCAGGCGCGGTGGCTCCTGACATGGCATCACTCGGCCGGCAGCGCAAGCCAGAACGTCACATACGTCACGAAACGTCAGCATACGTCACCATACGTCACCATACGTCGCCCGTCCCCCATGGGTCCGTCCTCGGTGGAGTTGCGGCTGAACTCGGGTCCGGCTCGCGACGCCGGCGCTGCACTGCCGCTGCGAGGTCTCAGGCGATCGCGGCGATCGGACAGGCATCAGTCGGCCATCATTGGTCAATCCGCCCTTGCGGTCCATGACGCAAAGGCCGGGCCGTCGAAGTTGCTGGGCCGGTGCATGCGCCCGTCCGCAGGGCCGCAGAGGGTGCAGGCGGCCGTCCTTGGAACTGAAGATGCGGGATCGCAGGGGGCGGGCAGCTGCTGCCCTTGGGCAGCACCTCGATGTCCAATTGGTAGGGCTCCGTGGAGCAGTTCATCTGGAAGCGGCCCTCCAGGTGTGCCATGACGGTGATGCTCGCATGGATGCAGTCGTTCTGGAACTCGATGCGCTGGCTGTACGCGCCCAGGGCCCTTGAAAAGGTGCCCTCCCAAGCTCCCCTGTCGAGAGCATCCCGAAGGCCTGTTCCCCAGGCCTTTTCCATGAAGGCCCCCAGGTGCGACATGGTCTCGTGAGACCATGGAGGGTCCCATTGCATGGAGCCATGTGCTTGGAGCCACCGGGCCGAGTACCAGAAACCAGACGCCCCGAGCTTGTTGAGGTCCGCCAGGTTCGCCACGATGCCGGAAGACCCGGAGTCCGTGGGGGGATGTGTGGAGCCGCCCGTGGAGGCGTTACGGCGTAGGCATCATCGTGCTTGAAGCTCTCAAAGCCTGTCCCAGATCCGCCTCCTTGTCCTCGGCACCGTCGCCGAGAACTGGATGGCCGCCACCAGGTGCCGCTCCTTTCCCATGCTCTGACGGCTGTGACCTCACGGACAAGTGCAGCGTCGCATTCATCTGCGGGCCTTGGCCTTCATCTTGCTGTGCAAGACCTGAAATGGGCGGCATGGACGCACCGCAGGACCACTTGCCGCCGCCGGTGGTCAGCGTCGCCTCGCTGAAGGCTTGGGGGCTGTCGGCCTGGCGCACCACGTTGCGGGACGTAGGCCGAGAGCGCCTGCAGGTCCTCCTCTCCAACCAGCCACACCTTCAGGTTGGCGCCGCCACGGCGTGGCGGCCCAAGATCTTCTCCAACTTCTCCATGTCCCCGGAGGATCTTGGGCGGCAGCTTGCAGCGCCCGGCCACATCCAGCCGCACGGGAGGATGATGTGAAGCTTCCGCGCAGGATGGAGATCATGCCGACGTTGGAGACGCTCACCTTGCGCCAGCCACGTCGGTCAGGTCTTGTGGTACTCGTCATCCGGATGAACACGAAGGCCGCGCAGTACGCGATCTTAGCCCCGAAGGTCAGCACGAAGAAGCCCTTTAGCTCGGTCTGGGCATCAATGAGCCCCATCACCGAGGACATGTACCTGCGCCGTAGAGCATGAAGTGCAAGATCAGACGTTGGACAGCCACGGCCGGCGGATGCTGCTGACTGGGCAAGTCCCGAGCGCCATAGCTCGAACTCGCTTGACCCAACCCAGCATGTCCACAGAGGCCCAGGCGTACATGGCGAATGACACCGCGATCAGCAGCCACTTCCAGGAGCCCTGAGTCCGTGGCAGTGGCCGCCCAGCAAAAGATCACGTAAATGTTGGTCACCACCAGCGGGCGAGAGATCTCGAGGAGATGGGCCGGCCAAGGCTGTGCTTGACAAGATGAAAGAATGGGCACGTTGATGCCCCTCCGTGTACTGCATAATTGTATACTGGCGACGGCGCTGGGCATCACATGCGCAACGGTCCACTCAGATCGCGAGAAGCCCCGCTCAGCCGTGGCCAGCACTCCGAACATCAGTGCCAGCAGGAAACTGGGCAGGCACCGGCTCTTCAAGTGCGGGATCAAGGCTTGCGTTTGCTGCGCTCCCATGTAGGTGGCGATCAAGCCCATGACCTCATGCCCACACATTGCAATCAAAGCGGCGGTAGACACAAGGTGGTAGTAGCGCGGGTAGGTCTTCAATTGTTTGGCGCAGGTCGGCTCATCCTGGCAGTACACCGGCGCGACAGCAAACCAGCACACGGCCCACGTCAGCAACGTGGCAAAGATCCACAATGGAAGCTGACCAAGCAACGTTGCCGCCATGGCAGATGTCTTTCCCCCACAAAGCAGCTGGAACTTTTCTCAAAGGCTGCGGAGCGTGCGTGAAAAACAAATGCAAATGGATGGACGACCTTGATGTCACTCGCAAGCAGCAGCAGCGCACCTGCGGACCGGCTCTGGGAAACATGTTTGGCCTGCTGGCGAAAGCACGAAAAGCTCTGTCGACCCACGTAGCCGCCAAAACACACACCTTCCTGTCTGGGAAGCTTAAAAATTGAAACATGGGCGCTATGCAGGACGACCCAACCACGAAGTGAGCTCTGAAAATGGAAGACTCTGAGACCCTAAAGACCATCTGAAGCTGCGGTACCCAAGTCCGTTCCTGATCTTTGACATGTGCCTGTCACAAACCTGGTGTGCTCATTTCGCTTGAAATGAACAAAGTGCCACAACTCCCTTGACACACTATGAGTGCAAGGACTGGGGCAACTCGAAGTCAGAACTGGAACAGAAGTCCTAACTCTTGCCAGGCGCAAGGCCACAATGCTCGGACAAGCGTACAGCCGTACAACCGTCAGAGCAGAAACTCGGAGCGATTTCCTAGCCTTGACGGCTTTCGGAACCGGAGCCCACCTGGAAGGGAGCTTGAAACTGGCAGGAGGCACTGACGGTGCTACTGAGGCCTTCAACGATGCCCTCATGTCGGCAGGCCTTCGTGTGAGACCACCTGGGATCGTTCATTGTACGACATGGCTGAAGCCCTCACGAATATACTATGATTCCACTGTCACTTGCATTTACGAACGTTGCGGGCGGGTTAAGGCGTAAAAAAATGGGAACTTGCCAATCAGAGGGACTTGCGCATGGCTAGGATTCACGCTGGTCAGGGACAGGGCGGCTGACGCCGCCCACTGCATGGCTTCTCCCTGCGCACACAGTTCAGTTTCAAAAAATCCAAGTTCAAAGCAGCAAGCCGATAGCAAGCCCCGCCCCCGTCCCAAACAAAGCGACGTGGCGATCCGAGCTTCTCCTCCACCCACTTCACCACTCCACTCAGCTTCTGGGCAGGCTTCTCGGCAATCTGGGCGATCTGGGCAGGCTTCTGGGGTGGCTCCTGACATGGCATCACTCGGCACAAGCTGGCGCAAGCCGGAACGTCACCATACGTCACGAAACGTCAGCATACGTCACCATACGTCACCATACGTCACCATACGTCGCCCGTCCCCCACTGGGTCCGTCCTCGGTGGAGTTGCGGCTGAACTCGGGGTCCGGCTCGAAGACGCCGGCGCTGCGCACGCTGCGGGTCTCCAGGCGATCGCGGCGATCGGACTTGGGCATGGTCGGCATGGTGGTCAATCCGCCCGCGCGGTCCATGACGCAAAGGCCCGGGCCGTCGAAGTTGCTGGGCCGGTGCATGCGCCCGTCCGCAGGGCCGCAGAGGTGCAGACGGCCGTCCTGGAACTTGAAGATGTACGGGATCGCAGGGGGCGGGCAGCTGCTGCCCTTGGGCAGCACCTCGATGTCCAATTGGTAGGGCTCCGTGGAGCAGTTCATGCGGAAGCGGCCCTCCAGGGTCTGCCCCATGCGGTGATGCTCGCTGGTTGCAGTCGTTTCTGGAACTCGATGCGCTGGCTGTAACGCGCCCAGGGCCTTGCTTTGTGGTGCCCTCCCAAAGCTCCCACGATGCGAGCATCGAAGGCCACCGGCCTTTCCAAGGCGCTTTTCCATGAAGGCCCCCAGGTGCGACATGGTCTCGTCTGAGACCATGGAGGGTCCCCAGTACATGGAGCCCGTGTCGCTTGCCTCCACCGAGCCGTGCAGAAGAGCAGACGCCCCGAGCTTGTTGAGGTCCGCCAGGTTCGCCACGATGCCGGAAGACCCGGAGTCCGTGGGGGGATGTGTGGAGCCGCCCGTGGAGGCGTAGGCATCATCGTGCTTGAAGCTCTCAAAGCCTGTCCCCAGATCCGCCTCCTTGTCCTCCGGCACCGTCGCCGAGAACTGGATGGCCGCCACCAGGTGCCGCTCCTTTCCCATGCTCACGGCCGAGCGCGGCACAACGGACAGGTGCAGCGTCGCATTCATCTGCGGGCCCTTGGCCTTCATCTTGCTGTGCAAGACCTGCGCGATGGGCGGCATGGACGCACCGCAGGACCACACGCCGCCGGTGGTCAGCGTCGCCTCGCTGAAGGCTTGGGGGCTGTCGGCCTGGCGCACCACGTTGCGGACGTAGGCCGAGAAATCGGCCCGGTCCTCCTCTCCGGCCAGCAGGTCCTTCAGGTTGGCGCCCGCCACGTGGCAGCCCAAGATCTTCTCCAACTTCTCCATGTCCCCGGAGATCTGGGGCGGCAGCTTGCAGCGCCCGGCCCCATCCAGCACGCACGGGAGGATGATGTCGAAGCTTCCGCGCAGGATGGAGATCATGCCGACGTTGGAGACGCTCACCTTGCGCAGCACGTCGGTCAGGGTCTTGTGGTACTCGTCCGCTCGGATGAACACGAAGGCCGCGCAGTACGCGATCTTAGCCCCGAAGGTCAGCACAAAGAAGCCCTTGCGCTCGGTCTGGGCATCAATGAGCCCCATCACCGAGGACATGCACCACGCCGTAGAGCGAAGTGCAAGATCAGGCCATTGGACAGCCACGGCCGGTGCTGCGGCTGGGCAAGTCAGAGCCCCAGCCCAAGCAGCATGTCCACAGACGGCCCAGGCGTACATGGCGGATGATGACAGATCAGTCAGCCAGCCACTTGCAAGGAGCTGAAGTCCCGGGGCGCCGCACGCTCGAACTCGCTGACCCAACCCAGCATGTCCACAGAGGCCCAGGCGTACATGGCGAATGACACCGCGATCAGCAGCCACTTCAGGAGCCCTGAGTCCGTGGCAGTGGCCGCCCAGCAAAAGATCACGTAAATGTTGGTCACCACCAGCGGGCGAGAGATCTCCGAGATGGGCCGGCCAAGGCTGCAGTAGCCCGACAAGATGAAAAGAATGGGCACGTTGATGCCCCACTCCATGTACTGCATGGTATATACTGGCCGGCCGGCGGCTGTCAGGCCGTCCGCGCTGGGCATCACATGCGCAACGGTCCACTCAGATCGCGAGAAGCCCCGCTCAGCCGTGGCCAGCACTCCGAACATCAGTGCCAGCAGGAAACTGGGCAGGCACCGGCTCTTCAAGTGCGGGATCAAGGCTTGCGTTTGCTGCGCTCCCATGTAGGTGGCGATCAAGCCCATGACCTCATGCCCACACATTGCAATCAAAGCGGCGGTAGACACAAGGTGGTAGTAGCGCGGGTAGGTCTTCAATTGTTTGGCGCAGGTCGGCTCATCCTGGCAGTACACCGGCGCGACAGCAAACCAGCACACGGCCCACGTCAGCAACGTGGCAAAGATCCACAATGGAAGCTGACCAAGCAACGTTGCCGCCATTGCAGATGTCTTTCCCCCACAAAGCAGCTGGAACTTTTCTCAAAGGCTGCGGAGCGTGCGTGAAAAACAAATGCAAATGGATGGACGACCTTCATGCCACTCGCAAGCAACAGCAGCGCACATGCGGACCGGCTCTGGGAAACATGTTTGGCCTGCTGGCGAAAGCACGAAAAGCTCCGTCGACCCACGTAGCCGCCAAAACACATACCTTCCTGTCTGGGAAGCTTAAAAGTTGAAAAATAGGCGCTATGCAGGATGACCCAACCACGAAGTGAGCTCTGAAAATGGAAGACTCTGAGACCCTAAAGACCATCTGAAGCTGCGGTTCCCAAGTCCGTTCCTGATCTTTGACATGTGCCTGTCACAAACCTGGCGTGCTCATTTCGCTTGAAACAAACGAGGTGCCACAACTCCCTTGACACACTATGAGTGCAAGGACTGGGGCAACTCGAAGTCAGAACTGGAACAGAAGTCCTAACTCTTGCCAGGCGCAAGGCCACAATGCTCGGACAAGCGTACAGCCGTACACCCGTCAGAGCAGAAACTCGGAGCGATTTCCTAGCCTTGACGGCTTTCGGAACCGGAGCCCACCTGGAAGGGAGCTTGAAACTGGCAGGAGGCACTGACGGTGCTACCTGCATGCCTTCACCTGCCCAATGTCGGCTAGGCCTTCGTGTGAGACCAAGACTGGGATCGTTCATTGTACGACATGGCTGAAGCCCTCACGAATATGCTATGATTCCACTGTCACTGCATTTACGAACGTTGCGGGCGGGTAAGGCGAAAAAAATGGAACATTGCCACTCAGAGGGACTTGCGCAGGGCAAGGATCACGCTGGTCAGGGCCAGGGCGGCTGACGCCGCCACTGCTGGCTTCTCCTGCGCACCACAAGTTCAAGTTCAAAACAGCCAAGTTCAAAGCAGCAAGCCGATAGCAAGCCCCGCCCCCGTCCCAAACAAAGCAACGTGGCGATCCGAGCTTCTCCTCCACCCAATTCACCACTCCACTCAGCTTCTGGGCAGGCTTCTCGGCAATCTGGGCGATCTGGGCAGGCTTCTGGGGTGGCTCCTGACATGGCATCACTCGGCACAAGCTGGCGCAAGCCGGCGTTTCGTCACCATACGTCGCCCCCCCCACTGGGTCCGTCCTCGGTGGAGTTGCGGCTGAACTCGGGGTCCGGCTCAAGACGCCGGCGCTGCGCACGCTGCGGGTCTCCAGTCGATCGCGGCGATCGGACTTGGGCATGGTCGGCATGGTGGTCAATCCGCCCGCGCGGTCCATGACGCAAAGGCCCGGGCCGTCGAAGTTGCTGGGCCGGTGCATGCGCCCGTCCGCAGGGCCGCAGAGGTGCAGACGGCCGTCCTGGAACTTGAAGATGTACGGGATCGCAGGGGGCGGGCAGCTGCTGCCCTTGGGCAGCACCTCGATGTCCAATTGGTAGGGCTCCGTGGAGCAGTTCATGCGGAAGCGGCCCTCCAGGGTCTGCCCCATGACGGTGATGCTCGCATGGATGCAGTCGTTCTGGAACTCGATGCGCTGGCTGTACGCGCCCAGGGCCTTGCTTGTGGTGCCCTCCCAAGCTCCCATGCGAGCATCGAAGGCCACCGTTCCCAGGGCCGCCTTTTCCATGAAGGCCCCCAGGTGCGACATGGTCTCGTCTGAGACCATGGAGGGTCCCCAGTACATGGAGCCCGTGTCGCTTGCCTCCACCGAGCCGTGCAGAAGAGCAGACGCCCCGAGCTTGTTGAGGTCCGCCAGGTTCGCCACGATGCCGGAAGACCCGGAGTCCGTGGGGGGATGTGTGGAGCCGCCCGTGGAGGCGTAGGCATCATCGTGCTTGAAGCTCTCAAAGCCTGTCCCCAGATCCGCCTCCTTGTCCTCCGGCACCGTCGCCGAGAACTGGATGGCCGCCACCAGGTGCCGCTCCTTTCCCATGCTCACGGCCGAGCGCGGCACCACGGACAGGTGCAGCGTCGCATTCATCTGCGGGCCCTTGGCCTTCATCTTGCTGTGCAAGACCTGCGCGATGGGCGGCATGGACGCACCGCAGGACCACACGCCGCCGGTGGTCAGCGTCGCCTCGCTGAAGGCTTGGGGGCTGTCGGCCTGGCGCACCACGTTGCGGACGTAGGCCGAGAAATCGGCCCGGTCCTCCTCTCCGGCCAGCAGGTCCTTCAGGTTGGCGCCCGCCACGTGGCAGCCCAAGATCTTCTCCAACTTCTCCATGTCCCCGGAGATCTGGGGCGGCAGCTTGCAGCGCCCGGCCCCATCCAGCACGCACGGGAGGATGATGTCGAAGCTTCCGCGCAGGATGGAGATCATGCCGACGTTGGAGACGCTCACCTTGCGCAGCACGTCGGTCAGGGTCTTGTGGTACTCGTCCGCTCGGATGAACACGAAGGCCGCGCAGTACGCGATCTTAGCCCCGAAGGTCAGCACGAAGAAGCCCTTGCGCTCGGTCTGGGCATCAATGAGCCCCATCACCGAGGACATGTACACCACGCCGTAGAGCATGAAGTGCAAGATCAGGCCGTTGGACAGCCACGGCCGGATGCTGCGGCTGGGCAAGTCCCGGGGCGCCGCACGCTCGAACTCGCTGACCCAACCCAGCATGTCCACAGAGGCCCAGGCGTACATGGCGAATGACACCGCGATCAGCAGCCACTTCAGGAGCCCTGAGTCCGTGGCAGTGGCCGCCCAGCAAAAGATCACGTAAATGTTGGTCACCACCAGCGGGCGAGAGATCTCCGAGATGGGCCGGCCAAGGCTGCAGTAGCCCGACAAGATGAAAAGAATGGGCACGTTGATGCCCCACTCCATGTACTGCATGGTGTATACTGGCCGGCCGGCGGCTGTCAGGCCGTCCGCGCTGGGCATCACATGCGCAACGGTCCACTCAGATCGCGAGAAGCCCCGCTCAGCCGTGGCCAGCACTCCGAACATCAGTGCCAGCAGGAAACTGGGCAGGCACCGGCTCTTCAAGTGCGGGATCAAGGCTTGCGTTTGCTGCGCTCCCATGTAGGTGGCGATCAAGCCCATGACCTCATGCCCACACATTGCAATCAAAGCGGCGGTAGACACAAGGTGGTAGTAGCGCGGGTAGGTCTTCAATTGTTTTGCGCAGGTCGGCTCATCCTGGCAGTACACCGGCGCGACAGCAAACCAGCACACGGCCCACGTCAGCAACGTGGCAAAGATCCACAATGGAAGCTGACCAAGCAACGTTGCCGCCATGGCAGATGTCTTTCCCTCACAAAGCAGCTGGAACTTTTCTCAAAGGCTGCGGAGCGTGCGTGAAAAACAAATGCAAATGGATGGACGACCTTCATGCCACTCGCAAGCAACAGCAGCGCACATGCGGACCGGCTCTGGGAAACATGTTTGGCCTGCTGGCGAAAGCACGAAAAGCTCTGTCGACCCACGTAGCCGCCAAAACACACACCTTCCTGTCTGGGAAGCTTAAAATTGAAACATGGGCGCTATGCAGGACGACCCAACCACGAAGTGAGCTCTGAAAATGGAAGACTCTGAGACCCTAAGACCATCTGAAGCTGCGGTACCCAAGTCCGTTCCTGATCTTTGACATGTGCCTGTCACAAACCTGGCGTGCTCATTTCGCTTGAAACAAACGAGGTGCCACAACTCCCTTGACACACTATGAGTGCAAGGACTGGGGCAACTCGAAGTTAGAACTGGAACAGAAGTCCTAACTCTTGCCAGGCGCAAGGCCACAATGCTCGGACAAGCGTACAGCCGTACAAACGTCAGAGCAGAAACTTGGAGCGATTTCCTAGCCTTGACGGCTTTCGGAACCGGAGCCCCTGGAAGGGAGCTTGAAACTGGCAGGAGGCACTGACGGTGCTACCTGCATGCCTTCACCTGCCCAATGTCGGCTAGGCCTTCGTGTGAGACCAAGACTGGGATCGTTCATTGTATGACATGGCTGAAGCTCTCACGAATATACTATGATTCCACTGTCACTGCATTTACGAACGTTGCGGGCGGGTGAGGCGAATAAAATGGAACATTGCCACTCAGAGGGACTTGCGCAGGGCAAGGATCACGCTGGTCAGGGCCAGGGCGGCTGACGCCGCCACTGCTGGCTTCTCCTGCGCACCACAAGCTCAAGTTCAAAACAGCCAAGTTCAAAGCAGCAAGCCGATGGTAAGCCTGCCCACCCAACCAACCAAGCAACCCCGACCCAAACAAAGCGACGTGGCGATCTGAGCTTCTCCTCCACCCAATTCACCACTCCACTCAGCTTCTGGGCAGGCTTCTCGGCAATCTGAGCGATCTGGGCAGGCTTCTGGGGTGGCTCCTGACATGGCACCACTCGGCACAAGCTGGCGCAAGCCGGAACGTCACCATACGTCACGAAACGTCACCACACGACACCATACGTCGCCCGTCCCCCACTGGGTCCGTCCTCGGTGGAGTTGCGGCTGAACTCGGGGTCCGGCTCGAAGACGCCGGCGCTGCGCACGCTGCGGGTCTCCAGGCGATCGCGGCGATCGGACTTGGGCATGGTCGGCATGGTAATCAATCCGCCCGCGCGGTCCATGACGCAAAGGCCCGGGCCGTCGAAGTTGCTGGGCCGGTGCATGCGCCCGTCCGCAGGGCCGCAGAGATGCAGACGGCCGTCCTGGAACTTGAAGATGTACGGGATCGCAGGGGGCGGGCAGCTGCTGCCCTTGGGCAGCACCTCGATGTCCAATTGGTAGGGCTCCGTGGAGCAGTTCATGCGGAAGCGGCCCTCCAGGGTCTGCCCTATGACGGTGATGCTCGCATGGATGCAGTCGTTCTGGAACTCGATGCGCTGGCTGTACGCGCCCAGGGCCTTGCTTGTGGTGCCCTCCCAAGCTCCCACAATGCGAGCATCGAAGGCCACCGTTCCCAGGGCCGCCTTTTCCATGAAGGCCCCCAGGTGCGACATGGTCTCGTCTGAGACCATGGAGGGTCCCCAGTACATGGAGCCCGTGTCGCTTGCCTCCACCGAGCCGTGCAGAAGAGCAGACGCCCCGAGCTTGTTGAGGTCCGCCAGGTTCGCCACGATGCCGGAAGACCCGGAGTCCGTGGGGGGATGTGTGGAGCCGCCCGTGGAGGCGTAGGCATCATCGTGCTTGAAGCTCTCAAAGCCTGTCCCCAGATCCGCCTCCTTGTCCTCCGGCACCGTCGCCGAGAACTGGATGGCCGCCACCAGGTGCCGCTCCTTTCCCATGCTCACGGCCGAGCGCGGCACCACGGACAGGTGCAGCGTCGCATTCATCTGCGGGCCCTTGGCCATCTTGCTTGCAAGACCTGCGCGATGGGCGGCATGGACGCACGCAGGACCACACGCCGCCGGAGGTCCAGCGTCGCTCGCGAAGGCTTGGGGGCGGACGGCCTGGCGGCACCACGTTGCGGACGTAGGCCGAGAAATCGGCCCGGTCCTCCTCTCCGGCCAGCAGGTCCTTCAGGTTGGCGCCCGCCACGTGGCAGCCCAAGATCTTCTCCAACTTCTCCATGTCCCCGGAGATCTGGGGCGGCAGCTTGCAGCGCCCGGCCCCATCCAGCACGCACGGGAGGATGATGTCGAAGCTTCCGCGCAGGATGGAGATCATGCCGACGTTGGAGACGCTCACCTTGCGCAGCACGTCGGTCAGGGTCTTGTGGTACTCGTCCGCTCGGATGAACACGAAGGCCGCGCAGTACGCGATCTTAGCCCCGAAGGTCAGCACAAAGAAGCCCTTGCGCTCGGTCTGGGCATCAATGAGCCCCATCACCGAGGACATGTACACCACGCCGTAGAGCATGAAGTGCAAGATCAGGCCATTGGACAGCCACGGCCGGATGCTGCGGCTGGGCAAGTCCCGGGGCGCCGCACGCTCGAACTCGCTGACCCAACCCAGCATGTCCACAGAGGCCCAGGCGTACATGGCGAATGACACCGCGATCAGCAGCCACTTCAGGAGCCCTGAGTCCGTGGCAGTGGCCGCCCAGCAAAAGATCACGTAAATGTTGGTCACCACCAGCGGGCGAGAGATCTCGGAGATGGGCCGGCCAAGGCTGCAGTAGCCCGACAAGATGAAAAGAATGGGCACGTTGATGCCCCACTCCATGTACTGCATGGTGTATACTGGCCGGCCGGCCAATGCTGACCTACAAGGCGCTGGGCATCACTGCGCACCGGTCCACTCAGATTCGCGAGAAGCCCCGCCTCAAAAGCGTGGCCAGCACTCGAACATCAGTGCCTGCAGGTAAACTGGGCAGGCACCGGCCTTTCAAGTAGCGGGTCAAGGCATGGCGTTTTGCTGCGCGCCCATGTAGGTGGGTTTCAAGCCATGACCTCATGCCCGAAAGCAGGCACAAAGCGGCGGTAGAACAAGGTGGTCGTAGCGCGGGTAGGTCTTCAATTGTTTGGCGCAGGTCGGCTTTCTGGCAGTCACACCGGCGCGACAGCAATCCAGCACACGGCCACGTCAGCAAGTGGCAAAAGATTCCACAATGGAAGCTGACCAAGCAACGTTGCCGCCATTGCAGATGTCTTTCCCCCACAAAGCAGCTGGAACTTTTCTCAAAGGCTGCGGAGCGTGCGTGAAAACAAATGCAAATGGATGGACGACCTTGATGTCACTCGCAAGCAACAGCAGCGCACATGCGGACGGCTATGGGAAGCATGTTTGGCCTGCTGGCGAAAGCACGAAAAGCTCCGTCGACCCACGTAGCCGCCAAAACACACATCTTCCTGTCTGGGAAGCTTAAAATTGAAACATGGGCGCTATGCAGGACGACCCAACCACGAAGTGAGCTCTGAAAATGGAAGACTCTGAGACCCTAAGACCATCTGAAGCTGCGGTACCCAAGTCCGTTCCTGATCTTTGACATGTGCCTGTCACAAACCTGGCGTGCTCATTTCGCTTGAAACAAACGAGGTGCCACAACTCCCTTGACACTATGAGTGCAAGGACTGGGGCAACTCGAAGTCAGAACCGGAACAGAAGTCCTAACTCTTGCCAGGCGCAAGGCCACAATGCTCGGACAAGCGTACAGCCGTACAAACGTCAGAGCAGAAACTTGGAGCGATTTCCTAGCCTTGACGGCTTTCGGAACCGGAGCCCCTGGAAGGGAGCTTGAAACTGGCAGGAGGCACTGACGGTGCTACCTGCATGCCTTCACCTGCCCAATGTCGGCTAGGCCTTCGTGTGAGACCAAGACTGGGATCGTTCATTGTATGACATGGCTGAAGCTCTCACGAATATACTATGATTCCTCACGAATATACTATGATTCCACTGTCACTGCATTTGCGAACGTTGCGGGCGGGTGAGGCGAATAAAATGGAACATTGCCACTCAGAGGGACTTGCGCAGGGCAAGGATCACGCTGGTCAGGGCCAGGGCGGCTGACGCCGCCACTGCTGGCTTCTCCTGCGCACCACAAGCTCAAGTTCAAAACAGCCAAGTTCAAAGCAGCAAGCCGATGGTAAGCCTGCCCACCCAACCAACCATGCAACCCCGACCCAAACAAAGCGACGTGGCGATCTGAGCTTCTCCTCCACCCAATTCACCACTCCACTCAGCTTCTGGGCAGGCTTCTCGGCAATCTGAGCGATCTGGGCAGGCTTCTGGGGTGGCTCCTGACATGGCACCACTCGGCACAAGCTGGCGCAAGCCGGAACGTCACCATACGTCACGAAACGTCACCATACGTCGCCCGTCCCCCAGGGAGGACTGGGTCCGTCCTCAGTGGAGTTGCGGCTGAACTCGGGGTCCGGCTCGAAGACGCCGGCGCTGCGCACGCTGCGGGTCTCCAGGCGATCGCGGCGATCGGACTTGGGCATGGTCGGCATGGTGGTCAATCCGCCCGCGCGGTCCATGACGCAAAGGCCCGGGCCGTCGAAGTTGCTGGGCCGGTGCATGCGCCCGTCCGCAGGGCCGCAGAGATGCAGACGGCCGTCCTGGAACTTGAAGATGTACGGGATCGCAGGGGGCGGGCAGCTGCTGCCCTTGGCCAGCACCTCGATGTCCAATTGGTAGGGCTCCGTGGAGCAGTTCATGCGGAAGCGGCCCTCCAGGGTCTGCCCCATGACGGTGATGCTCGCATGGATGCAGTCGTTCTGGAACTCGATGCGCTGGCTGTACGCGCCCAGGGCCTTGCTTGTGGTTGCTCCAACGGCTCCCACAATGCGCGCCTCGAGGCCACCGTTCCCAGGGCCGCCTTTTTCCATGATGGCCCCAGGTGCGACATGGTCTCGTTGAGCCATGGAGGGTCCCCAGTACATGGGTTGTTGTGCGCCCGTGTCGCTTGCCTACCCCCGAGCCGTGCAGAAGAGCAGCCGCCCCGAGCTTGTTGAGGTCCGCCAGGTTTCGCACGTGCGGAAGACCGGAGTCCGTGGGGGGATGTGTGGAGCGCCGTGGAGGCGTTTACGGGCGTAGGCATTCATCGTGCGTGAAGCTCTCAAAAGGCCTGTCCCCAGATCCGCCTCCGTGTCCTCCGGCACCGTCGCCGAGAACTGGGCTGGCGCCACCAGGTGCCGCTCCTTCCCATTGCTCCACGGCCGAGCGCGGCACCACGGACAGGTGCAGCGTCGCATTCATCTGCGGGCCCTTGGCCTTCATCTTGCTGTGCAAGACCTGCGCGATGGGCGGCATGGACGCACCGCAGGACCACCCGCCGCCGGTGGTCAGCGTCGCCTCGCTGAAGGCTTGGGGGCTGTCGGCCTGGCGCACCACGTTGCGGACGTAGGCCGAGAAATCGGCCCGGTCCTCCTCTCCGGCCAGCAGGTCCTTCAGGTTGGCGCCCGCCACGTGGCAGCCCAAGATCTTCTCCAACTTCTCCATGTCCGGAGCTCTGGGGCGCAGCTTGCAGCGCCCGGCCCCATCCAAGCACGCACGGGAGGTTGATGTCGAAGCTTCCGCGCAGATGGAGATCATGCCGAGTTGGAGACGCTCCACCTTGCGCAGCTCGTCGGTCTGGGTTTGTGTACTCGTCCGCTCGGATGCACCACGAAGGCCGCGCAGTACGCGATCTTAGCCCCGAAGGTCAGCACGAAGAAGCCCTTGCGCTCGGTCTGGGCATCAATGAGCCCCATCACCGAGGACATGTACACCACGCCGTAGAGCATGAAGTGCAAGATCAGGCCGTTGGACAGCCACGGCCGGATGCTGCGGCTGGGCAAGTCCCGGGGCGCCGCACGCTCGAACTCGCTGACCCAACCCAGCATGTCCACAGAGGCCCAGGCGTACATGGCGAATGACACCGCGATCAGCAGCCACTTCAGGAGCCCTGAGTCCGTGGCAGTGGCCGCCCAGCAAAAGATCACGTAAATGTTGGTCACCACCAGCGGGCGAGAGATCTCGGAGATGGGCCGGCCAAGGCTGCAGTAGCCCGACAAGATGAAAAGAATGGGCACGTTGATGCCCCACTCCATGTACTGCATGGTGTATACTGGCCGGCCGGCGGCTGTCAGGCCGTCCGCGCTGGGCATCACATGCGCAACGGTCCACTCAGATCGCGAGAAGCCCCGCTCAGCCGTGGCCAGCACTCCGAACATCAGTGCCAGCAGGAAACTGGGCAGGCACCGGCTCTTCAAGTGTGGGATCAAGGCTTGCGTTTGCTGCGCTCCCATGTAGGTGGCGATCAAGCCCATGACCTCATGCCCACACATTGCAATCAAAGCGGCGGTAGACACAAGCTGCAGGTCGTAGCGCGGGTAGGTCTTCTTTGTTTGGCGCAGGTGGCGATTCCTGGCAGTACACCGGCGCGGCAGCAAACCAGCCCACGGCCACGTCCGCAAAAACCGTGGCAACAAGATCCCAATGGAAGATGACCAAGCAACGTTGCGCCATAGGGCGAGTCTTTCCTCACAAAAGCAGCTGGAACTTTTCTCAAAGGCTGCGGATCGTGCGTGCACCACCAACTGCAAATGGATGGACGACCCTTCACGTCAATCGCACGAACAGCAGCGCACATGTCGGACCGGCTCTGGGAAAACTGTTTGGCCTGCTGCGCAAAAAAGCACGAAAGCTCCGTCGCCCACGTAGCCGCCAAAACACCATACCTTCCTGTCTGGGAGCTTAAAAATTGAAACATAGGCGCTATGCAGGATAAAGGGGGGATGACCCCAACCACGAAGTGAGCTCTGAAAATGGAAGACTCTGAGACCCTAAGACCATCTGAAGCTGCGGTACCCAAGTCCGTTCCTGATCTTTGACATGTGCCTGTCACAAACCTGGCGTGCTCATTTCGCTTGAAATGAACGAAGTGCCACAACTCCCTTGACACTATGAGTGCAAGGACTGGGGCAACTCGAAGTCAGAACTGGAACAGAAGTCCTAACTCTTGCCAGGCGCAAGGCCACAATGCTCGGACAAGCGTACAGCCGTACAACCGTCAGAGCAGAAACTCGGAGCGATTTCCTAGCCTTGACGGCTTTCGGAACCGGAGCCCACCTGGAAGGGAGCTTGAAACTGGCAGGAGGCACTGACGGTGCTACCTGCATGCCTTCACCTGCCCAATGTCGGCTAGGCCTTCGTGTGAGACCAAGACTGGGATCGTTCATTGTATGACATGGCTGAAGCCCTCACGAATATACTATGATTCCACTGTCACTGAATTTGCGAACGTTGCGGGCGGGTGAGGCGAAAAAAATGGAACATTGCCACTCAGAGGGACTTGCGCAGGGCAAGGATCACGCTGGTCAGGGCCAGGGCGGCTGACGCCGCCACTGCTGGCTTCTCCTGCGCACCACAAGTTCAAGTTCAAAACAGCCAAGTTCAAAGCAGCAAGCCGATAGCAAGCCCCGCCCCCGTCCCAAACAAAGCGACGTGGCGATCCGAGCTTCTCCTCCACCCAATTCACCACTCCACTCAGCTTCTGGGCAGGCTTCTCGGCAATCTGGGCGATCTGGGCAGGCTTCTGGGGTGGCTCCTGACATGGCATCACTCGGCACAAGCTGGCGCAAGCCGGAACGTCACCATACGTCACGAAACGTCAGCATACGTCACCATACGTCACCATACGTCACCATACGTCGCCCGTCCCCCACTGGGTCCGTCCTCGGTGGAGTTGCGGCTGAACTCGGGGTCCGGCTCGAAGACGCCGGCGCTGCGCACGCTGCGGGTCTCCAGGCGATCGCGGCGATCGGACTTGGGCATGGTCGGCATGGTGGTCAATCCGCCCGCGCGGTCCATGACGCAAAGGCCCGGGCCGTCGAAGTTGCTGGGCCGGTGCATGCGCCCGTCCGCAGGGCCGCAGAGGTGCAGACGGCCGTCCTGGAACTTGAAGATGTACGGGATCGCAGGGGGCGGGCAGCTGCTGCCCTTGGGCAGCACCTCGATGTCCAATTGGTAGGGCTCCGTGGAGCAGTTCATGCGGAAGCGGCCCTCCAGGGTCTGCCCCTTGACGGTGGATGCTCGCATGGATGCTGTCGTTCTGGAAACTCGATGCGCTGGCTGTACGGCCCAGGGCCTTGGCTTGTGTTGCCCTCCCCAAGCTCCCACAATAGCGAGCATCGAAGGCCACCGTTCCCAGGCGCTTTTCCATGAAGGCCCCCAGGTGCGACATGGTCTCGTCTGAGACCATGGAGGGTCCCCAGTACATGGAGCCCGTGTCGCTTGCCTCCACCGAGCCGTGCAGAAGAGCAGACGCCCCGAGCTTGTTGAGGTCCGCCAGGTTCGCCACGATGCCGGAAGACCCGGAGTCCGTGGGGGGATGTGTGGAGCCGCCCGTGGAGGCGTTACGGCGTAGGCATCATCGTGCTTGAAGCTCTCAAAGCCTGTCCCCAGATCCGCCTCCTTGTCCTCCGGCACCGTCGCCGAGAACTGGATGGCCGCCACCAGGTGCCGCTCCTTTCCCATGCTCACGGCCGAGCGCGGCACCACGGACAGGTGCAGCGTCGCATTCATCTGCGGGCCCTTGGCCTTCATCTTGCTGTGCAAGACCTGCGCGATGGGCGGCATGGACGCACCGCAGGACCACACGCCGCCGGTGGTCAGCGTCGCCTCGCTGAAGGCTTGGGGGCTGTCGGCCTGGCGCACCACGTTGCGGACGTAGGCCGAGAAATCGGCCCGGTCCTCCTCTCCAGCCAGCAGGTCCTTCAGGTTGGCGCCCGCCACGTGGCAGCCCAAGATCTTCTCCAACTTCTCCATGTCCCCGGAGATCTGGGGCGGCAGCTTGCAGCGCCCGGCCCCATCCAGCACGCACGGGAGGATGATGTCGAAGCTTCCGCGCAGGATGGAGATCATGCCGACGTTGGAGACGCTCACCTTGCGCAGCACGTCGGTCAGGGTCTTGTGGTACTCGTCCGCTCGGATGAACACGAAGGCCGCGCAGTACGCGATCTTAGCCCCGAAGGTCAGCACGAAGAAGCCCTTGCGCTCGGTCTGGGCATCAATGAGCCCCATCACCGAGGACATGTACACCACGCCGTAGAGCATGAAGTGCAAGATCAGGCCGTTGGACAGCCACGGCCGGATGCTGCGGCTGGGCAAGTCCCGGGGCGCCGCACGCTCGAACTCGCTGACCCAACCCAGCATGTCCACAGAGGCCCAGGCGTACATGGCGAATGACACCGCGATCAGCAGCCACTTCAGGAGCCCTGAGTCCGTGGCAGTGGCCGCCCAGCAAAGGATCACGTAAATGTTGGTCACCACCAGCGGGCGAGAGATCTCGGAGATGGGCCGGCCGAGGCTGCAGTAGCCCGACAAGATGAAAAGAATGGGCACGTTGATGCCCCACTCCATGTACTGCATGGTGTATACTGGCCGGCCGGCGGCTGTCAAGCCGTCTGCGCTGGGCATCACATGCGCAACGGTCCACTCAGATCGCGAGAAGCCCCGCTCAGCCGTGGCCAGCACTCCGAACATCAGTGCCAGCAGGAAACTGGGCAGGCACCGGCTCTTCAAGTGCGGGATCAAGGCTTGCGTTTGCTGCGCTCCCATGTAGGTGGCGATCAAGCCCATGACCTCATGCCCACACATTGCAATCAAAGCGGCGGTAGACACAAGGTGGTAGTAGCGCGGGTAGGTCTTCAATTGTTTGGCGCAGGTCGGCTCATCCTGGCAGTACACCGGCGCGACAGCAAACCAGCACACGGCCCACGTCAGCAACGTGGCAAAGATCCACAATGGAAGCTGACCAAGCAACGTTGCCGCCATTGCAGATGTCTTTCCCCCACAAAGCAGCTGGAACTTTTCTCAAAGGCTGCGGAGCGTGCGTGAAAACAAATGCAAATGGATGGACGACCTTGATGTCACTCGCAAGCAACAGCAGCGCACATGCGGACGGCTATGGGAAGCATGTTTGGCCTGCTGGCGAAAGCACGAAAAGCTCCGTCGACCCACGTAGCCGCCAAAACACACATCTTCCTGTCTGGGAAGCTTAAAATTGAAACATGACGGTGCTATGCATGACCCAACCACGAAGTGAGCTCTGAAAATGGAAGACTCTGAGACCCTAATGACCATCTGAAGCTGCGGTCCCAAGTGTTCCTGACACATGTGCCTGTCACAAACCTGGCGTGCTCATTTCGCTTGAAACAAACGAGGTGCCACAACTCCCTTGACACGATATGAGTGCAAGGACTGGGGCAACTCGAAGTCCCCGACCCAACAGAAGTCCTAACTCTTGCCAGGCGCAAGGCCACAATGCTCGGACAAGCGTACAGCCGTACTGGGCGTCAGAGCAGAAACTCTGAGCGATTTCCTAGCCTTGACGGCTTTCGGAACCGGAGCCCCTGGAAGGGAGCTTGAAACTGGCAGGAGGCACTGACGGTGCTACCTGCATGCCTTCACCTGCCCAATGTCGGCTAGGCCTTCGTGTGAGACCAAGACTGGGATCGTTCATTGTATGACATGGCTGAAGCTCTCACGAATATACTATGATTCCTCACGAATATACTATGATTCCACTGTCACTGCATTTGCGAACGTTGCGGGCGGGTGAGGCGAATAAAATGGAACATTGCCACTCAGAGGGACTTGCGCAGGGCAAGGATCACGTGGTCAGGGCCAGGTCGGTAACGCCGCCACTGCTGGCTTCTCCTGCGCACCCAAGTTCAGAGTTCAAAACAGCCCGGTTCAAAAGCCGCAAGCGTGGCAAGCCCTGCCCATCCAACCAACCAGCAACCCGACTCAAACAAAGCGAGTGGCCGCTCCGAGCTTCTCCACCCAATTCACCACGCCACTCAGCTTTCTGGGCAGGCTTCTCGGCAATCTGGGCGATCTGGGCAGGCTTCTGGGGTGGCTCCTGACATGGCATCACTCGGCACAAGCTGGCGCAAGCCGGCGTTTCGTCACCATACGTCGCCCGTCCCCCACTGGGTCCGTCCTCGGTGGAGTTGCGGCTGAACTCGGGGTCCGGCTCAAAGACGCCGGCGCTGCGCACGCTGCGGGTCTCCAGTCGATCGCGGCGATCGGACTTGGGCATGGTCGGCATGGTGGTCAATCCGCCCGCGCGGTCCATGACGCAAAGGCCCGGGCCGTCGAAGTTGCTGGGCCGGTGCATGCGCCCGTCCGCAGGGCCGCAGAGGTGCAGACGGCCGTCCTGGAACTTGAAGATGTACGGGATCGCAGGGGGCGGGCAGCTGCTGCCCTTGGGCAGCACCTCGATGTCCAATTGGTAGGGCTCCGTGGAGCAGTTCATGCGGAAGCGGCCCTCCAGGGTCTGCCCCATGACGGTGATGCTCGCATGGATGCAGTCGTTCTGGAACTCGATGCGCTGGCTGTACGCGCCCAGGGCCTTGCTTGTGGTGCCCTCCCAAGCTCCCACGATGCGAGCATCGAAGGCCACCGTTCCCAGGGCCGCCTTTTCCATGAAGGCCCCCAGGTGCGACATGGTCTCGTCTGAGACCATGGAGGGTCCCCAGTACATGGAGCCCGTGTCGCTTGCCTCCACCGAGCCGTGCAGAAGAGCAGACGCCCCGAGCTTGTTGAGGTCCGCCAGGTTCGCCACGATGCCGGAAGACCCGGAGTCCGTGGGGGGATGTGTGGAGCCGCCCGTGGAGGCGTAGGCATCATCGTGCTTGAAGCTCTCAAAGCCTGTCCCCAGATCCGCCTCCTTGTCCTCCGGCACCGTCGCCGAGAACTGGATGGCCGCCACCAGGTGCCGCTCCTTTCCCATGCTCACGGCCGAGCGCGGCACCACGGACAGGTGCAGCGTCGCATTCATCTGCGGGCCCTTGGCCTTCATCTTGCTGTGCAAGACCTGCGCGATGGGCGGCATGGACGCACCGCAGGACCACACGCCGCCGGTGGTCAGCGTCGCCTCGCTGAAGGCTTGGGGGCTGTCGGCCTGGCGCACCACGTTGCGGACGTAGGCCGAGAAATCGGCCCGGTCCTCCTCTCCGGCCAGCAGGTCCTTCAGGTTGGCGCCCGCCACGTGGCAGCCCAAGATCTTCTCCAACTTCTCCATGTCCCCGGAGATCTGGGGCGGCAGCTTGCAGCGCCCGGCCCCATCCAGCACGCACGGGAGGATGATGTCGAAGCTTCCGCGCAGGATGGAGATCATGCCGACGTTGGAGACGCTCACCTTGCGCAGCACGTCGGTCAGGGTCTTGTGGTACTCGTCCGCTCGGATGAACACGAAGGCCGCGCAGTACGCGATCTTAGCCCCGAAGGTCAGCACGAAGAAGCCCTTGCGCTCGGTCTGGGCATCAATGAGCCCCATCACCGAGGACATGTACACCACGCCGTAGAGCATGAAGTGCAAGATCAGGCCGTTGGACAGCCACGGCCGGATGCTGCGGCTGGGCAAGTCCCGGGGCGCCGCACGCTCGAACTCGCTGACCAGCAGCATGTCCACAGAGGCCCAGGCGTACATGGCGAATGACACCGCGATCAGCAGCCACTTCAGGAGCCCTGAGTCCGTGGCAGTGGCCGCCCAGCAAAAGATCACGTAAATGTTGGTCACCACCAGCGGGCGAGAGATCTCCGAGATGGGCCGGCCAAGGCTGCAGTAGCCCGACAAGATGAAAAGAATGGGCACGTTGATGCCCCACTCCATGTACTGCATGGTGTATACTGGCCGGCCGGCGGCTGTCAGGCCGTCCGCGCTGGGCATCACATGCGCAACGGTCCACTCAGATCGCGAGAAGCCCCGCTCAGCCGTGGCCAGCACTCCGAACATCAGTGCCAGCAGGAAACTGGGCAGGCACCGGCTCTTCAAGTGCGGGATCAAGGCTTGCGTTTGCTGCGCTCCCATGTAGGTGGCGATCAAGCCAATGACCTCATGCCCACACATTGCAATCAAAGCGGCGGTAGACACAAGGTGGTAGTAGCGCGGGTAGGTCTTCAATTGTTTGGCGCAGGTCGGCTCATCCTGGCAGTACACCGGCGCGACAGCAAACCAGCACACGGCCCACGTCAGCAACGTGGCAAAGATCCACAATGGAAGCTGACCAAGCAACGTTGCCGCCATTGCAGATGTCTTTCCCCCACAAAGCAGCTGGAACTTTTCTCAAAGGCTGCGGAGCGTGCGTGAAAAACAAATGCAAATGGATGGACGACCTTCACGCACTCGCAAGCAACAGCAGCGCACATGCGGACCGGCTCTGGGAAACATGTTTGGCCTGCTGGCGAAAGCACGAAAAGCTCCGTCGACCCACGTAGCCGCCAAAACACATACCTTCCTGTCTGGGAAGCTTAAAATTGAAACATAGGCGCTATGCAGGATGACCCAACCACGAAGTGAGCTCTGAAAATGGAAGACTCTGAGACCCTAAAGACCATCTGAAGCTGCGGTACCCAAGTCCGTTCCTGATCTTTGACATGTGCCTGTCACAAACCTGGCGTGCTCATTTCGCTTGAAACAAACGAGGTGCCCACAACTCCCTTGACACACTATGAGTGCAAGGACTGGGGCAACTCGAAGTCAGAACTGGAACAGAAGTCCTAACTCTTGCCAGGCGCAAGGCCACAATGCTCGGACAAGCGTACAGCCGTACACCCGTCAGAGCAGAAACTCGGAGCGATTCCTAGCCTTGACGGCTTTCGGAACCGGAGCCCCTGGAAGGGAGCTTGAAACTGGCAGGAGGCACTGACGGTGCTACCTGCATGCCTTCACCTGCCCAATGTCGGCTAGGCCTTCGTGTGAGACCAAGACTGGGATCGTTCATTGTATGACATGGCTGAAGCCCTCACGAATATACTATGATTCCACTGATTCCACTGTCACTGCATTTGCGAACGTTGCGGGCGGGTGGCGAAAAAAATGGAACATTGCCACTCAGAGGGACTTGCGCAGGGCAAGGATCACGCTGGTCAGGGCCAGGGCGGCTGACGCCGCCACTGCTGGCTTCTCCTGCGCACCACAAGTTCAAGTTCAAAACAGCCAAGTTCAAAGCAGCAAGCCGATAGCAAGCCCCGCCCCCGTCCCAAACAAAGCGACGTGGCGATCCGAGCTTCTCCTCCACCCAATTCACCACTCCACTCAGCTTCTGGGCAGGCTTCTCGGCAATCTGGGCGATCTGGGCAGGCTTCTGGGGTGGCTCCTGACATGGCATCACTCGGCACAAGCTGGCGCAAGCCGGAACGTCACCATACGTCACGAAACGTCAGCCATACGTCGTCCCGTCCCCCACTGGGTCCGTCCTCGGTGGAGTTGCGGCTGAACTCGGCCAAGACGCCGGCGCTTGCCTCCAGGCGATCGCGGCGATCTTGGGCATGGTCGGCATGGTGGTCAAGGCGCCCCAGGTGCTGACGCCCGTCCGCATGCAGACGGCCGTCCTCGAAGATCTCGAGAGCTGCAGCACCTCGATGAATTGGGGGCTCCGTGGAGCAGTTCATGCGGAAGCGGCCCTAGGGTCATGGATGCCGCGTGTCGCTGGCTGCGCTCCGCGCCCAAGCCGAGCCGTGCAGAAGAGCAGACGCCCCGAGCTTGTTGAGAGTGCCAGACGCCCCGAGGTTCGCCACGATGCCGGAAGACCCGGAGTCCGTGGGGGGATGTGTGGAGCCGCCCGTGGAGGCGTAGGCATCATCGTGCTTGAAGCTCTCAAAGCCTGTCCCCAGATCCGCCTCCTTGTCCTCCGGCACCGTCGCCGAGAACTGGATGGCCGCCACCAGGTGCCGCTCCTTTCCCATGCTCACGGCCGAGCGCGGCACCACGGACAGGTGCAGCGTCGCATTCATCTGCGGGCCCTTGGCCTTCATCTTGCTGTGCAAGACCTGCGCGATGGGCGGCATGGACGCACCGCAGGACCACACGCCGCCGGTGGTCAGCGTCGCCTCGCTGAAGGCTTGGGGGCTGTCGGCCTGGCGCACCACGTTGCGGACGTAGGCCGAGAAATCGGCCCGGTCCTCCTCTCCGGCCAGCAGGTCCTTCAGGTTGGCGCCCGCCACGTGGCAGCCCAAGATCTTCTCCAACTTCTCCATGTCCCCGGAGATCTGGGGCGGCAGCTTGCAGCGCCCGGCCCCATCCAGCACGCACGGGAGGATGATGTCGAAGCTTCCGCGCAGGATGGAGATCATGCCGACGTTGGAGACGCTCACCTTGCGCAGCACGTCGGTCAGGGTCTTGTGGTACTCGTCCGCTCGGATGAACACGAAGGCCGCGCAGTACGCGATCTTAGCCCCGAAGGTCAGCACGAAGAAGCCCTTGCGCTCGGTCTGGGCATCAATGAGCCCCATCACCGAGGACATGTACACCACGCCGTAGAGCATGAAGTGCAAGATCAGGCCGTTGGACAGCCACGGCCGGATGCTGCGGCTGGGCAAGTCCCGGGGCGCCGCACGCTCGAACTCGCTGACCCAACCCAGCATGTCCACAGAGGCCCAGGCGTACATGGCGAATGACACCGCGATCAGCAGCCACTTCAGGAGCCCTGAGTCCGTGGCAGTGGCCGCCCAGCAAAAGATCACGTAAATGTTGGTCACCACCAGCGGGCGAGAGATCTCGGAGATGGGCCGGCCAAGGCTGCAGTAGCCCGACAAGATGAAAAGAATGGGCACGTTGATGCCCCACTCCATGTACTGCATGGTGTATACTGGCCGGCCGGCGGCTGTCAGGCCGTCCGCGCTGGGCATCACATGCGCAACGGTCCACTCAGATCGCGAGAAGCCCCGCTCAGCCGTGGCCAGCACTCCGAACATCAGTGCCAGCAGGAAACTGGGCAGGCACCGGCTCTTCAAGTGCGGGATCAAGGCTTGCGTTTGCTGCGCTCCCATGTAGGTGGCGATCAAGCCCATGACCTCATGCCCACACATTGCAATCAAAGCGGCGGTAGACACAAGGTGGTAGTAGCGCGGGTAGGTCTTCAATTGTTTTGCGCAGGTCGGCTCATCCTGGCAGTACACCGGCGCGACAGCAAACCAGCACACGGCCCACGTCAGCAACGTGGCAAAGATCCACAATGGAAGCTGACCAAGCAACGTTGCCGCCATGGCAGATGTCTTTCCCTCACAAAGCAGCTGGAACTTTTCTCAAAGGCTGCGGAGCGTGCGTGAAAAACAAATGCAAATGGATGGACGACCTTCACGTCACTCGCAAGCAACAGCAGCGCACATGCGGACCGGCTCTGGGAAACATGTTTGGCCTGCTGGCGAAAGCACGAAAAGCTCCGTCGACCCACGTAGCCGCCAAAACACATACCTTCCTGTCTGGGAAGCTTAAAAATTGAAACATTGGCGCTATGCAGGATGACCCAACCACGAAGTGAGCTCTGAAAATGGAAGACTCTGAGACCCTAAGACCATCTGAAGCTGCGGTACCCAAGTCCGTTCCTGATCTTTGACATGTGCCTGTCACAAACCTGGCGTGCTCATTTCGCTTGAAATGAACGAAGTGCCACAACTCCCTTGACACTATGAGTGCAAGGACTGGGGCAACTCGAAGTCAGAACTGGAACAGAAGTCCTAACTCTTGCCAGGCGCAAGGCCACAATGCTCGGACAAGCGTACAGCCGTACAACCGTCAGAGCAGAAACTCGGAGCGATTTCCTAGCCTTGACGGCTTTCGGAACCGGAGCCCACCTGGAAGGGAGCTTGAAACTGGCAGGAGGCACTGACGGTGCTACCTGCATGCCTTCACCTGCCCAATGTCGGCTAGGCCTTCGTGTGAGACCAAGACTGGGATCGTTCATTGTATGACATGGCTGAAGCCCTCACGAATATGCTATGATTCCACTGTCACTGCATTTACGAACGTTGCGGGCGGGTGAGGCGAATAACATGGAACATTGCCACTCAGAGGGACTTGCGCAGGGCAAGGATCACGCTGGTCAGGGCCAGGGCGGCTGACGCCGCCACTGCTGGCTTCTCCTGCGCACCACAAGTTCAAGTTCAAAACAGCCAGGTTCAAAGCAGCAAGCCGATGGCAAGCCCTGCCCATCCAACCAACCAAGCAACCCCGACCCAAACAAAGCGACGTGGCGATCCGAGCTTCTCCTCCACCCAATTCACCACTCCACTCAGCTTCTGGGCAGGCTTCTCGCAATCTGGGCGATCTGGGCAGGCTTCTGGGGTGGCTCCTGACATGGCATCACTCGGCACAAGCTGGCGCAAGCCGGAACGTCACCATACGTCACGAAACGTCAGCATACGTCACCATACGTCACCATACGTCACCATACGTCGCCCGTCCCCCACTGGGTCCGTCCTCGGTGGAGTTGCGGCTGAACTCGGGGTCCGGCTCGAAGACGCCGGCGCTGCGCACGCTGCGGGTCTCCAGGCGATCGCGGCGATCGGACTTGGGCATGGTCGGCATGGTGGTCAATCCGCCCGCGCGGTCCATGACGCAAAGGCCCGGGCCGTCGAAGTTGCTGGGCCGGTGCATGCGCCCGTCCGCAGGGCCGCAGAGGTGCAGACGGCCGTCCTGGAACTTGAAGATGTACGGGATCGCAGGGGGCGGGCAGCTGCTGCCCTTGGGCAGCACCTCGATGTCCAATTGGTAGGGCTCCGTGGAGCAGTTCATGCGGAAGCGGCCCTCCAGGGTCTGCCCCATGACGGTGATGCTCGCATGGATGCAGTCGTTCTGGAACTCGATGCGCTGGCTGTACGCGCCCAGGGCCTTGCTTGTGGTGCCCTCCCAAGCTCCCACAATGCGAGCATCGAAGGCCACCGTTCCCAGGGCCGCCTTTTCCATGAAGGCCCCCAGGTGCGACATGGTCTCGTCTGAGACCATGGAGGGTCCCCAGTACATGGAGCCCGTGTCGCTTGCCTCCACCGAGCCGTGCAGAAGAGCAGACGCCCCGAGCTTGTTGAGGTCCGCCAGGTTCGCCACGATGCCGGAAGACCCGGAGTCCGTGGGGGGATGTGTGGAGCCGCCCGTGGAGGCGTAGGCATCATCGTGCTTGAAGCTCTCAAAGCCTGTCCCCAGATCCGCCTCCTTGTCCTCCGGCACCGTCGCCGAGAACTGGATGGCCGCCACCAGGTGCCGCTCCTTTCCCATGCTCACGGCCGAGCGCGGCACCACGGACAGGTGCAGCGTCGCATTCATCTGCGGGCCCTTGGCCTTCATCTTGCTGTGCAAGACCTGCGCGATGGGCGGCATGGACGCACCGCAGGACCACACGCCGCCGGTGGTCAGCGTCGCCTCGCTGAAGGCTTGGGGGCTGTCGGCCTGGCGCACCACGTTGCGGACGTAGGCCGAGAAATCGGCCCGGTCCTCCTCTCCGGCCAGCAGGTCCTTCAGGTTGGCGCCCGCCACGTGGCAGCCCAAGATCTTCTCCAACTTCTCCATGTCCCCGGAGATCTGGGGCGGCAGCTTGCAGCGCCCGGCCCCATCCAGCACGCACGGGAGGATGATGTCGAAGCTTCCGCGCAGGATGGAGATCATGCCGACGTTGGAGACGCTCACCTTGCGCAGCACGTCGGTCAGGGTCTTGTGGTACTCGTCCGCTCGGATGAACACGAAGGCCGCGCAGTACGCGATCTTAGCCCCGAAGGTCAGCACAAAGAAGCCCTTGCGCTCGGTCTGGGCATCAATGAGCCCCATCACCGAGGACATGTACACCACGCCGTAGAGCATGAAGTGCAAGATCAGGCCATTGGACAGCCACGGCCGGATGCTGCGGCTGGGCAAGTCCCGGGGCGCCGCACGCTCGAACTCGCTGACCCAACCCAGCATGTCCACAGAGGCCCAGGCGTACATGGCGAATGACACCGCGATCAGCAGCCACTTCAGGAGCCCTGAGTCCGTGGCAGTGGCCGCCCAGCAAAAGATCACGTAAATGTTGGTCACCACCAGCGGGCGAGAGATCTCGGAGATGGGCCGGCCAAGGCTGCAGTAGCCCGACAAGATGAAAAGAATGGGCACGTTGATGCCCCACTCCATGTACTGCATGGTGTATACTGGCCGGCCGGCGGCTGTCAGGCCGTCCGCGCTGGGCATCACATGCGCAACGGTCCACTCAGATCGCGAGAAGCCCCGCTCAGCCGTGGCCAGCACTCCGAACATCAGTGCCAGCAGGAAACTGGGCAGGCACCGGCTCTTCAAGTGCGGGATCAAGGCTTGCGTTTGCTGCGCTCCCATGTAGGTGGCGATCAAGCCCATGACCTCATGCCCACACATTGCAATCAAAGCGGCGGTAGACACAAGGTGGTAGTAGCGCGGGTAGGTCTTCAATTGTTTGGCGCAGGTCGGCTCATCCTGGCAGTACACCGGCGCGACAGCAAACCAGCACACGGCCCACGTCAGCAACGTGGCAAAGATCCACAATGGAAGCTGACCAAGCAACGTTGCCGCCATTGCAGATGTCTTTCCCCCACAAAGCAGCTGGAACTTTTCTCAAAGGCTGCGGAGCAAGCGATGGAAGAGCTTGCGTTTAACATTCTGCCCACTGACCTCAGCAACAAATGCGGACCGGCTCTGTACTGCCTTTTACCCGACCCAACTGTCTCCAGCTGCTCTGCGTCATGAAGTGTTCCCACCTCAGACAGCGCCTCAGAACCCGGCGGTTTCAGAATACAAGCTCCCTTTTTGAGAGGCCTTCTGGGAGCTTCCATGGACTCGCCTAAGGCAGGGTACATCTTGGACCTTTGCGAAAGTCCAGCAATGCATGTGCGCGTGCTGCGTGAGCATGTGAGTGCCTGGTACGATGCAGGTTTGTTGTCAGGAGATGATTGTTCTGAGCGCCGGTTTGCTTGGTGAAATGAGCTTCAACATTTGAAGGCTGCAGTGGATGCCTTGTCCCTGCTAGCTCTTTGGTAGCAGGTGGGTTAAGGCGTTCAAATTTCGGTGACACATGCTGACCCGGACCCGGACCATGCCGCAGGCCTGGGGAAACAGATTCTGAAGTCGAAAGTGCTTTTTCCAGCTACGTGAGGGCGGTGTGGCCATGCGACCGCTTGGCAGGCTCAAAAAAAGAAGAAATGTTGGACCCTGAGAGGATGCTTGTACAAAACCTGTCTGGATCCTGCAACAACCTGATCACAGATGGGGGAATACTTTGCCAAGCCTGCTCCGCCTGCGCTTGGCAGTAGACTCAAACTTTGCACAAGCATCCGTTCAGTTCTTCCCCTGCACGCCGTGTGAAAACGTACCCGTTTCGGACAAAACATGATAGCATCAAAATCGCTGTGCTGGAGGTGCTCGTGCAATCAGTCCAACTAAAACATATATGGAGCCCGGACGGCTGAAAAGGTCTGCGCATCTCCGACAAAACTTCCGGAGTCCGGGGGCGAAGTGTTGTAGGAGGATCCGAGCAAAACCTGCAAAACACCGCAGCAGTTGTGCCTCGACGTGCACGCACTAGCGATAACAATCAGAAACAATAACGAATAGAAACAAAAAGGGGAACACGCGTTATGGGGAGTCCCTTTCTCATTTGAGGCGGTCTGAAAAATTGTTAGGGGGGATTCAGCTTGCGGGTGGTTTCCCCTTGACTTCCCCTTGAACCCAAGAAAGGCGGGTACCATCATTGGCCGGTGTGTCCATGATCAAAAGCTCTAAGCTTAGGCAAGGCCCAGGCCGGGCTCAGCTGCAAGCGCTCAGCCAGGAACTTCCATGTCTCCGGGTCGGGCTGCAGCCTGCGCGAGGGGTCTGGGGTCAACTCTTGGCGCACATGAAGGACTTTCGAAAACCAGCTTGTGGAGTCACCTCCTTTTTGCGGGCCCCGCTTTTGGGCTCCAGCTTTCCTTTGGACGGATACAGAGATGAGAGTAATGGATGGCACGCCTTCACTGGAGATAAGATATGGCGTGCTATCTGTCTCTCTCCCATGCTTCTATCATTTTTTGGAATTCTACGCAGATGAAAGCGTGGGAACAAGAGAGACATGGAAGCGAGGAAAGCTGGGAGATGGTCAAGATATGATTTGTGCACCAGACGAGCATCTCCCAAAATGGGAAGTGCCAGGAACCCGAAATGGCAAACCGCTAGAAGCGCCTGGCGGCCCGCTGAAGCAGCGCGGACCATTCTCCCAAGTCCTGCGCGGTCCAGCGCGGACAGGCTCAAGAGATCGCGGCTTCAAGAACGCGATCTGGCAAGGTGTCAAACATTCAGCGGAGACCCTCAAGCACCTGATAAAAACTCTCCTGCGTCATTCCCGGAACTTTGCGGAACGCGGCGCAGGCCTGAACACACTGGGCCGTGGGCGTTTTGGCTGAGCCAAAAAGATGTGCCCTGCATGCCTCCAAAGCCAGGGCGGCTTCATGCCAGCCTGGCCGAACTTCGCGAAACCGGAAGCTGCATCCCTGAAACCACCCTTTGCGAGATCAAGATGCGTGTGCGCCCACCTTCAGCCTCTGTCTGCAGCAGAAAGGCATCAAGCCGGCATGCTGCTTCAAAGGCGCGGCCCACGGCCTAGCCATTAACGGGGTGCCGAACGGGGCGCCGAACGGGGCGCCGAACGGGGCGCCGCTCGGAATCCATGGTGCCAGGCTGAAGGCTTTTTCCCGATTGCGCTTGCCTCTCTTTGGATGGCACCTTGGGACCTCACTTGAGTCCGATCTCGGAGAGTGCTGACCAAGGCGGTTGCGACTGGGCTTCGGATGCCGTTTGGATCCGCTCAGCCCTCAGAAATGTTTGCAAGGCTACCGGCAGTCTCGCCGAGAGTCGACTTCTCTGAGGACAGCCGCGCCTGCTCCTGACAGAGCGACATCGACTCCAGCCCTCCACACCCTTGCGCTCGCGCTCCTCGTAGGAAGCGGCCGATTCCTCGTCCCCGAGCTGGCGGCAAAGCACAGCTAGCCTGTCAAACACCCAATTTCAGGTGTCACCGACTTGGGTCACGTCCTTGTGAAAAGCTGCGCGGCAGCTTCCCCTTGAACCTGCCAGGAAGGGACGAAGTGCGAAGCTGCGATGCCTCCTTACGAATTGATGGGCCGTCCGCGCCTTGCCGAGTGCCCGGCGCTTTTCCGCCGCCTCCTCCAGGGCACTTCTGGCTGCAGGGCCGGGCACTAGCGCCGCCAACTGCTCCAGGAGCCTCGCAAAAGGCGCTCGATGCGATGCGATGGGCGAGCGGCAGGCCGAGATTTCGCACATGGGACGCCAGACCGCCATTTTTCGATGACTCAAGACTTCACATCTGAGATGTGTGGATAAGCTGCGGAAAATGCTTTGGACCGAGTCGAAACAGTGCCTCCCTAGCGGTTGAGCTAGCGGCACCCAAAATTTCGCATTGTGAAACGTCTCCCTGCTCTTTTCAGAAGCGGGGCTGCAGTATTGCTAGCTCAAGGGCGGTCCTTGGCTAGATCCTCGTCAGCCAGACGCTGCCGAGCATGGCTCGGGGCGGCCCTATCACAACATCCGCAGCTCTGGGCGGTGGAAAATGTCCACAAAATTCAGCAGCGCTACAGCTCCGGCAATGAGGCACATGCGGTGAGGGTAGTTCGCATAGAAGACCGACATGCCCAGCTCCTTGTACGCCCTGGACCATGCCGCACCTGTATAGAACGGAGCGCCCTGTGCCTCTCCTGTGGCCGCCAAACGTCCTCGGGCAGCAGTGGCAAAAAAGGAGGCAAACAAGGCGAGTGCACTCCCATGAATCCCAACCCAATTCCCCCTGGCCTGCAAACAAGGATACGTTGTGAACCCACTGAGTGGCAAAGGCCGTGCACGCGCCAGAAAGGAAGCCCGAGCCGAATCGAAGCACCCCCTGGCCGGACAGAAGTGACCAATGCTTGGGATATTGAGCTTCCTTCAAACTTTTCCTACCCTTGCTTCGAGCTGGGACATACAGCATCAGCATGTCTCTGCGCACGTCTGAAGTGATAACAGTCATTCGCATGCTGGCCCGATGGCCTCGGACAGGTGAACACCGCCGATACCTGAGCGCTCAAACATTTGAGGACGGTTGAGAGCTTTGTTGTCCCAGGCTGGCGGACTTTTTGGCAGGAGGCTGTGTTTGCCATCATCGTCTTTCAAGACTGCAGCCAGCTTTGTCTTCACCACAGGCCCCAGGTACCTCAATGGAACGGCAAATTCTCGCGCCCTCGAAACGGATTTTGTTTTTTACTCCCGAGCCAAGGTGCAAGCCTCCGCCCATGGACAAGCTCTCGCGAGCGAAGCACCACACAATGCCCGGCTGGACCCCCCGGGCAAGCTCCTTCATTGACATTGTCTTGGCCTCGGTCCAACCGAGTCTCAACTGCATCCAAGATGTTGCCATCTCACACCCTCACAGCACGCACTGGGCCTTGCCGGTGTAGATCTTGTACATCTCCGAGATGAGGGTGTTGTAGATCACGGATTGGAAGCCCGTGCCGATGACCCCGAAGGCCAGCATGGTGGAGGCCGCCGGGTGCAAGACCTGGTCCAGCGACAGCTTCATCTCTCGCATCACCGCGTACTGGGCGGCTTTCAGGCCACCAGCCAAGGGCGTGATGCGCAGGCACATGCCTAAGCCGAGCTGGGCGCTTGATGGGCGCTTGGTGCTTCCCAGAAAAAGGCCGACATGGCCAGATTTCTCACACGCCCGGGCACGGATCCACATTTGCCTGGACAGCTGCGGCATCCTCAGGTTCCGTCAGGATTCCATCAGGTTTCCGAGAGGCTTCCGTCAGGCTTCAGTCAAGACGCTTGCCATCGGAGGTCCGAACCACCTGCGGCATGGTGGAGTTCCTTGGCTTTGACGGCCCACGGCTCAGCGGAAAAAAAAGAAGAAAAAAAAAAAAAACAGGGCCAACTCTTCTCTGCGCCCTCGGGTTTTCTCGCCAAGCTGCACCAGAATGAGCCCAATCACTCCCCCGGCGACGCTGACCCTCGGCACGACCTCAGAGCCTCAGACATCGGGAGGCCAGCCGGAGAGCGCTCTTGGCCGCCTTCTTATGCCAAGCAACCCCAAGTGGCAAACCACCGCAAGGCGTTGGAGTCATATAGTCGGCCCAAAGGGCGCTCTGGCGTCCTGAGTCGTTGGGCTCCAAATGCCGAAGCGCGTGTTCGATGTGAGCCGAGCCTGGCTTCAGCTTGCGCGGGAACTTCTTTCAGCAAGGCCGACATTGCGAAGAGAAGGGAGGTCGATGTTTACAGCGTGCACACGCTAGCCGCTCGCTCAGCTTCCTTCAACTTGAGCAGCAGCTGGCATTGACCCCACATGCAGCGGCACGTGCCAACTTTGCCCGAGCTGCCAGAAGTGAATCGCTCCAAACCCGCATGACACAGGAATCCTGCCTCACTCCTGGCATCATGTCCCAGTCCCCCTGCGCTTGGCAAACTTGCTTCGCCAGCTCCCAGGCCTGGCCACAGCTGTGCAGGGCACAGCTCCCAGGCTCCGCAACGCCTCGAGGGCGCCCTGGGAGTCTCCCAGCTGCGCGCGGCCACCAGCAAGCAGCGACAGCAGCTTCACTCCTCCGGCGGAGGCACGAAGGACGGTCCATGCTGTTGCACCGTTGCACCGTTGCCCCCCGCCAGTCCTGCATCACAAGTGAGCGTCCTGGGCCAAACGAAAGAATGAGAAACAAGTCGAGTGCCAAAAAGAATCCCCATAACACCCCACTCCCGCCTCCCCCCCCACGGCTGCGGGTCCGTTTGGCGCCAGGGCGCTCGGTGGCCCGGCGGATCCGCAGCGCCTCCTCCCAGACCGCGCAGGCCTCAGCCCAGGAGCCCAGCGACAGCAGCTCCCCCGTCTTCGCCAGCAGCTTCGCCCCCGCGTCCGTGTCCTCGGGACGCGCAAAAAGCGGCGGCCACTCGGCCGCTTGGCCACGGTTTCTTCCGGCTTTTATCCGCTTTATCGCTCCAAACCGCTCCACCCGCGCCACCCGCGCCACCTCACATCCCAGCGTCCAGCGTGCCTGACTGCTCCCTGGCCTCTCGTGAGCGCTGCAGCCACTCCAAGGCCGTGGAAGTCTCCCCCCTCTTGGCGAAGATGCCCGCGAGATGCGACCTGGCCAACCGAGCCGAGCACTGAGCCGAGCACTGAGCCGAGCACAGCTGGGGGCGGCACAGCAACACCGCGCCCGCGGAGGAGTTCAGCGTGCCGATTCTCTGCCTGATGTCCTTCGCCTGTAAATACAGCCTGCAGGTTTCAAGCGGGTGGGAAGGAATCCCCACTGCGGCCAGTGAGCAAGCCAGATCAAAAGCCCAAAAAGCATCAAAAAGCCCAAACGTATCGAAACACCGCCAAGTTGCTGAAGCTCTGCCTCCGTGTCATTCAGCAATGCCTGGCATGCAGGCTGCAACTTGAAACTTGCCTGTGCTGCAGTCTACTTTTGCCAACTGCATGCCGGTGCCTTGACATCAGCAATATTTGTGAGAAGAGTGGCCCCGGCAGAGGTCTCCAGGGTGCCAGTCTTCTCCTTAAAACAGACCGAGCGCACTGCTTCAAAAGCGAAGCCCTTCTCTCAACCCGGTGCTGCACACCAACTCAGGCTGAGCCACGCGGATCTTCAATGCTCGATTGAAGGCCTCTCAAGGCTTCCTTCCCCCTGCCGTTTAACAGCAGCCTTCAGCTTGCTTTAAGGAAAGTAAGGGTCCTTCCCAAAGGTGGCAACTGCAATCGGCCCAGGCGCTTTTGGCTTTTGCTTCTGGCCCAGCCTCGGTGGCCTTCTTCTTTTTCCTCTGGCGCAGCCTGGCCACGCCAATGTTGGACAATAGCGTGGCCCCCTCTGGCGTCTCCAACGTCCGCAGCGTCCTTGAAGGCGGACTGGCGCAAACAACCCCTTGAGCCCCCTTGTGATACTGTGGATGTGCGAAATCCATTTCGCACCACCTAAGAAACCCTGGAATGATAGATCCCCTTGCAAATACCAGCAAAAACATGGCTTCTCATGGTTTCAAAGTGGTGCAGGATTTCGTCCATCCACAGTATGACTTGCAAGGCCACCAAACCCAGCAACAACTTTCCTTTGAAAGCCCGTGGAATGGACCTTCAGGGTCTCAAAAATGGTTCCGTCAGAGTCCTTCCCATAGCTCAACAACTTGTGTGTTGGCAGATTGTGCAATCGAAGGCTCTCATGGATCTTCAGCGCTGCCTCGTAAGCCTCCAACGCTGCCTCTAGGTCTCCTTCTTGCCGCTTGGCTGCACCCAGACTGGAAAGCAGCATGGCACCTTGGTCTGGGAATTGTCCGCCACAAGAAACTAGCCACGCTTCAATTCTTTTGACCATGCTGACAAGCTTGGCCGGTGCCTCAGCCGAAAACCGCCCTATACCTGGCTGCATGTTTCTTTATGTCCCAATGTCTTCAACAAAGCCGCCCAATCTATGTTATCTTTGTGTGCGTGCCTTATTTATATTTAAAAAAAAAAAAAAAAAAAAAAAAACATAGGTGTATATATATATAGGTAATTATATATATATGTAACATGTATATATGTATATGATATATGTATGTGCGTGTTCAGTTAGCTTTTTGGCTCGGTGTCTATTTTTCAACCCCGTCCGGGGCGCCTTCGGAGGTCTCCAGGGCCTCCGCCGCCGCCAGCGCCTCCCGGGCCTCCGCGTAGAGCCGCAGCTTCCCCGCGGCGTCGCCCCGCAGCCCCCGCAGCCGGCCCCGGCGCCGCAGCAGCACCGCCGCGCTCGGCGGCGCACGCGACGCCGAGTCCGAGGACTGAAACGCGGCCCAGGCGCGCCTCGGGCGAAGGGGGAAGTCGAGGAAAATTCGGAATGGAAACACGAATGGAAGGGAAAAGAAAGACGAAAGAGGAAAAAGAGAAACCCCGAAAAAGGAAAAGAAGAAGAAAACGCAGAACTCAAGGGCCCCAACAGGAGAAACAGGATGGACTTCAGGAATGCGGCCAGATCGCTCGTAGAGCTCGGATGCCGTCTCGAGATCTCCTGTGTCGAGCTCACTTACTCAGGGTCCTAGCTGTTCAATGATGTTGACCCAGGATTCAATTTCCCGTCCCATTATGGGGGTGTTCCCTCCAAAAGTGGTCTGAATCCAACCACTAAAAGGAATTGGACACCCCCAATACTCAACCAGGGGTTTATTAATCCGGGGGTTCCATTATTTTTCTTTGGGTCCGTATAGGTCCTTGCTTCTCATAGACCTCTCCAAGGCTGGACTGCAGCTCAGCGCCGCCAGGGCTGTCGAGCGCCCCAGCCTCTTCTTGCAGCCTGGCGAAGGCGCGTGGCAGCGCATGCAGAGGACCGGACACGCTCGGCCTGATGCCCTGCTTCAGCACGTGCTCGGCGCGGCCCAGGCAGCCCATCACGGACAGCAAGCTGCCCACCTGGAGCACACATGGAGCATTCGGAGGCCATCAAGCTCAGCAGCTCCCTCACCTCGTTGCAGAGATTCCCTGCAGCCTCCGCGGAATCATAGTCTCCCTGCTCCAGGCTCTGCAGCAGGTGGCCTTCGCAGGATCTCAAGATCCTCAGGACGCGAAGCACACGCCGCCCCCGGACATATCCGGGTTGGTGGAATCGCACCGGTTCTGCCAGGTCACCAGTCTTTCAGGTGCTCCCCGATAACCTCGGTGAATGCCGTTCTGACTGGAAGCCTCTCCGCCCGAAGGTGCTTAAATGATGTAGTTCAGTGACGCAGCGAACACACCTCGTTTGCGCCTGGAACCTGGCCTCACGCACCTAGTCACCAGGCAGCCATGTTGAGCTGATGGAAGCCAGGGCCATGCTGGATGAGCTGAAGAATGAGATCGCGATCCTCGGCACTCGACCGGTGCAATGGCTCGCTCGCTTCTGAGCTCCCGGCCCGCGACACGGAAGCTTGGGCGCACTCAACATCGAGGCTCGAGAGCGTGTTCCACACGGCGCCGATGCCTCAGCTACGCAGCACGAATCCCCAAGCCTCGCGCTTCCTGGGCGTCGACCGGCATCCTGCGCATCCTGCCTCGGCCATGTGTGAGCTCCTTTCGCAGGCCCTGCGCCTCCCTGGGTGGCATGACCACGGTGACCTGCGTGGAAGGCTGGGGGCTGCAGTGGCGGCAGTGGCCACGCCTGACTCTGCGCCACATGGATGGCAGTGAACATCTCCTAACGGCCCAACTTGCCAGAGGAATGCTACGGCGGCAGAAGGCACGCCAATGCATCCGAGGGACGAAGTCACACCTGGGGCAGAACATGCTATGCTCATTTCTATGACTCCTATTCCACGGCCCTAAACCCTTCTTGAATGCCAGCCAAGATGCCAAACGCGCGAGATGTAGAGCGGCTCCTTGCCAAGAGCGCAAAGCAGCATTGCAATGTGATGGGTCTAGTGCAGTTTCTCTACCACCTGCACGCATACTCTTGCAAACCGCGTGGCATCCCACGGAGACATCATTGCAATCACGTGGCCAATGCTGCTGACCCGCCTCAGTCTGTCGCCCTATCCCCTGCCCCTCCCACGACTCTTGTCAAAGGGGAAGCCAGCTTGGAAAGAAGGAGCAAAACCAAGTGGACGCAAGAAACGGCCAGGACCAAAACCGAGCGGCAAAGTGGCAAAGTGGCTTAAAGTGGCTTTAAGTGGCAAAGACGCGGCAAAACGGCCAAGGCGACCCGCGGAGTTCCGCGCGGCCCAAAACCAGCGGAACGCGCAAGACCCCTGCGGCCGCGGGGCTCGCCGAAGGCGCGCTCGAAGTCCTCGAAGGCGACCACGGCGCCGGCGCTCTGCGCCTCCTTCACGCGGTGCTGGTTGATACACAAACCTCGTCGTTGAAACGGACAGGGGAATCCGGGGGAATACGGGGAGAAATACGGGGAACACGGGGGAATACGGGGAACACCGAACGGAAAGCAGACAAAACAAACTGACGGAGGGCGGGACCAAAAAGCCACCGGTGAAGTGAGCATCCAATGCCACAGCTTTTTGCACCGAGGGGCAGCAAATCCAGACATACGTCACGAGCTGCAGGCCCCGGGAGCTGCAGAACTCACTCAGGGTCTCGCTGATGTCGCCGATCTGGGTGAACAAAGGACGTGACCCAAGTCCCATTTGTTTTTGCCAAAGTCGCCTGATAGCCCCAAGTGTAGCTCAGCATGAAAGAAGCTGGCCCAGCATTGGCAGCGCCGAAAATACTGTCCACGTAGGCCGCACCCATCCTGGTGCGGCAGAGCATGCCACTTGACTGTGTCACAACACCAGCGGACGCACACATCCTGTTGTCACGCAGACATCGCACGCGAAGTCCCTTGGGGCGAATGACGGCAGGCCTGGGCTGAGAGCCCAAATTGCCAAACGCCAAGAGCTGACAAGCTGAGGCTCGGGTTCAATCAGGCTTTGCCTCGAGCAAGTGACCAAGGCAGCTAGGCCGCTCGATCTCGTAGACTTTGCTTTCGCGGCTCAGGCCGGCAGCTTCCACAGCGGGCAGCAGGCTCTGGCAAAGATGGGCAACACTCACCTGCGCAGCGGCACTAAGCAGAAGATGGGCCGGACCGCGTCCAAGCTGAGCACACAGGAAGCGCAGTGCAATCCATTGCAATCCCAGTGGCTGCTCGGCTTTGGTGTGCCAGGCTCGTGTCGAAGAGAAAGCCACACAAGTCCGGAACATCAACCTGAGCACAGGCAGGCTTCGGGAAATCCGGGGGAAACCCCCACGGATTGTTGGAGCTGGGCTGCTGTCGTCCACTCCTCCGTGGATTGGCCTGCCTTGGCCCAGGCAACAGGCAACCACCCACAAACCGAACAACCACAAAAACGCGCGAAGACGCGCGACGCACGCGTGCCGATTTCGGCCACCCGGAAGCCGAGGAGCGCATTGCAACAGAAGCCGGAAATCCTCAAGGGAAACCTGTGGGCAGAGGATGCCGAAGAGCCGCCGAAGCTGGCCACACGTCAGCGAACCTCAGATCTTGCAGCTTCTCTATGCGACGGCGGCACCAGCCAAGATATGAAGAAGTGCTGCCAGGCATGCTCCGCAAGTGACATGCTGCATGCCATTGCCTGCTTGCTAAGCAAGTGTCTTTCTCCCAGCTTCCTCAACACTCGGAGAGCTGCATCATCAACCAGGCCGTTCATGCATGGAGTGCCAAACTTGTAACAACGCGTAACCCACGGTTGGCCATCATCCTTTGGCAAGGCTTGAGACTGATGTTGCATCCCTGCTGGTTATGCTGCTAGCTTGCTTCGGGTCTGTGCTGGACTTTCTTGCTCAGCCTTTAAACTAAATCTGGCGCACATCACACGTTCACCAAGATGGAGCCAGCCGATCTCGCAAAAAGAAGGGTCTTGCAGCTAAAAACCTGGGTATGTTTGAGGCAAGCAACCCACTCTGGACTCTGGCACTCCCTCTCTCAATCTCGCCACTGGACCCCCACCAAGCACCTCAGCCCAAATCCAGCCTTCTGTTCCGCCGCGCTGGCAGCCTTGCGCTGACGGAATACGGAATGGTTGGGAACGCTGGCAGTCGCTGGCTGAGTCCGGAACCTCGCGGTGTCTCACGGCCACCACGGGCCCCTAGCACGCGGTAGGAAAGCCAACGCACACCAAGGCCAGCCACCGCCTGCGGCTCTGCCACCGCTGGTGGGGTGTCCAGGGCTACCTGAGATGGCAGCGGCTGAGACTGGGAAGGGCCTGGGGCAAACGGGGCCGCTACCGGCAAGAGCTCTGCCAGGGCCCTCAACCTGCGGATCAACCACCCAGCGCAAATCCCCCAACAGCCAGGCGCAGCCAGGTCACGCTTTGGCCGAGCTGCCCTCAGACGACACTTTTTGACTGTCGTTAATGACATCGCGCAGCACTTTGATGCGAACACATCAGAAGACCATAAGCCAAGCTGCCAAGCTCCCCGGTTCCGGGACCAGAGCTGCCAAGATGGTGCCAGGCAAAGGAAGCCGCCAACTGAGCATAGCTGCGAATACAACTGTGCGAATGTGGGCCACAAAGGAAAGGCTCCTGAAAGGAAACATCCCCAAAATCATCAGTTGTAGCTGGGAACGCTTCAAATTATCATGTCATGCGTCTCTCCGAAATCGCCCGCTCCCTTCAAGTCGCCTGGCACAGCCCTCCAGCAGCGCGGCTGACTCTGCGGCCGTCAGGCTGGGTGCTCGCAGCGCAACACGGGCCAGGACATGCAGCAACTCAGCCGACCTCATGATTGTCATGCCCGAGCTTCTGATATACCGCGCCCCCAAAAACAAAAAAAGTTCTCTGGTTGTCAGCTGGCAAATACATTCGGCTTGCCGACCCGCAGTGGTTTTTTGCTACTGACATCCTTTGTTGAAGATAACATTTGAGATGCGATGGCGGGCTAAGCCAGAACGAATCCAAGAACAGTGAACAGGCAGTAGGATTCCTGCGCGAAAAATGCGGAAGGGAGCTGCTTTTGGGGCTTATTATGAACTCATATAGACTCATATTGGACTCATGTAGGACTCATGTTGAACTCATGTAGACTCATATTGGACTCATGTAGGACTCATGTTGAACTCATATAGACTCATATTGGACTCACTTGACTTTTGCGTCAAAAAGGCAGGCCTGCACAATGCCGCAAAAAACAGCTTTTTTGTGCCCCGATGGGCTTGAACAGGAGCAGGGAAATCCCCCCCCCCCCAGCCTGCACAATGCCTCAAAAGCTGTTTTTTCCCCCGAAAAAAATGCTCGATCTTGGACCCATGTTGAACTCATGTAGACTCATGTTGGACTCATGTAGGACTCATGTTGGACTCATGTAGACTCATGTTCGACTCGTGTTGGACTCATGTTGAACTCATGTAGAGGCTCGAAATATTTCCCTCAAGAAACGCTTTTTTTGCACAACCAAAAAAAATCGCCGTCGACCCGAGCAGTCCGGCGCCACGGAGGCTTCCAAGCACTCCTCCCGCGCCGTGGCCACGAAGCCAGCCACCCCGGGACCGAAGGTCGATGCGGCAATGCGGAGCCTCAGGGCCACTGGGCGCTTCGCGTGCGCGGGCAACGCCTCTCTGCTTTCGGCTGGTCGTTTTTCTAGGGGTTCTGGGGGATCGCATCTTCAATCACAAGTGCCTCCTTCCGCTCAGCCATGGGAACCCAAGCCATTGGAATCCATTGGAAGTCCGAGTTTTGGGTGAGGCTTACTCACTTTCTGCCCGGCTGCTCCCGCGGCACCATGAAGTTGGCTTGCTCGCTGGCCAGCAGGGCCGCCTGACGAGCGCAGAACTCGGCGCAGCTCTTGGCGCACGCCCCGCCTCTTTGATGAAGACCCCGCAGCCCGTGGCTTCTGCGCCCATGGCCGCAGTCACCAGGCGCGTCAGCTCCAAAGGCGTCGCCTCTCGCAGGCCGCATGCGACCGCGCCCAATTTTTGTTCCAGTCGCGTCCCCCTGGCCTCCCGCAGAGTGAACCGCGCCGCCGCCACGATGTGGGACATGTGCTCTGAGTGGAGAAAGCGGGCGTGACAGTAGGCTCCACAGACCTCTCATGCTGAGAGCTGCCATCACACTGTGCACTGCAGGTCACTGAGCCATGCCACTGCTTGCACATCAAAAACAAGGCAACACGGCTTCTTGGAGCGCGGTGCAACACCGCTGTTTCGTATGGCCTGCGTGTAGAATTATCAAGACGGGGTGTTGCAAAAACGATCACCGGGGAGGACCGCGATGCGAAAGCGATCGTTGCACTGGCGCTATCTTTTGTAAAACGGCGGCGTGGTGATCGTTTTTCGTCTAGCTCTACTATACGCTCTTGGGCCCTCGCGGTGACCACGAACATTCCCCCCCCCCACCCCCCTCCCCCCCAGGGTCAGTTTGCGTGGTCGGAAAGGTCGCGATGGCTTTTGACTTGTTTTGGAGTGTCTCGAACTAGTCAAAGGTCCCGATGTTTTTTTGGCTGGCCTGCGCACGGGCTCCAAGAAGCCATGTCACCAAAAACAAGCCTCTCATGGTGAGGCGTGCCAATGTTACATCAAACACGGGCAAACAAAATGCGAGCCCAAAAAGAGTTACGTCCCCACGGCTTTGAGGGCTCTCCGAGCCTGCGCCAGGTCCCGTGCGTGGAGCCGGTCTGCGCTCAGCCGGGCCTCCAGCTGAGGCGCTAAGGCCTCCAAGAGCGGCCCTGCGCGGCGAATGGGCAAGCGGCGCGGTGCAAAGAAGGCAACTGCTGCCTTTGCCCGCGGCTGGTCCTTTTTTTCGTCTCCTTCTTTCTTTTCTTTTTTTTTTTGCTCAGAAGAGATGCAGCAGCAGAGCTCGGAGATACCGCGACTCGGGCAACATCAAGTGGCCGGGATGGTCGGCAGCCTGGGCCAGGCCCCAGCCACATGAAACAGCGCGCTTCCAAAACGGATCCCGCCTGGGTGCCTGTGGCCATGAGGCGGTGCTCGCGCCCGGCCCAGGTCAGCGCGCGGCCGGCGATGCCCATCAGCTCACGCTCACCTGACGCAGGTCTTGACAGCCGAAAAAGGTGCCCACTATGGCCGCATTGGTGCGTGCCGCATGGATTGCATGGGGGTTGCATGGGGATTGCATGGGTTGCATGGATTGCATGGATGGCCCGGACCGCCCGGATTGCATGGATCCTGTGACACATGGATCTCCTCTCCCAGCCTATGGAGTAGGTGCAAGACGCCACGAAGAGAAGCCCTGGAGACGCGCACAGCTTCACTGCCGCCGCCACCAGCTTCTCGTAGTGCCGCACTGCCTGGCGTTTCCATTGGGGGCCACCGCTGAAACTGTCCGAAACCCTCGCCGAGACCCGAGACCGCCTTGGGAGCACTCATGCGGTCCACGCCCAAGTTAGGCGGGTCAACAATCCTCGCACCCGGTGCAGCGAGCGCATTGGACAACGTCGATCAAATGCGTCAGAACTTGCACAGCCAAGGTACACCAAGTCAAATACATCATCATCCAAATCGGAACTCTTCTTCTTGGATCTCTCCTGCCACAACTTGGCGCGCCCGAGCCCAACACATTGCTGCACGTGGCTGCAGAGAACTCTGCACAGCCAGCTGCCGTGAAATCCGCAGAGGCTAGCCGAGCGTGCATATTGATGGAAAGGGGGTTCTTGAGTCTGGAATAGGTCTCTTCCGCCGGAATCCCTGTCGAAGAAGGCTTTCGTGGCCAGCATGTTGGGCTCAAAATCTAGGGGGGAGGGGGCATTGGAACATTGTGCTTCCCGTATTTCCATGGATGACAGCTGAGCGTCTAAGAAAGATCCAAGGATAGTTCCTTTCATGGGATTTCCATTGGTCTTGAACGACTTGGCTTGCTGCCGTCAGCTCCGCAACCAGTATGAAAGAATCCCAGGGACAGGAGTGCTACATTCTCGAGTCTCGAATGGGATGGGATTGCAGTCTCGAATGGGAAATCCTATCCATCTCTGTCGCTCCTTTCAGTCGCCCTTCCCAGCCGTGGGGGTGAGCGAAAGAAAGGGCTGGCTATCTATTTGTCATCCCTTTCCCCTCCCCCTTTAAACGCTATGTGATGAAGAAGGTTCCAGAAGTTACGCGAAGAGATGGCAAGTTAAGGACTTTCCCATCTCAGTATCATCCGAAAAGACATTCTCACTCCAACAAAGCAAAACTCCATTAAAACGCTAAGGGATAGAGCCAGCCATGTTCTAGTGGTATTAGCGTGTTGCTGTCTCGTTCATTCCTTTGGAGTCTCTCTTTCCCTTCTCCATCATTCCATTACAGCAAAACTCAAAACAAGAAGGATGAAAGGATGGATAGGCACCTCTTTCTTGTGTGGCTAATATCCTTTCCCTTCTATTGTCATCTCTTACAATCTCAGCTTGCAGCGCTTTGGGCTGGTGCCTGTCAGGTTTTGCGCCCATGAGGGGTAGAAGGGCATCATATGAAATGGGTGACACTGGCTAACAACAAGGCTCTGCAGCAAGGTTTCCCATCGAATATTGTTTGGCACTATGTGGCACTTAAGGCAAACACTGCTTGACACGCAGAGTGCCGGCGGCTGGTTTGGCAAGCTTCATGGGCTGACTGCCTTTGAAGGACCGCTATGCGAGCGCGTCGAACGCAGGCTCCTGCAGAAAGTCCATTGCATCTGCCCGCACTTGCCTGGCGACAATCCTAAACCCTAAGCTCCTGGACCTTTCAAGCCCTCCCAGTGAGCAGGCCCACCCAGGTATCTTCACCCTCCTGCCCATAGGTGTCCTTTTAGGGCAAATACATGGCCCTGGTAGATGATTAAACCACCAGGCAAACCAGGAATCGAAACCCATCGATTTTTCTACGAAAACCACCGAAAAAGGACACCTATGCTCCCGCCTGCCGCCTGCCGCCGGCCCCCGCCTCACCCGTGCCGCCACCGAGTTCATGGCAGCGCTGCGCCGGCAGAGCTCCAGAGCCGCCTCGCTGCTGTCCACGCACACCACGGAGTCGGAGCCTCGGAGAAAACAACGGCTCCGCACGGCCTGCAATGGTGGGGGTCCAAATTAAACCGCCAGGGGGCCGCAGACTTTAGTCCTTGATTCCATTTACCAGGGTTCTATTTTGGGTGCCCATTTTTGGCCCACAGCCATGTGAATATGATTGGCGGGAGACCCGTGGTGGTTTTCTTCCAGAACCGCATTCGCAGTCTTTGACAACCGAATTTGCAAGCATTCTTGCTGCAAGCGTGGCCTTGTTGTGAGCCAATGATGCTGACACTATCTGACAAGGAAGGTTCAAAGGGGACAAAAAGGGAAACCCTTGGAAACGTGCGGTGCAGCACAAGCGGCCATACTGCGCCATCATCACACCAAAGCCTCCCACCTGAGCTGCTGCCTGTTTGTCTCATTGCAGGAACAAAGCAGCCAGGCCACGTAGCTGTAGAGGTCCAGAACCCGCGGCAGCTGCGGAGCCAAGGAGGCGAGAAGCAGGCGGTGGTCGCGGTGGTCAAAGTACCAGCCAGTCTTTTGCCCGCCCAGCAAGTCCTCAGTGCTGTTCCAGGTGGCCCCGAACGGCATGCTTCCAGATCCAAATGTTTTCCTCCATTTTTCTCCGGGTTCGTCTTAGGCGCCACCGCGAAGGAGACGCCGTGCTCCCGGAGCTCCGTGGGGCCCTCGTAGCGGCCCTTCAGCACCTCCCGGTGCAGCGGCGCCTTCCTCAGGTGGCAAAGGCGAGCGGCCAGAGGTCTGGCCACGTCTTCAACACGTGCGGCCGAGGCGCTCCCGGCGGCGCCCTGGGGTGTCCTGAGCGAAGCCAAGTCTCAGAAGCAGCGGCAATGAGACGTCTGGCCTGCCGCATGATGACCACCTTCGGCTTCACTACCTGGTGGAGCGACATATCCGATCAGCTGCTCCTGCAAAGCTTGCCTCGTCAAGGGCGTCCGAAATCGGCCAGAGCAGTGGGTCCAGCCCGGCCGAGGGCTGAATGCACAACTCATCGCCATAACCTTGCTGGGCAGGCGGAACAAGGTTACCCACGTGGAAGCAGTAGAGCAGCCCGCAGCTTGCGAGCAGGCTGCGGTCGATTACTAGGCCAGGAAGAAAGTCGGCCTCTCCGTGCGCTAGGCGGTAGAACGGCTCTGCAAAGAGCCTTGGGCGCGCCACAAAATGGCGGGCAGTTGAAAAACTCGGAGGCCAGTCAACCAGGGCACCGCTCTCGATACGCCAAAGCCTTTCGCAGGCGCTGGGCAAAAAAGGCGGCATCGATTGGCACCTCAGCTTGAGGTGTCTCAGCACGCCAGCGGGGTGTTTCGACATCCACAAACAAAGCAGCCTGGAGCCCATGCAATCAAATTTCTCACACGAGCCCTGCGATGAGCTGCAAAGGCAGTGGTGCTCAGCACCCGCGCTGCGATGGAGCCATGCCTGGCGCGGGCTTCATGATGGCCAAGGCGCATCTATCTGCCGCCTGTTGTAGAGTGCAACACCCACGGTGTCGCCATCTGATGCCTCAGGATCAAACTGACAAGCCGGACACATCAGTCGATGTCGAAACCGCCTCAACGTTCACAACGCAGGGCGAGCTGTGCTCCAAGTCCTGGGAAAGGCAGCCCCCTATGGCCAACGAGCGTCCCTTGCCACCTGCGTGCCTGCGCGTTCTTGACAGAGTTGGGTGACACCCAGGGGTGGCCTCGGCGCAGCCTGGCCTGACCGTGCAGCAGCATCAAACCCAACGCAGCCTCAAGTGAGAAGCACAGCGTGGGGTGGATTGCTGAAGTTGCTATGCTCTGGCAGGCGCATGAGGTACCTTGTTGCTAGAACGGGTGGCCCGTTGCACAGTCGCAACCCAAAACGCCCAAGCCGCGCCCTGCCTCTGCACCCTCCTTGAGGATCAGCTTCGGCCGGCGGTGCGGGTCGTCCCCCCGCGGCCTGCGTCCGGTGGCATTCCAAGCGACAAAGCGACAAAGCGACAGGCGGAATGCAAGTCCGGGCCTGTAGCCTGTGCCTGGCGTCCAAAGCCCGCGCAAGCGCCCGGCCGCTCCCCGAATCTTTGGGGGAGCCTTCCATGGCAACATCTCATGTGCCGAGACGCATCCTCCACGCTATGTCAGCTATGTGGGCTTGCGTTGGATTGAGTTAGCTGCCGTGCTGAAGTCTGAGCCACGCAAGCTTGCTCTGCCTTTCCAGGTTGCCCAGACAGAATGCAAAGGCTAGTTGAGAAAAGACTTTCCCTGTCTGGATTCCAAAGGCTAAAGCCTAGAAGCTCAACGTTCGTCTCGATGCAACGCACGCCACCCGCACAAAAACGCCAAACGCACGCGGGGTGCGCGGGGCGCGCGCCTGGCTCCGGCAGGCGCGCGGCGGCGGCGGCCGCCGCCGCCAGGCTGGTGGCGCCCCGCAGCTCCGCCGCCCGCTGCCGCAGCTCCTGAACCGACCGAACGGACCAAGCACAAGCATAGAATCTGTTGGCATTTGCGGGGGCGATGTCGATTCCTCTGCCACTGGCGCCAACTCGTCTCTCAACTCTGAGTGCACCAAGCTGGAGAGCAGCATCACCAAATGCTGGGCCTCTCTGCGCGAGTTTTGGAACAGTTGGAACGCTCAAAATGGGCACTATTCAGAAGCTGAGCGGCATCAAAGTAAGCCAAGCGCATGGTAGCTTGCCTCACTGCCATGTAAGGAGCACAACACAATGGCAAGACAACGCATGGACTCAAGGCTTAATGAATCTGGGCCACTGCAGCAGCAGCGCTGACAGCGCCCCATCTTCGTATCGCCTTTGTCTCAGGCTCGAATAAGCACTCTCCTTGCTCTTGACAAACATGGCCGGGACATGCAAAACTTGCTCTTTCTGCATCTATGAGCTTTGCGTATCTGCGAGTGTTGCTGAACCTTACCATGGGCTCCCGAGTGATTCGGAGCATGTTCAAATGGCTGTGGGTCAAAAATATGTGCTCAAAGTGCAACCTTGAAAGATGCGGTCCCTTGGTGCTTTAATTTTGGCGCACACCCCATTTGGGGAGAAGCGCATCGAGACCTGCAGAGACCTGGAGACCTGCAGAGACCTGCAGAGACCTGCAGAGACCTGCAGAGACCTGCAGAGACCTGGGCCCAGCTCGGCTCGCTCGGCCGAGGCTCGCCCGGGCCATGCCCCGCAGCAGCCGCGCCATGTCCGCGGGGCCCAGCTGCGGCAGCAGCTCCCTGGCCCGCGTGGCCAGGGCCGGCAGCAGGCCCTGCGCGCCTCGAGCTGCCCGAGCCCTCTGAAAACCGAGGAGGGACGACCCCAGTGTACAGTCAGGTCGGGCACCCAGGAACAAAGCCGCCAAGCCAGCAAATGCCCAATCGTTCTCCCACAAAAAAGAGCACAGACCCCGAAATCTGAGTTTAGATTTCAGCGTCCGAAGTTCTCAAAGCAGCTACGCAGCTACACTCGGCCTTCGCCTTGACGCGCAGCCGCCAGGGCAGCCCGACCCAGCGCCACCCCATCCATGGATGCAGGCGGCGGAAGCGCCATGGTTGGCAGGGTGCCGCCCTGGCAAACCGCCAAGAAGGACAACCCAGTGGACAACCCCAAAGTGGACTTAAACCCAGGGGTGGCTGATTCCCGAAGGGGAAACCCCGGGTTGAAGTCTGCTTCAGGGTCAATAAGCGGAACCCAGAGAAATCCCGTGTCCACCGGACGGAGGTGAGCTCTTGAAGCTGCAACAGGCCAACCGTCGCAGTCTCCCCGCCAGCAGGATGGCATCCGGCTCGCTGAGCAGCTTTGCCTTCCTTTCTGGCAGCCTCACCTTGGTCTCAAGCCATGCGCGTGCTCCGCAGGCATGGCTTGAGAAGAGGCGCCAGCTCTGGGTTGCGGCCCTCCCTTCGTGCCTCCGGCCGTTGCGTCAATTGAACTCTACCTGAGGCACTTGAGGTCTCGCCTGGCTCCGTAGCGAGCGCAGCTTCCGCTTGTCCCTGCTGGTGAGCACCTCCGAACGCGCAGCACAAGTCATGTGCTCCATTGCGCTCCCGTGCCTCGCCCCCCAACTGCCCCTGCACATCGGTCGTCTCAGACAACCCGGTCAGAACCCACCTGACAGCTGACAGGCTGACGTGCACCACAAACGCAGGACTGGCACCCGAACTCCAGGCGAAGGCTCAATTCCCCATGTCTTGCCCCAGGGAGTGGTGGCGCCAAATCGCCAAAAACAGGCAGAGGGCCACAGCAAGGGCTCCAATTGCGCTGTTCACGTGGCCCGGAAAATCCCCACATGGAACGCCCCACATGGAACGCCCCGGCCAAGCAGTCCAAGGGGCTCCTGCATCTTCTTCCTGGGCTTCACCACCCGTGCCATGGCTCACATTCCGATGGAGTCCCAAGCTGATCGATATATATATATATATATATATTTGTATATACATCTATCTCTCTCTGTCTCTCTCATGTGCTTGCAGGACACCTGGTAGCTCTCCCTCTATTAAAGCAAATTGGATACCCCCAGCTCCTTGACTCCCTTCCAACCGCCAGCCAGTATGTATATACATAGATATATACCTATATATATATAAACATATCTCGGAAGCTGAGGGATGTCCCACGGGTCTGCAAACCTTGCAGCCAATGCAACCGAGCAGAGCCCCTCGAGGCAAGCTGACCGGCTCAACAGCTTGCGCCTCGCCGAAAACCTTTCTGCGCACGCGTCTTTGGGCCAGGGTCTTTGTGCACCAGAGGCCTCTAAGCCGAGGGCCGGGCAGCCATCTCGGTCGGACGGGAGACCAAAGACGACCAGACAAAGAAGCGCAAAGAAGCGCAAAGAAACGGAAAGAAACGAAAAGAAACGAAAAGAAGGGCAAGCCCACTGTGCTCAGTCCGCCTCTGTCCTTGGCGCCAAAAACAATGGGGGTCCATTGGATGTGTGTGTGTGTGTCGCGTCTTGGGGATCCCCACGGGATCAGAATGGGCTGCCGGTTCTTCACGGACTCCTTGAACATCGCCTACCGCTCGGCCAACCAAACACCCCGAGGCGTGCGAGGCGTCCGAGGTGCAGCCAAGGAGCGTGTGCATCGCTCCAAGCTTTCTGAAACCTCAGCCGAAACGAAGATGCGCTCATGACAAGTGCCTTCACCTATTCCTGGCTGTTGGCCAGGAATTTGGGGAGGCTTGTCCGTCTGTTCGTTCCTCTCACCAGCTGAGCCCCCCGGCTCCTCGCTCTTGTCGCGGTCCCGCTTTCGCCCCTGGCGACACTCTCGTCAGAAGCCATGCACTTGGCAGCCTGCACGACCACCCACTCGACCCGGTCTTGCAGACGGGATTTACCAGAAATCCCAACCTGACTGATGAGTCCAAAGGACACCCACTCGACAGTCGGCACCTGCCTCGATGCCTTTGACATCAATGGCAGGCTCGCCCTTCAAAACGCGGCTCCACCAAACCTCAGCACACCGCGCCAGGCGAACGGCGCAAATGGCGCAAGAGGTGCCCCGCAGAATGCGTGGCGAACCTCTCAAAGTGTCGCTTGGGCCCCAGCTGCCACGCTCATGCCGCCTGGCATCGCAGCCTGTGAGGAGGTCACGCTCTCGGCCAACAGGACAGCGAGACGGGGCCTTTCGCACCTGAAGCCGCAAGGCTCTCCGGCCATGGCAGCTCTTCAGCTCCCAGTCCGGATCCTTGCGGCGAGTCGTCGCTTCTCTCATCTTTTCTCATCTTCTCCATCTACGTTCTGTCTGCGCTTCACACGCACACTGCTCCTCCTCCGGTGCGACCTGGTGAGCCAACTGCCGACCCGGCTCTGACGCTCGCACTCACTGGCAAGCCACATTGCACCCACCCACCCCCCCGAGCTTGAATGAAGATGGGCTGCCCTCAAGGCTGCGGAGCTGGCTGCGCCTTGAATTCCCACTCACCACACAGCAATGGCCGTGAAGCCATGGAAATGTTGAGGTGGGTCTCGGAGACATCAACCTGGCTCAAGTCACAAAGGCCGATGGCTTGCTGCAAGGCGCGGCCCCGGCCTTCATGTCTTTAGCCTTGGCATCTTCAGGCACGAACAGGTTGATCTCCACGGTCTCCTGCGACCAATCTCCACACACAAGATGCGCATGGCATGGCCGGAGCATGGCGATGGTGCCGCGCGAGGCAATAGGCAAACGCTATGGGCTCCTTGTTCTGGGACCAGGCGTATCTGTCCTCCACCATGCCGCCTCGGCGTCTCTACGGCTGTGGCCGTGCGCGCATCGGCCCGGGCGAAGCGAAAATCCGTGCAGCCCAAGGGCCGTTCAGCTGGGGCCGCTCCTCCCGGAGCTCCTTGGCCGCAACCGGCGCCGCCTGCTCCATGGCGCACGCGGCGCGCAGGGTGTCCTCACGCCGCGGATCGCGCAGCAGCATGCGGCTTTTTGCGATGCTATAGATTCAAGGGTTACCGGTTTGGGGCCCAAAAGGAAACAACAAACCGTCCAAGTGCGCTGCTCGCACATTTTCTCGCTTGAACAGCCACACTGCGGATGCAATTGATGTTAAACCCCCAAACTGACCGAATGAATTCTTCACCCCCCTCTGCGCGTTAAAGGGGCCTTTCACAAAGCAGCCAAACAGAAACACAACAGAGGGAAGAACGGTCGGGGGTTTCATCTATACATGCAAATCCGTGACGGATGCGTCTTTAACGCCACCGCCAGGTAGACTGTCGTCCACTGCCGCTACTGCCACCCCAAGTGCTCCATCCGAGTCAGAGTTGCCAGTCAGTCAGAGTTGCCAGAGTGACCAATCTTGCCAGTCAGAGTTGCTCCACTGCTCGCCCTCGCGGGCGGCGGGAGCTGCATAGGATGCATAACGAGCTGCGTTGCGAGCGAGGTGCTTGTCGCTCTCATTGCGCGCGAACTCAACCGAGTTCCATGCTGCACGCTCGTTCTGGCGAAAGATCCAGTCCATCTCGTGGCGGAGCTCGTCCTCGCTCGTGCCATTCAAGTTCATCACCCCATTCCAGCAGCCGATGCTTCGGGGTTTGTCTTGCTCGAGAACGATTTGAACGAAGGCACGGGGTGAATATGGCATTCCCTGGAACATGATAATCCACCTTGACACCAGTGCGTCTCTCAGCTGCAGGACCATGAACTCAAGCTCCGTCTTGATGTACGCGAGCCTTGCGATTCGCGAGTCCTGGGTCGAACCCAGACCGACACCAAGCGTGCGTTGAGCTTGGGACTGTTTCGGCGCAGCAAGAACCAAGTTAGCGCACAGCTCCATGCGGAGCATGTCCGCTTTGCGGCGCCCAACCTCAATCATGCGACACGGTACTGAAGGTCAAGCTCGTACCTGTCCATCAAGGAATGGTAGCTTTCTGCCCTCCTGAATGACCGCGCTTTCCGGGAAGTTCAGGCCTCTCACAATGCTGATACGATCCTCCTCGCAGAGGTCGGACGTTCCCACTGATGCCAATACTTGAGCCGTGATGTGTGGTCCTGCAAAAGGCGTGGATTGAGGGGAGAAAGTTGGCCGCACATAGCGCAATTGATCTGCCCCTCGAAGATGTCATTGCTGCAAACAGAACACTTGGCGACCTTCAATTCCACATTCTCCATGGGGTTGAATGTCTTCTGCCTCTTCGCTTCCCCTTGCGGGGCGCGAGGTGATGAGGCATTCGTCCTGGTTGTTGCAATGCGCTCCAGTGCCGTGGCGCGGTCGTCGACAACCGCCTGCTCTCGCTTCATGCCCTGGGACTTGTCGTCGACTGTTGTTGCTGGTCCAGCTGCATCCGATTGCTCGGACGCGTGTACCAGATGTCCCCGTTTGTCGCATCCAAGATCGAGAGGATGGTGTAGTTGGGGACCTTGTCCCGCGTAAGCGCGCCATCACTTTCAGTTTTGAAAAAGCAGAGTCCGGCACGAATGGCCATCCTGAGGTCCACCTGGATTTCAAGAGGGCGATCGGCTCGGACCCCGGACACATAGTGGTCGCTGGCGCTGGGCACATCTGCAAAATATACATGTGGCCGGCCGGTTTCGTGTTGATCGCCACCACCGGGTACAACACCATGCCGCACGACGCTTGCAAAGTTGCGCTTCTCCGTGCGGTGGTACAGCACCGTCGGCGGATTGTCGCACACATTCCAGCCAGCCCACTGCCCAAGGTCTGCGCCAGCGTTAACATACCACTCTTTGGCGATCCCGGTGTCGTTGATGTTGAGCCAGTCCTCGTGGCCCTGCCAAGCTTTCAGCTTGAACAGCCAATGAGAGCAAGGCACATCTCCGCACCGGCTTGCGTCCGGGCAACCAAGGGCAATAAACCTTTGCTTCTTGTCAAGCTTGAAAATATCCATGATATTTTGCATGTTCCACGGGATGGGATGCCGCAGCTCCTTGCGGAGCGCGAAACCCACCTCCTTGTCCATGCGATATCCGCATCCCTCTGTGCCTCGGCCCCGGAGGATCTTCGAGATGCAGGTCAGCGAACGATGATACCTATCATCAATGCGCCTGACAGAAGGATCGTAGTCGAACGCGGGCTGCTTGACCACCATGAGCCGTTTCGCACCTTCACCGTAGTCGACGTAGTTCTGGCCCTTGTATGTGCTGTACACCCAACAGTCATCGTGCCCTCCCGTTTCGTTTCAACCGTACGAGTCGAGCGGCTCAGACTTGTGGACCTCCTCGACCTTTTTCGCCACCACAGCTGCTTTTGCACCGGCTTGCGCCGGGCGAACACCTTGGGAGATGTCAGCGCCTGCGGGTTCACTGGCAGGAGCAAAATCAGCTGGATTCACCGGGGCGAAGTCAAGGGGCTGTCTGGTTTCCACCTCCTGTATTGTCTTCTCGATTGCGTAGCTCATGCTGATCAATGGGACGCAAAGTGCAATCATGCGTGCGAATCAGCTCGGCTACGCTGCCCATTGCGGGGCGCAAAATCGAGAGCATGTAGAGCATGTGATGGGTGCCTCGCATAAACTGAACAGTTTTAATGATGTTATCGTCGCTGAAACTCATGAAGCGATCCCAGATCATGGAAAACCCGTACTGATTGCTGCTTGCTCCAGTCAACACGCCGAGGCATGCGCAGCCCTTGCGGGCCGCGAAGTTCATTGTCCACAACAAATGCCTCTTTGTGTCTTCAAGCATCTGGATTGCGTCCCCCGTCGGAGTGTCGTAGGGGTACATGCCGGTGGGCTCGATGCCGTCTTTGCCAACCAATGTTGCCGTTCCAGTAGATCATGGGAATGATGGTTGCCGTGGGGAAGTCCGTACGCGCCTGATGAGGGCGGCCATCCGCTTGCAAATTTGCTGAAGGCCTTTCCCCCATAGCATCTCGGACTCCCATGCACCGACACGTGCCGGGCGAGAAGTGTCCAGACGCTCCGAGAAGTCGTACTTCCGAAGCTTCTGAATCGCCGACTGTAATATAAATTACCATGTCGCGGTCAGGAACCTTCGGAGCAGGGACGACCTTCAAGTAGGGCTCGGTGATCGTGAGCAGGGGTGTCAACAGCTGCAAATAATGCGGCTGGTCCTGAATCCACGTGTGGATCAGCGACTGCAAAGACGTCGATTCCAATAGCCCTTTCACCGTCGCCGCCAAGTTGCTGTCGTACTTGGCGCTCGTGCACACCGAAGTCGTAGCGATGTTCTCCATCCACCGCCTCCATGCCGGGTCGCAATCCCTCGTGGGATGCGCCATTGCCGCCTGGCTGCTCATTGCGAAGGTAATGCAGCACAGTCACTCGAAAGTAACGCCTGCATGGTGGCGTGTTCAGAGAATGCATTGTGCACAGTGTCGGTATAAACATAAGTATATCCCTCTGCTTCCTTCAAGTGAGTTCCACGGCTTTCGTCATGCTCATGAGAACCATCACATTTGAAGTACTCAACAACGGATATAGTGGGCATATTGCTAGCGACGACCCATTGCTTTTTCATTGGTTTTCCACTTCTCCCAGTGATGCCAATCTTACATCCATGGAATTCATATTTATTCATCTTGCGCTTCGTCAAGAAACTCCATAGTTCAGGCCATTTCCAATAACGACAAGCCTTGGGAAGTTCAAAAGCGATTCTGACGTCATCTGAATAAACATTGTTTAAAACGCGTTTGAGACCGCTCAACAAAGATCGGAATTGCTTCACATGGCCCTCAATCTTGGCGGCACCTCCGGGAGTTTGCTGGTTGACATAACCCCACGGGCAACCTCCAGTGCACGGCAATGATACATAAAACATGATGGAGCCTCTGGGGTTCTTGCCTCTAAACTCGGCAATTTCACGGCTCAACCACTGCCTACACTTTTCGGAGCACCCATCTTCATTTTCTGTGACCCGGATGACACTGCAACCTTTTGAAGTGTCTCTTGCTTCGCCCAACCGTGAGGTCGTCGAACAACAGAATTCAAAAAGGAGACGCTTGGGCTGAGCGTTTCATAACGCGGCAATCTGCCCCCCCTGATCGCTGAGTTCTCCGGCCTTGGTGCTCGGGGAGCACAGCAAGCTGGTGGCACAGGCTCGCGCCTGGCGTTTGGGGGAGATACCGATCAGCTCAAGCGCGTGATGCCATACCGGGGTGCTATCAAACGCCTTGGTCAAGACGTCTGCAGCTTGAAGGGGTGTGTCAACATTGATTAATTCAAATTGCCGATTCACGAACTGCCCGTGAAGCCATCTGAAGCTAATGCGTTGGGTTCTATCAGTATGCCTTAGCTTCTGGGAGCGTCCTTGCTGCAAAATGGTGATTGTGGCTTGATTCTCCTCCATCAGCTTGACCTTCCATTTGTCGCTAAGATGCACAGTTAAGGCATTGATATTCGCTACACTTGTGCCCACATCAACATTACCGTATCGAATTTCATCTAACTCGGGGCCAACGCGAGCAACAATGCCATCGGGCACGTCAAGCGAGGCTTTGCCAGCCTTTTGAGCATACCCGTGCGCTTCCTTTCCAAACAGGCTGAGCTGACAGAAAAGCGACAAAGTCGGGAGGCCTTCTGCCCTGAGTGCCTGATTTGCAGCTATGACCTCAGCTTCAGTTGAGCTAGTAGCGGTCGCTGTTTGCTTCCTACTGAAAGCATTCAATGGATAGTACGTGTTTGGTCCTACGAGTATCATAGCGCAACCGGTGGTACTATGCGAGTCGCATTCGCCTGCCCAATCCGCGTCAGCGAACAACCACAACCTACAATCAGAGAACTTGTCCCCGATAAATCCCCGCATTTTAAGGTCCTTCGAACAGTGTATATAAGACACAAGTCGATGAAGAGCGCTGTCGCACTCGGTGGACCATTTGCTCACGCGCGAGGCGAGGCTTTGTGTGGCTCTCAGCAGGTCATACCTAGCCATGCGGGCTGCGAATAGAATCTTCAAGAGTACCTTTGCAGCTAT